TCAAACCTATGGAGTGGATTATCAGGAAACCTTTGCTCCAGTTGCCAAGATGAATACAGTTAGGATTTTGTTATCATTGGCTGCAAATTACAATTGGTAGCTTCAGCAATTTGATGTAAAGAATGCTTTTCTACATGGTGATTTGGAAGAAGAAATATCTATGAAGGTTCCACCGGGATTTGGAGGTCATCTAGAAGCAAACAAAGTATGCAAGCTTAAAAAGGCTTTATATGGCCTTAAACAGTCTCCTAGGGCTTGGTTCAGGAGATTCGCCAAAGTGATGCTAGCAATGGGATAAAAACAGAGTCAAGGAGATCACACATTGTTTATCAAGCACTCTGATTCAGGGAGAGTCACAGTTTTATTAGTGTATGTAGATGATATAATTGTAGCTGGAGATGATGCAAAAGAGAGAGAATCTCTAAAACAGTGTTTGGCTAGAGAATTTGAGATAAAAGAGCTAGGGAGACTGAAGTACTTCCTAGGAATTGAAGTAGCTCACTCATGGCATGGTATTTTCATCTCACAATAGAAATATGTGATGGATCTTTTAAAAGAAACTGGGAAGCTCACATGTAAACCTACAAATAGCCCTATAGATCCTAATCATAAAATTGGAGAAGCTAATGAAGATGCTACTGTAGATAAAGAGATGTACCAAAGATTAGTTGGAAGACTCATTTATATCTCACATACTAGACTTGATATAGCATATGCCGTGAGTGTGGTAAGTCAATTTATGCATAGTCCTAAAGAAGTGCACCTACAGGCTGTTTACCGTATATTGCACTATTTGAAGGCCAATCCTGGGAGAGGTATCTTATACAAAAGATATTGCACTATACAGATGCTGATTATGCAAGTTCAGTAACTGATAGAAGATCCACTTCAGGCTACTGCACTTTCTTAGGTGGTAATCTTGTGACTTGGAGGAGTAAAAAACAGAATGTGGTGGCAAGATCAAATGCTGAAGCAGAGTTCAGAGCAATGGCTCAAGGAATTTGTGAACTACTATGGTTAAAGATTATCCTAGAAGACTTGAAGATCAAGTGGGATGGACCAATGAGACTCTACTGTGATAACAAGTCTGCAATAAACATTGCACACAAACCTGTGCAACATGACAGAACAAAACACATTGAAGTAGATCGGCATTTCATAAAGAAGAAACTAGATAGTGGGTTGATTTGTACACCCTATGTATCAACCAATGGTCAACTTGCAGATGTGTTGACTAAAAGTCTTAGCAGTGCAACATTTCAAGAAATTATTTCCAAGGGAATGGAAAACACCTATTCACCAGCTTGAGGAGGAGTGTGGGAAAACACTTATTTACAGCTGGTTGTAATATTGTAATCTGTATATTTATATTTGTATCTCTAGAATTAAGTATTTGTATTCCTAGAATTAAGGACAATAAATTAGGATAGACAATTCATCAATTATAGGATCAGTTTTTAGGAAGATTTAGTTTCCTAATTTAACCACTAGTTAGTTGTATATAAACCTAAGGTTCTTGTATAATTTTTTATGAGCAGTTTTTCAATATACATTCAGTTTTTATCTTAATTTTTCACACAGTTTTATTTCTTAGTTTTTTCACAATAGTAACAAAAGTCAATTACTTCAGAATGAGCATGGAAGGTGCAAAATAAGAAAAGCAAACTAACCTCTAACACCATCAGTTATCCCTAGCCTGACAAGTTCCTCTGCAAAGAAACAATAATGCTCAGATTTCTAGGCATCCATGAATTATATAGTTTAAGGGGGTAGAAAGAACTTATAATCCCTTCTACTCCACTTTTTTCTTACACTCAATCATAGAAAGCATGGTAAAAGAAGAGAAATTTTGAAGGGTCTAGTTTAAAAAGCAAACCTTGGATGATATGCATTCCAGACTTAATTCGTTTGTCACACTCTTTGAAATTTCCTTTTGGACGGCCAAATATGGTGACCATAAGATCAACAAGGGCATAGACAGCACTCTTTGGCAGCCACTCCCCATTAATAGGAGGTGGTGCGAGAAAAAGCTTATCTTGCAATGCCCGTCTTGCATTTCCAAAATATGTAGGTTCGAGGGCATCATTTCCAACTGAAGTGGAAGAAGTAGTAGTAACATGGGTAAGCTGTCCCTGCAGGCGGGCTTGTCGTGCAGAGAGAGCAGACCTCTCCCTGGAGGGTAAGTCAGAGCGGGACAGACTTTGATTCAAGGCGTTAAGCTCAAGAGTGAGTTGGTGCCGTTGCTGCATGTTGTTGGAATCTTGCTTGATAGCAGCATCCAATTTGTCCACGTGTTTGACAGCATTCTTGTAATCGGCAACTCGAAGTCGGTAGAAGATATGGAGAAGCTCATTGTAAAAGAGTAAACCCAGGCAGTGGGTTCTCTTTAGTAGGGAAAAGGAATTAGTATTGGTAGTAAATATTATAAAATGGAAGTACTACAAACTGATTAACAAGAAGACAAACAAAAAAGAGAAAAAGAAAAATGACATGGTAGAGCTTAACTTACCCTATCAGAGGGGATAGTCTCCCAGACCTGATCGCATCGGTGAAGAGCTCGCTCGACCTCAACCGCAGTTTGATCATCCCATTGCATAAGGAGGCGTACATGCAGGATAGAAGCCACAAAGAACATCTGAAGCTCCGGATAGCAAATTTGAGTAGCGGATACATAACCTGATTCTAAAGTGGCGATTGAATTCTGGTAGTCTCCTTCAATAATCAGAGCGTTTGCCAACTGAGAATTGAAGTTGCAACACCATAACTTGACCGACACACTGCGAGTACAAGAAGTGTTTAACACCAGCAATTTATTTCCTCTATTGTTAATAAAGTATGTAATATAATCCAATCTAATCAAAAGTAAATTATGTTTCAAAAATAAAAAAGTAAGAAAAGAAAATCAAAGTGCAAGCAAGCATACTCGGGAGCCGCCGCAGATGTAAGGTGAAGAGCCTTGTATAAGATCTGCTTCTGAGGAGGTATGGCCCCAACGAGATGGTAGCACTGGCTGAGCAGTGAGTAGGTTCGGCACTTCAAGTCGAAGCAAGAAGGTATGGAATTGAGGAGCAATTGGGAGCGTTCCAGGTGGGACTTGGCATGGTTCACGTTATGAGAGTGGCGTAGCAGAAGAGTGGCTATGCGGAGTCGAGTCTTCACCTCGACGATGGGTAGGAAGGAGGCGTGGGACTGGCAGATTGCCTCCAAGCACTTCACAGCCTTCCCTATCTCTCCCTTCTTCTCATGGTAATCCGCCAGTCCCCACAGCCCTTCCGCTACTGCTTCCATTCCCCAATTTTCCCCAATTACCTTTAAAACAAAACTAAGCCACAACTGTATGCTCCAGTTGTACAAGGCAAATCAGCAGAAAATAGTAAAAGAAATGGATGAATCTCAATCATCATCACAATGCATCTCCCAAGTCCCAACCCTCCGGTCTGAAGTCAACAAAGCAAGCAACTACAAACAAGCCAAATGGGCTTTGCTTTTTAATTTAGAAAATGACCAACCGGTTGCTGGATTTTAAGCAAATGGGTCACCTTAATCGGGTAACCTTGGATTGACAAATATGGTTCATGGGTTTAGTAGTTCATCTGATTGGGGAATTGTGCACAGGCCACAGAAACAAGTTTTCTGGAGGCTTTGGAAAGGTATTTGGGTGGCCTTTGACCTAAGCCCTTTGAAATGTTTGGGCATTTTTGTTACTTTGCGTTTTTCAGAACTTTCTGGAATCTTAAATAGGCTCAATTGCTCAAGCCCAAGAGATCACCGTCCTCAGGTATTCATGTTCACGTGTTAAGTATGTTTAAAGGAGAAATATGCCATAATATCATCTTGTAAAAAAAAAAAAGAAAAACCTGAAGCAACAAGTCTTGACAACGTTAAACTCAATGGATTGATTCTAAGACTTAGACAATTTTAATTTCATTAAGGTTTGCATCATCATCTATAATAATTTAAAAAGAGGTGTTTAAAATTCAATTTTAATTAAATTAATCGATTTAATTTATTCAGTTAATTGATTCATTATTAAATTAATTTTGATCGATTATTAAAAATAATTTTAAAATTTTTTTAATGTTTAGTTAATTTGATTTAAAAACTAAATTAATCGAAATATAACAAAACTTAAATGTAAAATTAAAAATGTGAACCATTTCATTTTATAAATTATTAGAATTTTAATTTAATACTTTAATAATTTTATTATTTTGTTGGATGATTTTGTGTAGTTTGTTTCATATTTTGGTATATGTATGTAATATTTTATATATTATTTTGTACAATTTTTTTAGTATTTTTTGTATTTTTTGATAAATTGATAGCACTATGGATTCTAGGACGTAAAGCGGGAATTAGGCAATCACTGACTTAGGATCTAATGAATTATTAGTTCCTTTTTCTTCTGGACAGATTTAATTTATGTATTTATATTGTATTCATGTGATATTAAACACATAAAATATAAAAATTTATTTTATTTACCTGTCACAAAACGCTTTTTTTTTTGTCAAATTTATATATAATTTTTATTACAATTTTAAATCTTTTAACTTTTGTGTTTTCTTTCATATTGTTTTTATTTTGTATCACCATATTGTACTTAAAATTGATAGATCCGAAGAAAACTGACTTCAGCTGGACCGGAAGATGCTGTCCATATGCACTGCACTGACGGTGCAGTTGAGGAGGTTTACCCTCCGGTTGTCTTGTATCTTGCTAGTTGGCATGATCTAGGATGTTAGCATTTCTTGTTATCTTGTTGATTAGTATTTGTGCCTCCGCTACCCATAATTCCATCTTTTAATTTTAAGAATGTTTCCCAATACATTGGAATTCATGATAGTAGACAAATAATATGTACCCAGACTGCGGAGATGATGATGATGATGATGTTGAGAATGAACTCATTCAAAACTTTCAGGAACCAGTCTACAGACATGTTAAAGTCAAAGAATGACAGTTAGCTGCGAAAGCAGCCCTGTTATGAAAACATCGCACGGGTTGTTTTCCACTTAACATGTTGGCAAGATGAGTTATGAATTATGATTCTTCTCTCCATTGTTGGTGCAGTGTTTGCAATGCCGACGGTGCTATGCTATTTGAGAAACATGGGAATACCGTGGATGCCTATTCACGGAAAGGTTTGGCTGAAATAAAGAGGCAGTATGCAGTTTTTGATGCAAAGGTTCTCCCGAAACTCCAGCATCTATTTTCCATCACAAGCAGCATTAAACATGCCTAGGCTATATGCTCCTTAACATGCGGACATGAGCTAGTTTAGTAGGTCCCGTTTTAAGAGCTTCAGCATATTTCACTCCTTTCTTAGGCAACTCTTAAATTATTACTTTATCTCTCAAGAAAGGGAGAATCAAGAGAATTCCAGGAAAAAGGTTTTGATGAGAACCTCTCTGCAGAAATCTACACGCTGGAGTCTAAGATATTAGCTTCGCAGCTGTTTCATTGAGAATTAAAAATTTTGAATTGTCTCTACTAAGTACCAACTCATACGCAAACTCACCAATCCACCAGTTCCTAATAGAAAACCACAACCTTTCATCCGTTAGAGAAATAAAACCAACTACACAAGAACTGAGAGCCAAATATGCTATACTTTAGATTCTTTAACTCCAGCTGGCAAGAAGGGCTCCCACCATCCAAATTCATATTTTGGATAGGGTGCCACCCAGTTTTCTGGCTTCCCAAACTCCAGAGTGCTAGGATTGGAGGCTAAAGCTTCTTCAAGACTGTCAGATTCATAGCTATCAGATAAAACTCTGTCCAACCTCAATTTCATAAACCTGCCAAGCAATGGAATTAGGAGAAAAAAGATGCAAGATAAATGACATTTATATGGTACCTTCTATAGAACAAGAAAGGTAATAGAGTTTGGCCTGCGATACCAACATCCTAATACCATGTGAGTTATATTGCTGAGTCATACTAATAAAAAGTTCAGAACCGAATGACCGTGGATATATGTTCGATTGGGATGTAATTGCATCTGTGCTACACCTATGACCATGAGAATTGGTTGTTTTCAAGTCATTTGCAAACTAAGAAGCACTTTTGCAGGCAGTGTCAAAACTAAAGCTACCAATGAAACAAAGAACTAGTCAAGCCAGGATATGGTTCTTTTCTTTCTCATTTTTCTTTTCAAATATGGTATGACAATGTACCACACAGACAATGGCACAAAGGATTCAACTACACATGAGTAATGTGATGTCTCCACTCTAGGTTTACTGTCTCCTAGAATTCCTTACCAAGATGGCCTCCAAAATGATCCTAGCGTAAATACTAGTCTTGGCATTAATTCACCTTTTGATATTCAGATTTTCTGCATTAGGCACAAAGGAAGTAGGAACAAGATGATGAAAAAGAAGCTAAAACCAAACAAATTTTTTGGGTCCAAGTCTTACGTAATCCAAGGACCATTAGTTGAAACCAGAGCAACTGCAGGCCTGCGCAACCTCTTAGTAATGTCAGGGAACTTTTCCAAGAACTTGGGCTCGATCACAAGCCAGAAGTCCTGCTCTTTATTCCGTTCTCCATAGTTCCGAAGCCTCTCAAACAAGAGCTCCTTGAAGTGCTCTTCTTCATCCAGCATGAACTTGGCATTTGCAACAACAAAATAGTATTTTTTGGCTTGTTGCTGGAGTATAAGAAGAATTTCAGAACCATAAAGTAAGTCATACCACCAGAAAAACCTACTTAAAAATACCATTCTGAACAGAAAATCAGCATGGCCTATTTGCACTCGTACTATCTTATAGCACTTAGAAACTATTAACAAATAGAGCGTGGTCTTAGAGAAGTTCTACATCATCTTAATAAAAGAAAAGGCATACTCTGGAATTTCAGAACAAGACTCATTTTGCTTGATCGACAATCATCAAACTGGCACCTCAATTGAATGCTAAGCATCAATCTACGAGAGATCACATTTCCATTTTCTTTCCTGCATAGGTTTTATTTAATTATGAAAGATTATGGGCTTTTGGAAACCCATGGGAACAAAAGATACCCATATCAATTAGAAGGGGGAATATTTGAATTGGGAACCATTGTGTTGCTTTTCATTGCCTCTAGTTAAACTAAAGTGAAGCAAAGGAATTGATATTATGAAACAGATTTGGCCTTGGTTGCAATTTCTGCAGTCTTAACAATAACAAGGAATGACTTTGCTCAATCAAACATGAAAATATAAAATCTATTGGCTCCAATAGTGATAATGGCAAGAGGTCTTTCTTGTTGATATGTACATATAACATAGCACCTTTAGTCCTACTTGATCGCATATCTCTAACCTTTATTGACCATTTTTGTGATTGTGGAAGATGACACATTAAAAGCTAGTTTAGCATTGCTGTTGCGGTTGGAAAAAACTTGGATCGAGAAAAGTGTGTTTAAAAAGTTTGGTAAGAAAATTGGGATTAGAATTTTTAAGTATTTGATTTGCTGTAAGTAATTAAAATGTCTAAAAAAAAAATCATAAAACAATAAAATATTAAAATTATATGCAACATATAGTAAATTTCTATTCCAAATGTACTTTTTCAGCGCAAAAGCACATCTTCCAGCTTTTTGGTTTGGGTTGGCAAGCCAGGTTTTTAAATTGAAAAGCAAATATTTTTTCTATTGTTTTGAATTTAAAGCAACTTTTGAATGCAAAAACTATTTTCTACAGCAATGTTAAGGCCTGACTGTGTTGAGCTAGCTATTTGGCACTATAAGGGAGAAGGCAACGAGAAGGAATGCATGGAAGCATAAAAGACTATCAACTGGTTAGGCAATACTATTACCAAGGTAAAGTGAGATACCGATCTTACCTGATGAAAAGCAGTTAATTATATCTACATGGTAATGAACAGAGATACAGCATTAAATCATGATCCAAAGACCAAATTAATGCAACTATTTGATATTTGACAGAAGGTGGTAACGAAACAAGTGATAGAGAAGGAGTACCTTGCCGGGACTGAGCTGGTCAGAGTCAGCTGCTGCAACGGCTGTCCTAAATGATGATGTGGTCCTGGAAGTGGAATTGAATGAGCTCTTAATCAACAATTGGGTGCGGTTGTTGCTGCTGCTACTGCTGCTGGTGATGGTGGGTAGCGCAAAGGCTTTGGCTGCGCCACCATTGCCGCATTGGGCGGTGAATGGTGCTGGCGCACCACCCAGACTGAGTGTTAGACTTGCGGCACTGAGCGCACCTAACATTTCCTTTTCTTGGTGTAGTACTTTTTATCGGACCAGAGGAGCAGCAGTGATCGGTTTCTGGTTTTAAAAAATTGTGACTTTGGGAGGGCAGAAGAAGATTTTAGATTTGCCCTTACCACTAGGCAGTACTGCTGCAGACAACCTTATCTTGTTATCTTGAAACCCATAGAAGTCGAATGCAGACGGTAATAAAAAAAATAATCTTTTCATTGGTCTATCACTAATTAATATTTTAATTAGGGTTTGTTTGATAAATATTTTTATTTTTTGTTTTTTTAATATTTTTAGATAAAATTTAAATTAAATAATTAAATAATAAATATAATATTAAATATAATATTTAATTTTAAATTTAATATGATATTTAACTTAAAAAATTTTTAATTAACATATTATCAAATCTTAGAATGATAAACTCCAAATACACACATGAATAAATAATATTTTAAATTTTATATTAATTAATATATTTATAATTTATATATTATGTTAAAATTTTTAAAAATTTAAATATTATATTAAAAATTTTAAAAATTAAAAATAAATAATAAAAAATGAAAAGTAAAATAATCTAGTAACAGAAAATTACTTTTTTGATAATTTATATTTGTTCAGAATAAAAAAAATTCCTCAAATAAGACTCGGGAGTACGAACTCCTGATGAAATGATTGACGAAAGCAAAACCCTAAAAGAAGAGCCAAGTGAATGAATGACAAAGTTGCACCTGCTATGTCCTCTAGGTCTGGGTCTGGGTGGGAGTTGCTTTATCAGGTTTTGTAGGAGGGGGTTCCAAGCTGTCTCATCTTCCAGCTCCACCGCCACCGCCACCGTCACCGCCACTGCTAAGGCAAGTGAATAATAAAATGATATTGCCAACATTTTAGGTAATTGTATGGTATGAAGTATGAACCCAAAACTAAACATCGGTATTACAAACCAATGTGGTGCAGCAGATGTCAACGGAATGCTGTACGTTCGGCCCATATAAGGTAGACCCCAAGGAAGTCTTCTACTCCACCCCGCTTTCCTATGCCATGGTCAACCTCCGTCCCGTTGTTCCTGGTAATTACTACTACTTCTAATTAGCAAGCACCAACCACAACACTTTCCTTCCTTTGCAATCACCACCCGACGAGGTTCCTCATCATTATCTTAATCCCCTTCCCTTCCAATTATATTTTTTTTCTGTTTTTATTTCTTTTTCTCTTCTAATTATCAATCGTCGTTGATTTCCCTTTTTTTTCCTTTTCAGGTCATATCCTTTTTCACTTGGAAATTTAAATCCAATCATATTTTTTCTCAAATAAATGGTTTTGGGCTGCATAATAGGAAGAGTAATTTTCTCCCCAATCATTAACCCCCACCCCTTCCATACGATCGAATTCACGATCTCGAAGTTAGAATGATTTTTATATGTGTTTTGGAATTCTTTCAATGCCTTTACTTTCTTTGAAAACAAGATGAGATTGTCATCTGATCTGATATTCAGCATCCTTAGAAACTGTCAAACTACTTAATCCGCGGGACAATCTTTGTATTCATCATGGTAATTTGTTGATATTAAACATACTTTTCCTTTGTGATACAACTCACATGCAGGATTTTTTTAATTCTAATGATGGGTTTGCCAAGTCCAATTGTTTGTTGGTAATGACAAGAAACAATGTCTGCTGCAGATTAAACTGTTCATATGGGAACGATATAAACTTGATACTGAAAAGTTTGGCCTTGGGGATCTTGGGGGAGAGGAGTGTTGATGGCATGTTTGCACACACGCCAATATATGTATGTGTGTACAATACATCCACATGGGATCTTGGGGGAGAGGAGTGTTGATGGCATGTTTGCACACATGCCCATATATGTATGTGTGTATGTACAATACATCCACATTTTTAGGAAGATGTGAAAAAAACAGCTTGACATAGTTATTCTGACTATATATCCAAATCATTACATGCTAAAATGCTACCAAAATTTATGTTGCATTTGTTTCATCTATGCGGGTATGGTTTTTGATCTAATTTGTTAGGGAACCATGAATCTTTATTGTTGAAGAATTCATTCTTGAATTTGTTTTTCTTAACATTGTGTACATGTGCTTGTCTGCCCAAGGCGTGAAGTTAAGCGCTTTGTTGATCTAACTATTGATGAGACTACTGATTTATGGCTAACGGCTCAGAGGATTGGTGGGGGGCTTGAGTGCTACCACAAAGCGTCATCTCTCACTTTTACCATCCAAGTAAGAGAATGGCATGCTCCATTACTTTTATTTAAATACATATAGGTTTTTTTGTCTCAGTGTTGTCATAGTAGTTGACTTTGTTTGCCAATCATGTTGTTTTTAAATCATATGGTGGCACATTTTAAATTTTATTTGCCCGCCTTTTATGACTGTAGCAGAGACGATGAAGATGTGGACCTCTTTGTTCATGGTTTTATTTATCTGCTGTTCTAGTTTGCTCACCTTCTGCTTTTCATTTCTTGGCCTTTTCCTTCATGTTTTTGTTACCAAAGCTTGCATATTAATGCCTCTTTCCTTGAGATGTTTTACTCTAGTACTTATCTAATAGTTTGGTTTTAATATTTTCTAAAATTGTTAAATTTACATCCTATTGATAATTCTCTTGGCCAAGTTAAACCCAGTCAATCTAGGATGTCCTTGAGTTTGGTATTTGTGGGTTTTAACTCTTTAGATGTCTTTGCTGAGTACCTCATGTTAACTCATATGGTTATATTCCATTTCAAGTTTTAGTTATTGTTTCTCATGCAATAACAAGCACTTAGTGTGTTTAAGTGATCTTTTGGAATGAGAAACTATGCTTTCGTACGGAAAATTGAATGGCAGAAATTTTTTGTGTGATACTTGTGGAAGTTTTTGGCTGCTCACTATGTGGTAATGCTGCTGCTGGGCAAATAGCATTTTTTATGGATCATTTGAGACTAAAGACTGTAACATACGTGTTTGTTTCTACTTTAGGATGGGCCACAAGCAGGGCAGACAGTACCTCATGTTCACATTCATATCCTTCCCAGGAAAGATGGTGACTTTGAGAGGAATGATGAGATCTATGATGCAGTAAGATAGATATTCGTACTAGCTTAGCTTTTATAATATAACCTTGGATAACTTGTGTTTTATCTGTCTGTTGTTCATGGTGTAGATAGATGTGAAGGAGAAGAAACTAAAGGAAAAGCTCGATTTAGATAAAGAAAGGAAGGACAGAAGCCTTGAAGAGATGTCTAAAGAAGCAGACGAATACAGATCACTTTTCTTTTTGAAATCTTAAGTCTGACCTCTGTGCTGCATAAACACAAACTGTAGTGGATTCCCTTGTCATTGATAGCACAAGGGCCTGATTGGATATGGATGCTAGTACTTGATTGACTTTCTCTGCAACTTTCTTCTGTGTGTCTGGATGAATCTTTTGATTATTGTTGATTCAGTTAGTTTATATTTAGTAATTGTACCGTGGCCATCATTTATGTGCTGTAATAACAAAGCTTTGTGTGAAAGTGTGGGTTTTTATGCTTTTTCCTGTTTGTTTCAATATTTGCCTTTGCTTTCATACAAACCTTTCAGTAAATGGTGAATGGATGATTAGGTAAGGAGCTGAGGTTAACAACTTTTGTGGAGTAGATGGGGACGAGCTGACGGTGGCATGTGGTGTGTGTAGTGGGGAGAGGGAGGGGGTAAGCAGGTACCCTCCTTTGTCTGATAACTCATTAAAAGGAGGGAAAAAGAAATACTTCCATTTTTTTTCGATCTCTTTAAATTTGCTGCAGTGGCCGCGGATCTAGGAGTTTTTCCTCATGGTGTATAAGAGAATTTTTAAAAGTTTTTTATTTTTTTTTAAGTTTTGAGGGTGTTCATGAACACCTTATTAATACACAATATTCGCCTTTGATTGAGAGAAAAAGGAGGGAAAGGTAAGTGCTTCAATGAATAATGATTACCCTTAATATGAATTATGTTTAAATGATGGGGATTGGGAGGGAGTTTAATTAAATAACTGTTCTTTCTTACATAAAATAAGATATTCAAATTTTTTTCTTAAAAGCAGCAAGTAGCAATTAGCCGTCTACTTGGCTGGAAAAGCCGAGAAGTGTAAAAATAAGATAGCGGAGCGGACGTAAAACTTGGGCTCCTTGTGTCTGCTGGTTGAATAATTTAAAGCCCAATGAGGTGGTGAACGAGCGGGAAAGGCTCGTTGGTCTCGACTGTGTCCACTTTCGAAAAAGGAGAGCGCGAAAGCTTCGTGTACAAGAATTATAAAAAAAAGGTTCGTGTGCAAGAATTGTATAAAAAATGAAAAATGTAAAGGACTTTCCGCCTCTACCCATTCTCTGATTCTCCACTGCCAAATACGAAATGGGTGATAGAGAAGAGATGGATTTCGTTCTCAAGGTAAAAGTAAAACCAAAACCCTCTGATTTTTCTTTTATTTTTTTGTGATAAGTTATATTATTTATGTTGTTCGAAACAGAAATACTTTGGCTACTCTGGATTCCGAGCGTATCAAAAGGAAGTGATACAGAAAGTAACAGAAGGAAGGGACTGCTTGGTGGTGATGGCCACTGGCTCTGGGAAATCTTTGTGGTAAAGGCTTTTTGATTTTTCATTTGAGTTTGATAAAGCCTCTGCCACACTAATCTTGGTTTTCCTTTGCTGTGGTGTGGAGTAACAGTTATCAGGTTCCTCCACTGATTGTCGGAAAGACAGCAATAGTTGTAAGTCCTCTCATCTCCTTAATGCAGGATCAGGTATACCCTTTTCTTTTAAGTATTATTTCTTCAATTTTTCGTTAATAAAGTTTTTGATTTTGTGACAGTCACTTACAAAACTTTAACCTCTTTATATTTTTGATATGATCAGGTCATGACTTTGAAACAGCGGGGCATCAGAGCTGGGTACCTTGGCAGCGCTCAGACTGATTCCACCGCCCAGACCAAAGCTGAGAATGGTTATTTTCACCTACTCTTCTTGACCCCTGAGAAGGCATGCCTCCTTCCTGCCAGGTACTTCCCTATTAGGGATATGAACTGGACCCAACTGCAACGGGGAACCTGCCTCCTCGCCCGGCATCAGATTCAGGGCATGTACGGGGGCAGGATACTTTTCTCCGTTTTAGTGTAATGCAAATTTAAGTACAAGTAGGGCACCTTTTATCTCTCACTCACTGAAAAATGCCACTTATCCTTGATTTTTTTTTTTTTTTAATTTCATTGGATGTTCATTCACGGCATCATGGAAAAAGAATAAAAAAAACACTCCCTTAACAAAACCTTCATATCATTACAAGACCTCAAAGGAACAGTATATCTTCCATGATTTCCAGGTTCATGCAAATTATTATGCAGATTAATGCTAATTATAAGCTGAATGTCCTGAATGCTTTATTTGTACTTACTAAGATTTGCATTTTACATGACCATCTCTTTTGCTATTTTTCTCCTTTTCCAAGGTTCTATCCAAATATTTAATTCCCATGTTTGTACTTTGAATTTAGCATTTCTCTTACATTAACACTACTTTACGAACTTTTAAATGAAAAATGTTAATATTGAGGATGCTTAAATAAAAGCTTCCTTGTCTCACTAATGATGAAAATGTCTGTAGTTTATAAGACATTTTGCTTGTAACATCTCCTGCCTTTTGTTAGACTGAAAATGGAATTAAATCACTGAATATCATCATTGCCCTAACTCCATCTCTTCCCTTAATTTCAACTACTGTACTTATGATCATTTTTCGCTTGGCAGCTTCTGGTTAAATCTTCTAAAGCTGGGAATTTGTCTGTTTGCTGTTGATGAAGCACACTGCATATCTGAATGGGGCCATGATTTCAGGTCATTGATGCTATTTTTTTTCCCTTAATACTTCATTTTTCATATTTCCACTGAGCATGCTATTCCTATTTCCTTTTTGTGGTTGCTGTTGATGAAACACATTGCATATCTGAATGGGGCCATGATTTCAGGTCACTGATGCTATTTATTTTTCCCCTTAATACTTCATTATTGATATTTCCACTGAGCATACTATTCCTAGTTCCTTTTTCTGGTTCTGTGGGGACAAATCCATGATAAGTTTTTATATTTCCACAAAGCATAATTTTCCTAGTTCTAGTTGCAGATTTGTGGACTTTGGCATTTTTAACTTATTCTGTAATCTTATAGCAGCAATAGAGCATTGCAAAGGGAAGCTAATGACATTTGTTGACATTTTAGCAGGAAGGGTACATGAAACATCAAATTTCTGCACCTCTTGCTCCTGGATATTGGGTTTAATTAGTTGCCTTTCCAAAATATATGTGCATATAGTGGCTTTCAGATAAATGATTGCATTCCACATGGATTTTTTTTGTAGCTATTGACTTGTTATTTTAGCCCATATGTCCCACAGAAGATTCTCCCTTTCCCTTTCTTACAAAAGGACTTTATGTTGTGTCCCTTTCTTACCATGTCTCCTCCCTTTCTGTTCTTTCTTTTTTGCATGCTACTTAAACTTAGACATGGTTTTATTTCTTAAGTAGCATTGCTTTCTTTGGCATTTACTTATTGTTCTGCCAGCATAGAGCAAATGAATTATCTATGGTCAGCTATACAGTGACTGTTATTCTTCTTGTTCTTTAACCAAGTTAATATTCATTAATTTACCATTTATCATTATTTTCTCGTTTTCTATATTTTCTAAAAAAATTTCACCTTTGGATTGTTAGGGTGGAATACAAACAGTTGGACAAGTTACGAGCTATTCTCTCTGATGTTCCTTTTGTCGCCTTAACTGCAACTGCCACTGAAAAGTTGGTACCTTTTTATTGGCTTTTATTTCATTTAATATCTTTTTGTGCTCTTGCTGTTGGATGCGAGTCATATTGTTATCTTGCTTCTTTTTTCCTTTGCTTGATCTCTGATTTTGGGGATAATCTTCATTCTTTTAACGTTTTCATCCTCTGCTTCTTGGTCCACACTTCTCATTCTATGTTTTAAGTTCGTCTGATTCTGCTGGTATGTAACCATTAGATCAAATGCTTATTATGGAAATTATATTGCACAAATTAATTTAATGTTGAAACCTAGCGGAAGTCATATTGCAAAATTATACCCATCAATTCCAGGCTCGTTGGAGTTAAAAGTTGTAACTCTTATCTCTCTCCCGCACCCCTCCACACTGTTCCTTCTCAATATGCGACCAGATTTTATTATGTGAAATTTGGTCCACATTTCGTTACAATGTGTCTAGATGGCTTAGATTGTGTGAGATGATCCCATCCACTGGGGTAATGCTTATTTGGTTTGCTCATCGAGTCTTTATCTTTCTTGTTTTAGTTGTTGCCAATGTTACTTCCAATTTTAATATATAACTGAATTCTATTTATGTTTTGGTTGGACTTTTATACTTGAAAGAAGGCCTTTAATATTCTGGCTTTTTCTAAACTCCCAGTGTTCGTGTGGATATCATCAATTCCCTGAAGATGAAAGACCCATATGTTGCAATTGGATCATTTGATCGTAAGAACATCTTCTATGGTGTCAAGCATCATAATCACAGTCAATCATTTCTGGATGAGCTTGTGCAAGAAATTTCAAGATTAGTAGCCAATGCAGGCTCAACTATCATTTACTGCCTTACAATTAAAGAGGTTGAGCGGGTATTTTTCACTTAATTTTTTGCTTAATACCTTTTGCCAAAATTTTCTTTTACACCTAAAATTGAAAATTGCTGTTACCTGTTGCTTCCAAGACAACTGTTGCTGACCCATTTGAGGACTTGGCAATTTTGATTCTCCTTTTCGTCATTATTATTATTATTTATTTTATTTTTATTTTTGTGAAGCTTTTGGCTCACTGTCTTGTGAACTTTTCAAATCACCATGCTTCCTTAGATATTCAAGTCACTCCAGAAGGCAGGAATTAAGGCTGGAATCTACCATGGTCAAATGGGCAGTAAAGCTCGTGAGGAGTCTCACAGGTTTTCTTCATGCATGCTTATTTGGAACATAGATTGTACTGCATGTGATCCATTGGCTTGTAGAATGTGAAGCTTTTTTATTCAACCAATTGCATTATCACTTTTGTCCACGCCTCTCACGTACTAACCCTAAGCTAACTTCTCTATTTATCTCAGATTGTTTATAAGAGACGAACTGCAAGTAATGGTTGCAACTATTGCTTTCGGTATGGGAATTGATAAGCCAAATGTAAGGCATGTCATTCATTATGGTTGTCCAAAAAGTATAGAGGCCTATTATCAGGAAAGTGGGCGATGTGGTAGAGATGGCATGGCTTCTGTCTGCTGGCTTTATTACACAGGAAGTGACTTTGCAAAGGCAGAGTTTTATTGTGGGGAATCACAAAGTGTATGTAGATTTTGTTTTCTCCCAAGTCTGAAGATTTTCTTTTGAAAAAGTTATTATTATTTTATCCCAGTTTGTTAAGATCATGCATATAGTTGATATTATTTAGTAAGTTTTGAGGTTCTCCAAAAAAGATTGAATTTTATGGTCTTTGCTTGTTTTTCAGAACACTTTGTCCTTGTAAATTCTATCTTGTTGTTAAGAGTTTCTTTGTGGACTGCCATTTGCCAGGAAAATCATAAAAGAGCCATCAGGGAGTCACTGATGGCTGGGCAGCGCTATTGCTTACTTACGACTTGCAGAAGAAAGTTCTTGCTAGATCACTTTGGGGAAAAACTTTCAACTGACAATTGTGGTTTGTCCTTGACCAAAGATACAACATTTTATCCTTTCGGTTAATATTGGATTTTAATTGAAAGTATTTGTGAAGAATAGGTCTTTTACCTTTTTGCCTTGCCATTTTATCTGACAAAGACATGATTTCCTTTTCATTTTTATTAAAGCTGACATTTAGACAAAAAAAAAATGATGTGTCTTCCCTTATTTTAATTTCTCCTATTTGGTTTTGCATTTTTTTTCTTTCTTTAGTTGAGACAATGTCGCGGGGGGGGGGGGGGGGGATGTTGTTAATGGGAATGTTATCTTAGATTGAAATTAGTACTTATATTATAAACTTATTTTAAGCATTATTGTCATATTCTCAACAAAGTAATTTGACATTCCCTGTAAGGCTGTAATTTCTTTTTGATTGCTAATAATTTTGGCTGAAATAGATGGAGGTCAGGTAGGTTTATCTTCAACCTCTCTCTTCTGACATAGTAAATGACTATATGTAGCTCTCATAAGTGATTCAGCAAACCATTTTGAACTTTGAACTATAACTAACATTTCAACAGAAATATTACAATACTGTATTCTTTGTAACGTTTATTGACTAGTGGAAAAGAAAAACTGAGATGTCTAACTGCTTTATGTGTAATACTTTAAATTGGAAAAACTCCATTAATAATTGGCTTAGATCTTATGTATTTTCTGATCTCGATAGCTGTATATTTGCTAAAAGTTCACAGACTTTTTTTTGAATTTTTCTTAATAAGTTTTAATTTATTAAAATGTGTCTCCAGGAAATTGTGACAACTGTTTGGTCTCAAGAAGGGAGCGTGACATGTCTAAGGAATCATTTTTATTGATGGCTTCTATTCAATCATGTGGGGGTAACTGGGGCCTTAAGATGCCCATAGATGTCCTTCGAGGCTCTCGAGTAAGTTGTTACCTAGTGCCTTCTTGATTTGTTATTTCTGAATGCATTTTTTAGCCTGAAAGTACGATGTGACTATAATATTCAATCTTTTAGCAATATTGACCTTAACATCTTCTTCTACCCAAAATAAATTATCCGTGGTCATTCTGCACTTTGTTCAAGATCAAATATCTAATTTTGTTCAAGGCTGGCGTTTAAAACTTTTCTATACTGCAGGCCCAAGGTTAGATTTGATAAGGCTTTTTTTTATAAATGTACATGAACATGCACTTCTGATTTGCCAAAAAGAGAAGAAAATAATAATTGTAGGGGGTAAGATTCTAATTTACCACTCTATTTAGGGTGATGGATCAAATTTACTACCTATCTTTAAACGGGTGCAATTGTAACATTATACTTTTTAATTTGATTAAAAAAAGGTCAAAATTAATTGTGCAAAAATATTTTGTGAGGAAAAAATAAAGGAATATTCTACAGAATAATCTAACTTTTAACCTGTTTGCCAAATCAAAAATTATAGTGGTAAAATTGCACTCCTTCAAAGATTAGTGGTAAATTTGATCTATCACCCAAGTAGAGTGGTAAATTCTAAACCCTAAAACAATGAACAGACAGACTACAGGATGGAAAGTTAGAAGAGATCGAACCATAATCCTATATTTCTTTAAGATTCTTTTAAGCTTTCATTCATCTTTATATGCCAGTTCCCAAGCTTTAAATGGGTATTGCTATACCTGATAGCTGCCTTCCCTCATGGTTTGCAGTCAAAAAAGATTGTTGATGCACAGTTTGACAAGCTTCCACTTCATGGACTTGGAAAAAGTTACTCTTCAAACTGGTGGAAAGCACTGGCACACCAACTAATATCTCATGGTAAATAAACCTAGAATTTATACTTGATAATTGAGTATTGATCAATCAGGAAGAATGCCTATCAGTTATTGTAGTTTGTTATGAAAGGATTATAGAATTACATCGATATTCTAAGCTGTTATAATTATTTGACTTCAGATATTTGTCATTATACATTGTAAAATCCTCTTGCTGTCATCTGGTTAAGATTGTTGAGTTGTGTGGCGATTTTTCTTTTTCTCATGTCACCTTGTACTATTAAACCTCAATCTGTGTTTTTTCTTCGTATTAATCTGAATGTTTTAAGATAAATATGTTCTTTTAGAAATTCTTTGTGCATTTGATAGGTGCTGTTGAGTATATATTTGTTTAAAATTAAACTTAGAATTAGGTTTCACCAAAGAACTCAGTGTGGGTAGTTCTTATTGCTTTTTATCATGTTGGCCACATAATAGAGTGCTCTCATGAGAATAGTTAGAAGTATTGTACCAAAAGGGAGAAGGACATAGTCATGCACAAATGAGACTAGATTCTTTTTTTTTTTTTTTTTTTTGCTTTCATCTTCTTATAATCTTGATTTTGTGTTTTTATTATATTGAATGTCTTATTTTAATCTGCATTTCTCATTATCATGTTGATAAGAATGTGTAGTTTGCAAAGAAAATGTTGATTAGTTTGTAACGAGATTTGCAACTTAACCCAGGCTATTTGATGGAGACTGTCAAAGATGTGTACCGAACTGTAAGGTAGATCGCATCTTTTGTTCTGATCACGAATATAGTACCTATTCATAGACTAAAGTTTTTCCATCTATTTCTCCCTCCTCTATCACAACTTATAGCTCACAAATTTGCATATGATGATACATTCTATATTTGATTCTTTAATGCATCAGTGTTAGTCCAAAAGGGAAACAACACCTTAGTTCTGCTGGACCTGATCATCAGTCACCATTATATTTGCCGCTGACTGATGAAATGCTTGATGATGAGGACCAAGATAGCACATCAGGAGAAATTCGGAAGGTTAAGAATTTGGCCCCCTTGGACAATGAAGGATTCTCAGAGGTTGTGACTTGAGTTTTATTTGGTCTTTTTTTTTCCTTATCATATCATCATTCTAATCATTACGCAAGTAATCTATTATGCTGACAGAGGCTGGACCTATATTTCTTGCACCATTGTAAGATGTCTAGGGTCAGATGTTTTGGAAATTATTGTGTCACCATGTCTGTATGGTATCGTGCCCATATTGCATGTCCGTATCCGTGTTTCATAGGTTAACACAGTATGTAGGAGATGCATAGGCAGACAAAACAGCGCCATTAGTGTAGTGCCAACTAAAGTATCTATGACTCAGGGTTTTCATCTTTTCTGTATTTCAGATCCCAGATTTCACATGGCAATAGATGCCTAGAGTCCAGATGTTCTCTACCTGTCCCTTTTTTGTTTAAACACACTGCTTTTTGGTGTCTAGATGTATGTCTTAACGGGTAGTGTTGTTTATCTTGTAGTAATTTTGCTAGTTAAGTTTTCACATATTAATCAAGATACATTCACCACTATATGATGAGGATCTTCTAGAGGTTGGTGATGGTTTATTTAATGGTTATGGTTTATAGGTTTTTGCATTTGTTTCCAAAAGAACAGAGCAATTCCTTAAGGAAAACACACAAAGTATTCATATAATAGAAAAGTTGATGTCATCTTAATATTTCACAGACTGCATTGTCAATCTATTCACAGATTTTGTTCAGTAACTATGTGATTCTCCTCTGTGTATGTCTATTTCTTTTGACTACAGGCAGAGGCACAACTCTATCGCCTGCTTTTAGAAGAGAGAATGAAGCTTGCCAGAGCCATTGGAACTGCTCCGTATGTTTTTATTATTTGATAAGTAAACCTACTTGCAGAAGACGATTTAGTTGTAATGCAAGAAGAATTTGAGATGTGACCTTTATCTGTTGAATAATTTGCTCTGCCAGATATGCTGTATGTGGTGATGAAACAGTAAAAAGAATTGCATTGATAAGGCCATCTACCAAAGCAAGATTTGGAAACATTGATGGTGTTAACCAGGTTGGTTAAAAATAAGGACAACAGAATAGATGTTTCCCATGTCTTTATAGTCTAGCATGTAAATAAATATATATACATATGCACACAACACACTCGGAGATATTCCTGTTTCTCTTCCTTGCTAGGAGTTTAGGAAATAGTGATTGGTTGATTCTTCTAAAATTTAGTGTATAGATTACCCATCTTTCACAATGACTAATGTCAGCATAGAGTTTAGCATATTCACTACCATGCATGCTGTAAAACGGACTCCTTTTCTAGTTGTACTAATTTGGACATCTCACCATTTAATAATAGGTTGCCAATACTCAACTACTCATCTGATTTAAGTTGGAACCTGTCATTCCACCAGGTTACAGGCATCTATTGCATTAGATGTTTCGACTTGAAATCTTAAATATTAATATTTTCTGCTTTGAAACAATTTTAATTTAGTTCTGTTTGGAAGGTTCAAGGAGCAGTTTCTGCCTGGTGGATAGTTTAATAGGATGAAATAAGTTCTTCTATTAGTCAGTAACCTCTCTGCAACCAGCAACATACGCTTGTACAGATAAACACAAGCATAATGCCCGTCTGTTTCTGATAAAAAGAGAAACCATATTTCTGAGTGAACTAGAAGGTCATGGCACTTGGTAGGAGTGGCTTTATCACTGCTTTTTGGTGATCCCTGTGAAAAATCTTGATCAGCTTCACTTACCTACGTGATAACTGTCACCCAGTGGGCACATTTAAATATTTAAATCTATGTTCAATTTTATCCCTTGCCGCTCTAGACTTCCTCGTACTTTTGAAGCCTTACTTTAATGATCAATGCTATTGCAGCACCTTGTAAGGACACATGGGGATTATCTTCTTAACATTATCAGGCATCTATCAGAAAGCCTAAACCTCTCTTTGGATGGGGAAGCATCCTTCCAGACTGCTATACCAAAAGCACATCCTGTATTGAACAACCAGAGAAAAATAGCTCCTGCAAAGTATGACGCTTGGAAAATGTGGCATGCAGATGGCTTATCAGTTCAGAAAATTGCTGTATGTTTTGATGAATGTTTAAAATCATATATTATCTGGCATTATACAATCTTATAACTATTATCTTTTCATACATAGAACTTCCCTGGTAGACCTGCTCCTATAAAGGAACAAACTGTTCTTCAATATCTTCTGGATGCTGCTCAAGAAGGATTTGAGATTGATTGGACCAGATTATGCAGTGAGATTGAATTGACACATCAAATGTTCTCGGACATCTGTGATGCAGTGTCAAAGATTGGCTCTAGAGAGAAGTTGAAGCCTATTAAAGATAAATTACCAGAAGAGGTGAGCATATCTTCCTGTATTTATTTTTGGGTTGTTTTTCATCTTTAATGTTAATTGTACAACCCTTAATGACTATGTCTTTGGAACAGAATTACTTTTTCCTTTTGAAGTAAGAAAGTACTTGATATAACTAAAGATATTTGCTGCATGATGCCAGACAAGTTATACACATATCAGGACATGTTTGGTAATGCAGAGCTATGGAATATCTCCAGAAGTAGTTGCGCCTTGTTGCAATCCACAGAAAACAGCTGAACTATCAAGTGAGGCTGTCGAATCATGCTTGATTGATGCATGCCACACTAAAAGTCCGCATGAATTTGACATGTCAGGCAATAGTATGGTTCATTTTTCGTCCTCTAAAAACTTAACTAGTGCCCAGGGACCCAAGTTGGACCTGGACTGCAATGATGATCTGGTCTCAAGTAAACGCCACAAACTTGTACATAAAGGAAGTTCAACTGCATCAGAGGCAACAGAAGATTTGATATTAAACTGGTTGAAGAATCATGATGAAGGGGTAAGTGGTCAAGGAGCATACAATTGCAGGAACTGAAATAGAGAATTGTGTATTTTGTTTCCTTCATTTATGTTTTTGATTGCAAAATAATGGAAATGGAGTCTTGCAGGTTCCGCTATCTGCTATCGTGGAGCACTTCCATGGATCCAACAAGGAGCACGTGGTGAAACTATTGGGTAACCTTGAAAGTGATTTTATGGTATTTAGAAAGAAAGATTTGTATAGGCTTATGTAAAGAGAAAAATTAAGTGATTTTATGGTATTTAGAAAGAAAGATTTGTATAGGCTTATGTACAGAGAAAAATTAACTTGCTGAAGCAAGTTCTTGTTTGATGTAAGGCTTTCCTTGATAAGAAGGATAAAAAAAATGTGGGAGAAAAGGCTTTTAGTCTTTGCACCAATTGCAAAATCTTGCCTTAGCTTAATTAAAACTTTTATCACAGTGATTACCACAAAGAGGAAGGTTTGACGTAAGAAATACGGGTTAGAAACATTTGCCCTAAACTACAGGGAAATAGGAACATATAGTTATCAAAATAATTCATCCACATAAGAAAAGTGAGAAAAGATTAAGAAAAATAATAAAAAGAGAAGGTGGAGATAAAGCTAATCCTTATGTAATGCATCATCCAATTCGAGTTCTAACCCTACACGATTTCGAATAGATGCAGAGGCATCTAGAGGTGTTTTGCACTTCTTTTGCAACTCCTTCCATCTGCCGATATCAAAATTATGTTTCTTGAACAATTTCCTCTGCCTGGAGAGAAAAAGCCTCTTCATCAGATCTTGGTATGTGGGATCTCTTGAAGTGAACAGGAAGTAAGCATAGCCTATGACTATTCCAGTAGTAGTGGTGAAAAATGCAATCGGTTCCATAACATCCCATGAAAATTCCCAAAATGTTAGTCGGAAGAAGAGTCCAACTTGTACCACAGCTAATCCTAGACCAGTCCAAAGGATGCGGCGAACTTGCTTATGTGCCAGCACATCAATTTCTTCCTTCTTCTCCTGCAGCCTCTTTAGCTCATCTCTAATGGGATCATCATCAGAAGCCAATGCAAGAGGTACTGCTTTTCTAACCAGATCCACCACCTAAGTAAATGGGAATAGATTTCAGCAAAATCAGTCTATACAGTCAAAATGGTTCATAATAGGGCAATAGGGGGCAAGTCTTAATTTACTGAAGTCAACTATGATGAACTTTGGAGGAGAAAACAACCACCACATAGTTTTGAAATCCACACCCGGTATACAAGCAAATGAGTTACGTTGAAAGTGCAGGAACAATAATAACATTATGGATTCATATTCCTTCTGGCAACCAAAATAAAGGAGCTAATATGCATGACTGCAGGGGAGAAATAAGAGAATGATTTGGAGTCATTGCAAGCATGGAACAGAAAAGACGTAAACTGCAAAGAATCTTGTTGGAGGGGTTTTGGAAGGGGAAGGGATAAGAAGTGCAGATGGCTTAGAGGGATTAATGGCAATAATGCTTATGTACCATTAGGTTTAAATAAGGACTCAAGCAGAATTTAATGGAAGGCTTGAAGTGCAGACAAACCTGAATGAGACTACCAGCAGAGCAATTTGCTTTACACAAAAAGATTCCAATTTTATTTGGGTCTAAACACAGCATGATACTGGCATGTCAAACAAATTTATGGGACAACACATGAACTGAAGGTTGCCATCTGCAGATAAACCTTTGTGCTACAGATTGAAGCATGAAACAAGTTTTAAATGCTACATACGGTGTTACCAGGAAAGAACAGTACATACAAAAATCTTACAAACTCTGTTACGTGAAGTTGAGATTATCACTGTTCAAGTATTATCTGTATGCACACACGTAGAAGCAAGGATGCATGAGCAATTATGCAACAGTTACGACTTTTTCCATTATAATTAAGTCAAACATACCAAGTGATCTTCAAAAGTATCACATTAAATGACTAAGTCATCACAAATTTTGGCAGACAGTTTGAAAAGTGAAAACATAGCACGCATAGAAAGGCAAAATGCATGTGTCCAATGCATTTTTTAATATCCTAGTCTTTTCTATTAGAGCATTATTTCTAAAGGTTAATTACACATTTAGTACTTGAACTATAGTTAATTGTTTGATTTGGCATCTAAAGTTTAGAAATGCTTAATTAAGTAGTAGAACTTCGCTTCTGTTAAGTATGTTGCATATTTAACTAACTCAATTATCAAAATGCATTAGCAGTCAGGTTTTTAACAGCTGTTGGATATATATCACACTTTATGCTAACAGAGTTAACAAAACATGCAATATGGTCAATAGAAGCAAAGTTCGCACCTAATTGTGTGTACTTAAGCTTTAGATACTAAGTCGAACATTTGACTATAGTGTGAACACTAAATTCATCATTAACTATCCATAATGAATATTAACATTTTTTAGTAAAATTACTTAACAAGATATTAGGATTTGACTCCGGTCTCAAATGAAATCCTTAGTTCTTAATGTCAATACATTAACTGTCAATTAAACAATTTAGTGAACTTTTCAAGCACTAGTTGTAGCAATAATGGCTTAATCAGTATGCATATCAGTCATTTTGCATAATAGCAAAGATTTGGGCATGAGATGTGCTTTCCAACATGCGCAAACCAAAATCGAGTCCACTAGGATTGTTCTCATTGAGTTTTAATTTAAACAGAAAGACTTCACTGAGGTAAAGAGGAACATGTAAATGAAAGATTTATTTTGGTTTATTATGAATTCAAGGCTTCTTGAAGAGGCATAAAACCTCAATACTAAATGACTTTAGGGTGTGTCTGATGGAGAGGAATATCTTCTAAAACAAGCACATCAAAAGCATTACTTACCCTAAGTTTCGTGCGTTCTGTCCTCAAGATGGACAGGAATGTGCGGCTTTCAATTATATATATATAAATATATATATCTATTAAAGGTCATATGCAGAATGATGGACCCGTGAAATATGAAGGAGTACCAATGTCAGCTCATTGGCATCTCGCACATAATTCCAGATTTCAAAGTAACCTAAGGAAAGAACAAAGCTTTCAATAAAAACGGAAAGGAGAAAGGAATATCGTACTCTATAGCGCAAAGAGAGAAAGTGAAACTGGCAGAAGCCCCCACTATTACAGAAGTATGGAATATCTCAAAAAAATATTCCTAAGTTGACAAACCAAACACCAAAAAGGAATAAAATTAACGTGAATGGATTCGATTGCAAATCCATTATCGATCTTTTTCAATCGTTTCTCAATCAAGAATCATGGAAACGATTAGAAGGGAAAGGACATGCGTCAATATAAAGAGACTACAACGAGAGAAAGAAAAAGGTAAAAAGGGGAATACCTTATCAGGATGAAGATAAACCTTGTCGCGGAATAGAAGTATGACGCCTGCCTCATCGAGAACGCGTGCAAAAGCAATGGCCTCTTCCAGAGATCTGGCAACGCCCATGCTTTCGCAGGCCTCCAATAACTCCGAGTAGCCTATCACCTCTTTGCCTTCCATTCCAAGCTTCGTCTTGAGTGATTCCACGTTTACCAGCCTCATCAGCTTCTTGGCCTCCGGGAATGTTATGCTTTCCAGTCCTGCTCCTGCGTTTTTGGAATCAGATGTTGCATTGGCATCGGAAGATGAAGAAGATAACCAAACTTTTCTCCCCCAGGATACTGGATCGGTTCTTACAGCCAATCCCTCCATCAGCAGCGGATTCAGCGGCGAAGGCAGAGGTCTCCTCCCAACCGCCGCAGATACGCCCTGCTTCAAAGCCTCGCAACACCACAATCTCCTCCACATGCTTCAATATATCTCTATATATAGAATATGTATTAATATCTCCTTAATACGTTTTTTTTTAATTATGTATGTATGTTCATCTGTTGTGTTTTGAGTGATTCAGTTTCCAAATCATAGATGATGCCCCAAACGGATCTAACTTCGGCTTCTAGAAAAACAAAAAAAGAAAAGAAGGTTTAAACATATATATTAATTTAAGAAAAATATAGAATTAGAAAAAGAAAAAGAAAAAGAAAACTGTAAACAATATTCCATTAAGGCAATGGGGCGGTGATAAAAGCTAGGCATAACATGCGGTGGGAGGAATGACCGAGGAATGCACACTTGCCACCCCTTCTAGTGCTAATATCTACTGCTATTACTGCAGTATAACTCACCGTATTATCAATTAAATTTAAATATAATTTATTTAATATAATTTTTTTCAATCATAATTATAATAATTTGTATTATTATTTTAATTTCATTAAAATTAATTTTCTAAATATACCAAACGGCACTTATGATCCGTGGCTAATTTTTATTCTCAACTACCTCTCTTCGAAGCGCTTCGAAGTTTGATTCGATCCGCTTACCTGCTACATGACCATTACCCATGGCCCAATTACAATTACAGCTATGGCCCACGCTGTTTCCACACGGTCCTTCGCTTGCATGTCGGCCCCGACGCCATTTCCATACGATCTTAGTTTTTTATTTATATTTGTCAACGCCACGTTTGAGTTCACACAATTTTACAGACTTTTTACAATTATTATCACAAGTTGATACGAAAAAGGCGCTTTTTTACATTTCACGCCCACCATTAAACAAATTAATGCAAGCGATTAACACACACAGACCTCCACAAGGATGTGTGTGACATTGATTTTTCCTACACACACCGTATAACTTCCTTCCCTATTCAAGAAAATAAATAAAATATATCCACAATTTCTTATAAAAGCATGTCGGAAACAACTGTAAAAATTCTAAAATTCTAGCATTTCCTCGTTCAAAATCCTAAAAAGCTTTGATTTAAGTTACTGCATTTTAGGGCATTGCTGTTATTTATGCATGGATCTAAGCAGAGATGCACATTTAACAATTGCTTCAAGGAGAAGACCGAAGAAGAAACTTACGCCTTTCATTTTATAGGATATTAAACACTATCTTAATTTTGAAAGCAATACAATTCAATGCCCGACCGCCGAGCCGATAAAGAATGACTTTACCTGGAGAACAACTTTTTATGTGAAGGGAATCTTCTGCATGCTTCAAAATTCAATAATTTTCATGATTGCGACCTTCAAAATTTATGATAAAAAAAATTGTGAGAACTTAAAAATGAATCTCATTGACTGACTTAGGATTTTTCATGAAGTGAGAGAAATCCAATAATAGCTCATATTAATCTGGTTATTGATGGTTGAGTTGTTTAAGGAAATCGTGAATTTTAGATTCACTAAAAATGTAATTTTGGATGGTTTTATTGAAAGTAAATAACATTGTTCATATTTATTTTTATTTTAATAATAACAAACCTTTTATATATGTTTTTTTAATCCTATATTATCGATCTAGTCAAAGTGTCAATGATTCTAGTACTCCAAATTTTGTTATTAATGAATTATTTTTTTTATTTGATTTGATTTTGTGATTTGTTGATAAGTTTTAGAAATAGAATTTCTATTTATTTATATATTTTTAGTTTATTATAATTAAATGAATAAATTAAGTGAGAGATCTTTATTGTCAAATTTTGAAATTTAATTATCGTATTAGAATTTATATAAATTTAATTATAATATTATTTTGATTTGATAATCTTTATCCATCATTAACTTCATCAATTTTTATCATTATAAATGTTGATATTATTGTGGAGGATGATTTTATTAATGTGGCGTTGATTTTAATGATATGATAATATAGATATATGAAATTAATTGTTAAATTATCTAAATGATACATGTATTTATACGATATTTAAAATTTAATCCCTTTAGTATAATTCATAAAAATTTTATACTCGTACAAGTTAAAACTGATAATGTTGGTTTAATTACTAATAAAATATATATCTTTTAAATATTTTGATTTTTTAAAGAAAATCTTCATATTTTTAAATATTAAATTTATTTTTTAATATTTTAATTTTCTAAAAAATATTTTAAATTAGATTTTATTTTTATTTAAAAATGTTAATATTTTGATTTTTTTAGAAAATTTATTGTTTTTTAATATTAAATTTATATTTTTTTCATTATTTTAAATTTTTAAATGAAATTATTTTCTATAAATTTTATATTTTTTCAACTTTTAACATTTTTATTTAATCAAAATATTTATTTTTTATTTTAATTTTTAGAATTTTTTATATTTTTATATTTTTTAGAAAATTTTATTTTTTAATATTTAAATAAAAATAAATAAATTATAGAGAAAACATAAATATTTAGAATTTGTTTTGTTTTGATATATTTGGGGTGAAATAGAATAAAATCTAGGATATAACATAGTAATTACGAAGCAAGAAAGGTTTCTAATTTTAATTAATTCTTCATTTGAATAATATAAAAAACATGTGAAAATTTTTAAATTTTATAAATATTTTTAAAAAATAAAAAATATGAAAATTTTATAAAAAATATATAAAAAAACATAAAATTTAAAAATATAGAATATTTTATAAAAATTCCAAAAAATTAAAAAACAATAAAATTAAATATTTTGATTAAATAAAATATTAAATTTTGAAAAAAAATACAAAAATGTTCAAAAAAATTAAAGTTAAAAAACTTAAATATTGAAAAAATATAATTAATAATTTTTTAAAATCTAAAAAAAATTAAAAAAATCAAAATAATGATTTAAAAAAAATCAGATTTTAAAATAATTAAATAATAAGATTTTTAAATTTAAAATATTTAAAAATATAAATTTGATAATTTGATAACTGATTACTTCCATCTAAGTCTTCACATTAGCAAAGTCAATGTCATATAAACAAAGTTAACTCTAAGTTAGTATTTTTAATAGTAAAAATTTGATAAAATTAACAATTGGACAAAAATTATTATATCAAAATATTATAAGAATTAAAATTGTATGTATTATATTATAGGGGTTAAATTTTAAATTTTGACAGAGTAAATGAACTTCTAACATAATTTGATCTAATTAGTTTTGTAGAATTATTTATTTATTTACAAAATAAATAATGGTTATGTATTTCATTGTTGTTTGTCCGATTACATATTTACTTTTACCATATACTTTTTTATGTAGTTATACAATTATATACTTATATATATATTATTTATTTATTAAGTTAAAAAAATAAAAATATGAAATCAATAAAATGAAATTACAAACAAGAAGAAGCAAGATTGTTATTGGTTTTAAAGTTTTAAGTGTTTTAAAGTCTAAGATTTATGCTATATTTTGATAAATATTAATAAAAGAAACGAAAGAAAAATAAAATAAAATAAAATTTTTTAAAAGAAAAGAAATGATATATGTAATCTTTATTTGGATAATTAAAATTAATAAAAGAAAATAAAAGAAAAGAATTTTAATAATCATTATTTGGATAAAGAGTAAAAAATAAAGGAAATGATTAATTACAATAAAAAATTTTAATTATAATTTTTCATTGCTTGTGATTTTAGAGCACTCATAGATTATAGTATATTTGTTATCTTGTCTAGCCTTACAATTGTTGTTATATCAATAATTTTAAATCACATGAAACTAAAAGATGTTTTACAAATATACATTAATAAATTTTAAGTAGTTTGACATCTCATAAACTTAAAAAATATATCTATTTATATTTAATCATTCATTAAAATTAAATAACCAAAAAATTATAAAAAATTTTTATATTGAAAAATATATATGAAACTTAGTTAAAAAAAATAATTTAAAAAAAATTATAAGATGATTATGATTTGTTTAAGTTTATTTTATTAGATTTTTAGTATTAATAAAAATACGGACATAATAATTTTTTTATAAATTTTTTTTATAATTTTTAATTCAAATTGAGGTATTAAAAAAATTGAGTTTACAAAAAAATAAAAAAATTTTTAATTTTCACCACTTTCTTTTTTTTTTAAAATTAAAATGTTTATTTAAACAAGAGAAATAATGTTTTATTTACTTTGCTTTCTTTTATTTTATTTACTTTTATTTTTCTCCCCTCAATTCAAACACACTGTTAAATTTTGAGGTTTCATGAATTAAGTTTAGGGATTTAGAAAGATTTAAAGTGTTAAAGGTTTCGAAGGATTAGAGTTTGAGATTCAAACTTTTAAGAATAAGTTTATATTTGATATATAAAGTTTATATACAGTAAGTGAATCAAATAATAACTAATCATTAATAAAATAATTTATTAATCAAATGATAATAATTTATTATTTGTTCATTTATAAGTCATTATTACATGATTGATTAACAATACATAAAATTTATATACTGAGACAGTATATAAAATATAAACTTTTTAGGTATTTGAAATTTAAGATTTAAAGGGTTTATAGTTTCGAAAGTTCCTGAGAGTTTGAGATTTCGATGTTTTAAAGTTTAGACTTTCAAAAGATTTTGGAAGTGTTGAGGGTGTAAGGTTTTAGAATTTAGGGTTTTAATAATATTTTTATTTTTGAAAAAGGAAAATAAATTAAAAAAGGAAGAAAAATTTAGCAAATTTTTGGAGGAAAATCGAGATTACAGAACAGAAATGAGGCTGGCCTCAGAAGAAATTTGGAAATTTGGAAAATTGCAAGAAACCAAGCAACAACACAGAAGAAAAGTAATGATCGCAGGAACTTGCAATAGAAAAAAAATGGCAGTAAATAAAAAATAAGAAAAAATTAAAAAAGAAATCAAAGATGAAAAATTGAAAAATTTTTGGAGGAAAATTGAAGGACAGATTCTTTTTTAATCGAGATTAGAGTCCTATCGAAAGAGAACAGAAATGAGCAATCAAATTGCAAGAAACCCAGCAACAAAATTCAGCAAAACAAAGGTTCAACAATCAAGCATCAAACAAAAGGACAACAGAGCAAATCAAACACATCTTCTCAGTCAGCAACAACACACAGAAGAAAAGTAATGATCGCAGGAAATTGCAACAGTATAAAAAAATGGTAGTAAAGAAATTTTAGGGTTTCAGCAGTAAAAAAAATGGCAGCAAGGAATGGCTTCTTAGGCTCAAAAGCGGCAATTTCAAGTTTGATTGCTTTTGGTTTGAAGTGGTTTCAACAGGCTGATATTAGGATTATGAGTTTAACCGTTTAGGTCTCGGGCTTGAAGGAATTTTTTTTTTCTTTTTGGAGTTTCAAACAGGTGGTCGGACGGAGGCTGGCAGCTGTGACTGCGAGACGCGAAAGTGGCGGCGACATGCCGGTTTCTGGGTCCATTTGATGTTGCCTGCAGTGTTTGATTGTAGAGAGAGGTCAGAGAATTCGCATTTAGAGAGAGAAAGGGCGAAGAAAAAAATGAAAATTGTTGGATTTTGAAAGGTAAAGGCCGCTGACCCGTTTTTAAATTTTTTTTTTTTCATTTTTTTTATTTGTTTTTAACTCTGTTTTTTTTTTTTTTTTTTTTTTTTTTTTTTCTATTTGTTTATTGATAGTGTTCCGATGGTTTTGTAAGAGTAGCCAGCAAAGTCCGGCAAGGAACTACAAGAATATTCTTGGCTCCTGGGGATAAACCCATAGATCATGATGTCATTGTGAGAACCTTTGAATAATTGTATCATAACAATTGTACCATAAGACCAATTATCCTGCAAATTACATTAACCCCTTTTCCCTCAAATCATTTAATTTTGCCACTTCATTTTTTTTTTAATTTTAAGCTATTGACGGAATTATCTAGTGGTTATCCTTTTTTTTTTCTGCAGTACCTCTACATATATGAGATTGAAGAAGGGTCATGATTAATCTTCAACTTGTCACAAATGACAAATACTTTCTATTTTTTTTTCCCACCTTTCATTCCTACTGTAAATTTGAAGCATCAAACTCTAATTAGGTATGGTTTCTTCCAAACATGGAAGGTGGCTCAAACACTTGGTCATAAGCCTTCCTCACCAAATTTCCTTTGTTTCATTCCCTTTTAAAGGAAAAAAAACCCTTGCACTACCATTTTGACTGACAGGATATTTGTTATTTGTTCCAACTGGTCTCTCCTGGCATTTTTTTACCACGGGAGTCGCATTTCAGTAGCTACACTTGGAAATTGCCACTACTTTGCAAACAGAATTCAATAAAATAAGCATACATTTCTTATTTTTAATTGAATTGAGCAGGTCAACCACAACTCTTTAGGCCCACAAAGAGGAGAGCATAAAAAAACCACTAGATCCTCGAGGAATCATTATATTCTCTTTAACAATTTCTTCCAGGTTGGAAGCTTAACGTCTAAACTTTAAACTATAAGTCAATGATTATTATTTTGTTTTCTGAATTGTAAATGTCCAAACAAGTTATCCCATAATACCACTTGGACCAGGGTGAAACCGCTGTGCCAAAAGTAAACCCATGAGCAAATGGCAGCTGCTTAAAGGAAAAAAGCAATCAACAATATTTCTTCAACTAGTGTTCTGTCCGTTAACTGATTCCTTGATAAAGCCAGCTGCTAGAATCTGCAAGTCAAAGGAGAAAGAGAAGGAAAGGAAATCAAACATCATTAATCTGGGAAGTCACCTGAATCTCAAATTCGACTTTTCTCTTCAATTTCGAATGGTGAGTAAGCCGTCTCTTTCCTCTGTGAGATATCGCTGAAAGATCACTGAATTGAAATTTGCTAGATCTACTTTTTTCTTAAAAGACAGTGGATATATTGCTGATTGGTTTTCTGGGAATGGTCTAACAGGCCGCACAAGTTCCTGCTCCACAGGAAACGGATGGTTCACCAGAGGATCCTCCAGTTAAGTCACCAAGAGTCAAACTCAATGATGGAAGACATATAGCTTACAGCGAGAGAGGTGTGACCAAGGCCAAATCTAACTGCAAAATCATCATTGTTCATGGTTTTGGAAGCTCCAAAGGAATGAATTTTCAAGTTCCCCAAGTACTGATATTTAACTCTCTTCTCAAATGTTACAATTCTCTGAATATTAAGATAATTAGGCAGTAGGATTCGGTAATTTGATAGATAGAACATACCCAGAAACAGAAAGGAGTATTGGTAAAACTTCGGGAATTGATGAGTAACTTAGCGGAAACTCTTTGAAAAACTTTTTGAATTCGTAGGAATTGTGACGAAAACTATATTCAAAACCCATATGACAGAATTTAGATTTTTTTTATTGTTTTAATAATAACAGTATACAAAATAATTTATTGAGTACTTGATATAACTGACCTGGAGTTGGACATGTTGCAATGAAAAGAATGGATGTGTTTAACTTATCATAAGGCCTTGATCACATCAATAGTTGTTATGTCATATTTTCTTGAAGAATTCTTTTGTTTTCTGAAAAATCACCCAACTAAAAAATCTATGGTTTAACGAGGAGAATCCTGTTAGACCTTCTAGTCAAGGAAGAAATGACACAGTTTGGCCTAAATCTATGAAAAATGAAGCTAACTTCAAAGTTGGTTAAGTTTCCAGGAATTAATAGAAGAATTGGGGTTATATTTTCTGCTATATGATCGGGCGGGCTATGGAGAAAGTGATCCTAATCCAAGGCGCTCGGTTAAAAGTGAAGCATTTGACATTCAAGAGCTTGCTGATCAATTACAGATAGGAACAAAGTTTTATGTGATTGGAGTCTCAATGGGATCATACCCCATATGGAGTTGCCTCAAATATATACCAGAAAGGCAAACCACTCAAATTTTCTGATGCAAAGCTTTTTTACTTCACTCATGTCATAAAATAATCTACTTATCTGTTGACTATCTGTGCAGGTTAGCAGGTGTGGCCATGGTAGTTCCTGTCATCAATTATAGATGGCCCTCCTTTCCTGTCAGCCTGACAAGAGAAGATTATAGGAGATCACTTGTCAAGTTGCTATATTGGATAGCAAAACATACACCTCGGCTGCTACAGTGGTGGGTTACTCAAAAATGGTTCCCTTCACCTTCTGTCATGGAAAAAAAGCCTGGATTCTTCAATAAAAGAGATATAGAAGCCCTGATGAAAACAGAAGGATTCCCCATGCTCACCAAGGTAAAGATAACATTGTGCATACACAAACAAGCAACGAATAGAGGACTTCTTGCTGATAACAAATTTGAAACATTCCAACAATTCCTCTACATCAGCATAATTTTATACCTGGACAAGTGCTGTCAAATGATTATATGTTGACAATTATGTTTGTGCCAACAGGAAAGATTACGAGAACGATGTGTTTTTGATACCCTCCGAAATGACTTTCTGGCCTGTTATGGTGATTGGGACTTTGATCCAATGGAACTAAGCAATCCAAATGAAAGCTGTGTGCATATCTGGCAAGGTCATGAAGACAAGATTGTTCCATTTGAACTTCAACGATACATTTCAAGAAAGCTACCCTGGATCCAATATCATGAAGTTTCTGATGGTGGACATTTTCTTGTGCATTACAATGGTTTATGTGAGGCCATAGTACGTGCTATGTTGCTTGGAGAGGAGCATCACCTGTATAGACCAGATGCAGATAAAATTGTCTCCTAAATTATTCACTATTTCTTTCATTCTTTAAATGTTGAATATGTAAATATGTGATTTTCTATTGATAAACCTGTGTTACATCAGATTTGTTATTCATTATTCAAAGAATGACAATTGTTGGATTTGCCTTGTTTTTGCGTTATATGTTCATCGTATCGAACTTTATACCATTACACCACAAATTCTTGTTAGAAAATTATTGAGATCCCCCAAATATGTAAGTAGTCTAATGGAGTTGCAATCCACGTAAAGTAAGAGCTGATATCTCACGTAATTGAATTTGACAAGTTACCACCATTGCTGGGTTCAAGTAAGAAAGACAATCGATTAACTTACTGCACCTTTGACAAAAGAGTTCAAAGAGAGATAAGCAGTTTGCTGGCATTCTGAGGAGAGGGCAAAACTGACTTGGAACTTACACTTTTGTCTTAGACTCGAACATGACCATAATTTATATAGGCATAGCATTTCACCACACGAAAATAAGATTAATTGTTTTGAATCAACTGACAATTAAATATGGAACATAGTAAATAATCTTAACAATCTTATTTAGGGATAGACATATAGTCGGAAGCATCAGTCTGTTGATGTTGGAATCGGTTTGAATGTTGTGGCCCTTAGCCCCTGCCTACCTTAACCCTCTACCTGAAGGACAACAACCCCAAGCTTGAGACTCGTCCTTCCAATTGTTTGAAAGAGTTGAAAGAATGTTCGAAGTTTTCAAACTAAGTGATGGTCATCACTTGCATGTTTTTAGGGGCTATGGTCCTAAATTAGTAAGAAAAATGGAAAATAAACAATCAAAGAGAGAATCTGAAATCTCCCCCCTTAACCCTGACTGTCATCAGTTCATTATTTTCAACTGTTACTAATACTTTAGTATTCAAATCAAATGGTGCTGACTGATGAGAGGAATCTGAAAAATTGACTCCTTGTAAGGGAATTTTGACAGAAACCAAGCGGCATGTGGCACAAACGTGTCAAAAACTGTGACCAAAATGATGACCACAACCATTGCATGTATTAAGGTGGCCATGGCAGTTACAATTCCTTCACCCCTCCCCCCCTCTCCCCGCTCAAACCAAAGCCAAGAATCCTTCTCTTCTCCACAGATTCCCTCCTTTTGGGTTCTTCCAACACGCCAAAAAGGGAAAAAATGGTTTTCTTTACCCAAGCCTCTCCTAGCAGATCACATTCAGGTAATTTGTTTACATTTTTCTTTTCCCATTTCTATATGTGGTTTCTTTTTCTTCATGCATTATTTCCTTTTGCATATCTTTGACAGTTTCACTTGTGGATTTCCTTTTTCTTTCTTCTTGGATAGTTGATCTATACACTTGCATGTTGATGTTTTGGTTTTCCCAAATGGCACAAAGCTTAAACTGATGCTGCCATTCTTTTTTGTTTTGTTTTGTTTTTTTTTTTTTTGTATTTACGTGAATAAATCTAAGTTCTTTCGAATTAGTACAAACATTAGTTCATTTGAATATTCAAATGCATGATATTTAGTTCAAATTTTGACATGCTGCACTTCTTTTTTTATAAAAAATGATTATATTTATGTTTTTTTCCATTTGTTTTATAGTATTTTCTAACTTAGTCAAAATATTTTTACAATGGTTTATATTCTGCTGTGGGAAATTAAAAATGTTGTTATTTAAGCACATGCAATGGTCAACGATTATTCAGAAAATAAATACAAAAACAAAAAGAGAAACAGGGGAACAAAAATACTTACTCCATATAAAAATCTTTTTGGTGCCACCAGCCCTCACTCAGAAGCTAGATGTTTGGGCCAAAACCAAGTATGGAGATAGTCAAAATACCAATTCATTTTGTGCATTGACAAAGAAAATAATTTCTTGAAATACACACATGAAACTAATAATCAGTAGCTACCTAGTACCTTCAAAAATTTTATTGATTAAAGGACTCCAAAGAAAAAGATAGTTACTTCATGTTACTTCTATCGTCTCCTGAAATCTTATTGTTACTCACCTGCATTTTCAAGAGAAATTAACAGCTATTATAAACTGTATGTGCTTTCTGTGTTTCTTATTGTGCAGGAACTTGTTTTGAGTGTGTGTGTTTTTAGGTAATAGCATAATCATGAAGGCTAGTGCTTGTACCATCTCAGTGAACAAGACAATAGTCTCCAGTTTGTGGTAAATAATGGTGTTCTCTGAATCAGAAAGTGTTGCCTATGGCGGCATCAAAACAGGATCACAGTTACAAGCACCACAATCACCGCACAAGGGATTAACAGCAGATCCATCCATTTCTTCCTTAAGCAAACAGAATTTCATTTTCTCACTTACTCTCGACGAAATTCAACTTAATAGTGGGAAGACTTTTGGGTCCATGAACATGAATGAATTCCTTGCCAACTTGTGGAATGTGGAGGAAAACCAAGTTCCGTCACAACTCAACCAAAACGAACCTATGGATGACAAAGGCATAGGAAGCCAACCGACTTTAGCACGACAAGGCTCTTTTTCCATCCCTACCCCTCTTTGCAAGAAAACAGTGGATGAGTTATGGTTTGAGATACAGAAAGACCTACCACAGCAGCGAAAAGCTAACGACATTACTGATCATGAACCTCCTCAGCGGCAACGTGTTAGGAAAATGAGGTCCAGTCCCATGTAAGTGGTTTTGGACCAAGTAAAGGCCATGGGCTTTGATCTTTTATTTTACACAGAGCCCTAGCTACTTAATAAAAAAGAGGTGGGGTTGTTTAAGGTGTGTGTCGACAACCAAGCAGAGAAAGAAGAAAAGCCAGGAAAAGCAGAGAGAGAAAAAGGAGAAGGGAGAGTTGATTAAACGGAAGTCGATCCGTGGTCCGATTGAGTTGGAACCTTGTCAGGAGGTTTATGATTCAGAGTTATACATTCTGAACGGTGAAGATCGGGTTTGAAGCTCTCTAGGAACAAATCCATGGTGTATTTGTTGAGTCACTTATTTGGTGAGATTTCTCCAATTGTTTCTCTAGTTGTTGATTAGCTCTAGTTTTAGCTAGAGAAGAACTTTGTATAACTATTATTTGATAGTGAAGATTTTTCTGGTGGCCCGTGGTTTTTCCCTCTACACTGGAGGGTTTTCCACGTAAATCTTGGTGTGCTTTATTTTTCCTGCGTATTTGATTATTGATTGTTGTCTATTGCTTCTGTATTGTTGTGATTATTGCTTCAGGCGCAACAAGTGGTATCAGAGCGAGGGTTATTTTGAGACATCGATACAGAAAGCAACCCAGGATAGAAGTTAAATTCTGTTTTGAGATCATGGAGGGTGATACAGGTTCCATGATAAAATTGACAGCATCAAATTATTCAATTTGAAGCCTATGATGGAGGATCATCTATACTGCAAAGATTTGTATGAGCCAGTATTGGGTGATTCGGCTAAACCAGCAGATATGAAAGATGAAAGCTGGAAGAAGCTAGGTAGAAAGACGCTGGCTACAATCAAAAATGGGTTGATATCAGCGTGTTTCATCATGTAGCGCAGGAGTCAGATGCTCACATTGTTTGGGAAAAATTGGCAAGCATTGTAATGAGAGAAAACAGGTATGAATAAAGTTATGCTTGTTAAAAAAATTGCAACTTTACAGTACAGGGATGGACGATCTGTTACAGAGCACTTAAGTGATTTTCAAGATATATTTTAATCGGATGACTACTATGGAACTTAAGATGGATGATGAAATGAAGGCATTATTTCTTTGGTTCATTGCCAGACAGCTGGAATACTCTAGTTGTGACTGTTCTTAATTCAGCTCCTGATTATAAGGTGACATTAGAGATGGTAAAGGACAGTATGCTTAATGAAGAAGCGAGGCGAAAAGATGTAGACCCTGGGAATCAAGCTTTGGTCACAGAGAACAGGGGTAGAAACATCGACAGAGGTCAGGACTCAAAAGGCCGTGGTAAGTCTAAACATAGATCCAAGTCTAGAGGTAAAGTGAAGTGTTTCCATTGTGGTAAGGCGGGTCATATAAAACGAAACTGTAGAATCTTAAAGCAAGAGCGAAAAGATGAGAAAGGCAAGAGTTCAGATGATGGCAATGTTGCAGCAGTGAATTCAGATAGTGATTCAGTTACTTTGATTTGTACACATGGTGATTGTAATCATGTTAGTGATCCCGGCATTGAGTGGATAGTTGACACAGGAGCGGCATATCATTGTGTTCCTAAGAGAGAGTTGTTTACAACTTACAAAGCAGGAGACTTTGGTTGTACCAAGATGGGAAACAAGAGTGTGTCGCAGATTGTGGGATTGGTGATATTGGTGTACAAACTAGTACAGGCTGCATGTTGACTTTGAGGGATGTCAGACACATTCCAGATATGAGAATGAACTTGCTTGCTATTAATGTCCTTGATAAGGAGGGATATGAAAGCCGACAAAAGAATGGACAGTGGAAGCTTCTCAAAGGATCTATGGTAGTTGCAAAGGGAAAACTATGCTGCACAATGTATAAGACATGGATGCAATTGAACGGTAACCAGGTAAATACCGTTGAAAATGATGCTTCAGCAAACTTGTGGCACAGGAGGCTGGCACACATGAGTGAAAAAGGGTTACAGGTTTTGGCAAGGCACTCTCTCATTCCCTTGACCAAAGGTATGTCTCTCGATTCATGTGATTATTGTTTGTTTGGTAAGCATCATAGAGTTTCTTTTCGTAAAAGTTCTCAGAGAAAAGAAAATAGATTGGAATTAATTTATTCTGACGTATGTGGTCCCATTGAGGTTGAGTCATTAGGTGGTAGCAGATATTTTGTTACTTTTATTGATGATGCTTCACGTAAGACTTGGGTGTATATGTTGAAATATAAAAGTCAGGTACTGCAGTATTTTCAAAAATTTCATGCCATGGTTGAAAGGATGACAGGGTTACCCTTGAAGTGTATTCGAACTGATAATGGTGGGGAATACACATCTAAAAGCTTTGAAGAGTATTGCTCAAAGCATGGGATCAGGCATGAGAGGACAGAACCTGGAACACCGCAGCATAATGGTATAGCTGAAAGAATGAATCGCACCATTGTGGAAAAAGTCAGATGTATGTTGAGGATGGCAAAATTACCAAAGCCATTCTGGGGTGAAGCAGTCAACACAGCTTGTTATTTACTTAACAGGTCACCATCAGTTCCTTTGGGCTTTGACATTCCAGAAAGAGTGTGGACAGGGAAAGATGCTTCATACTCTCACTTGAAAGTTTTTGGATGTAAAGCATTCATGCATGTGCCGAAAGAGCAGAGATCAAAGCTTGACAGTAAAGCTACACAGTGTGTGTTTGTAGGATATGGTGATGAGGAATTTGGCTACAGGGTATGGGATCCAGTAAAGAGAAAGACAGTCAGAAGCAGAGATGTGGTCTTTCATGAAAAAGAAACCATAGCAGATCTTGAGAAAAATGAGAAGACTACACGAGTTACTGTTGAGTGTGATGTTTCAACACCGACAGAGATTTCACAGGAAAGAGCCACAGATGGTGAAAATGAGCCAGAAACAGAACTTGGGGATATGGATGAGCCAGCTACAGTTGGTGATGAGCCAGATGCTATTAGTTTTGAGCAGGGGGAGCAATCCTCTCTACCTGAGAGTGTTGAGCAGGGGGAGCTACCTTCGGCATCAAGTGATGTAGAGTCTCAGCCCAGGAGATCTACTAGAGAGCGCAGGCCATCTACCAGGTATTCAAGTTCAGATTTTATTTTAGTTACCAGTGAAGGGGAGCCAGAAAGCTTTCAAGATGTGCAGGCTACTCCGGATAGAGAGCACTGGTTAAAAGCAATGAAAGAAGAGATGGAGTCATTGCGAAAGAATGGTACTTATGATCTTGTTAAACTTCCAACAGGAAAGAGGCCATTAAAGAATAAATGGGTGTTCAAGTTGAAAAAGGATGGTGACAAACTAGTAAGGTACAAAGCTCGATTGGTAGTAAAAGGTTTTTCTCAGAAACCAGGCATCGATTTTGATGAGATTTTTGCTCCAGTTGTAAAAATGAGTTCTATTCGAGTGGTACTGGGATTGACAGCTAGTTTGAATCTTGAACTTGAGCAACTTGATGTTAAAACTGCATTTTTGCATGGTGATTTGCAGGAGGACATTTATATGAATCAGCCTGAGGGTTTTGAAGTGAAAGGGAAAGAGCACTTAGTTTGTAAATTGAAGAAAAGCTTGTATGGCTTGAAACAAGCTCCACGACAGTGGTACAAGAAGTTTGATTCTTTTATGGTGAGTCATAGCTATAAAAGAACAGCAGCGGATTCTTGTGTGTATGTTAAACAATTCCCTAATGGTAACTTCATTATCCTATTATTATATGTTGATGATATGTTGATTGTAGGACAAGATGCTAGTATGGTTTGCAGGTTGAAAGAACAATTGTCTAAGTCTTTTGATATGAAAGATTTAGGTCCAGCAAAGCAGATTCTTGGTATGGACATTATCCGGGATAGGAGAGCTGGAAAGCTGTGGTTGTCACAGGAAAAGTATGTTGAACGAGTGCTTGGTAGATTCAACATGCAACATGCTAAATCAGTTAGCAGTTCACTTGCCAACCATTTTCATCTAAGTAAGAAATCTTGTCCAGTGTCTAAGGAAGAGCAACTAGCTATGTCTAGTATTCCTTATTCTTCTGCAGTCGGTTCTTTAATGTATCTTATGGTTTGTACAAGGCCTGACATTGCTCATGCAGTTGGTGTAGTGAGCAGATTTCTTTCTAATCCAGGGAAGGTTCACTGGGAAGCAGTAAAATGGATTTTTAGATATTTGAGGGGTACCTCAAAAATGTGTTTGACTTATGGAGTTTCACAACCAATTCTAGAAGGGTTTACTGATGCTGACATGGCAGGCGATCTTGATGGTAGGAAATCTACTTCAGGGTATTTGTTCACTTTTGCAGGAGGAGCTGTATCTTGGCAGTCTAAGTTGCAGAAGTGTGTTGCTTTGTCAACTACAGAAGCTGAGTATATTGCAGCAACTGAAGCATGTAAAGAAATGCTTTGGATGAAACGTTTTCTTTTTGAATTGGGGTTGAATCAGAAAGAGTATGTGGTATTTTGTGATAGCCAGAGTGCTTTAGATTTGAGTAAGAATACCATGTACCATGCTAGAACAAAGCACATTGATGTTAGATATCATTGGTTACGTTCAGTGATTGAAGAACAGCAGATGCTATTGAAGAAAGTCCATACTGATAAAAATGTGGCAGATATGTTGACTAAGATACTTCCCAGGGAAAAGCTTGAGCTTTGCAGTAACTTGGCCGGAATGAGTTCCCTGGCCAAGGTAAGTTCCAAATGAAATTGCTATGGTGATGAATCTCCTTCTAATGGGACTGGAGGGGGAGATTGTTAGGAAAATGGGGTCCAGTCCCATGTAAGTGGTTTTGGACCAAGTAAAGGCCATGGGCCTTGATCTTTTATTTTACACAGAGCCCTAGCTACTTAATAAAAAAGAGGTGGGGTTGTTTAAGGTGTGTGTCGACAACCAAGCAGAGAAAGAAGAAAAGCCAGGAAAAGCAGAGAGAGAAAAAGGAGAAGGGAGAGTTGATTAAACGGAAGTCGATCCGTGGTCCGATTGAGTTGGAACCTTGTCAGGAGGTTTATGATTCAGAGTTATACATTCTGAACGGTGAAGATCGGGTTTGAAGCTCTCTAGGAACAAATCCATGGTGTATTTGTTGAGTCACTTATTTGGTGAGATTTCTCCAATTGTTTCTCTAGTTGTTGATTAGCTCTAGTTTTAGCTAGAGAAGAACTTTGTATAACTATTATTTGATAGTGAAGATTTTTCTGGTGGCCCGTGGTTTTTCCCTCTACACTGGAGGGTTTTCCACGTAAATCTTGGTGTGCTTTATTTTTCCTACGTATTTGATTATTGATTGTTGTCTATTGCTTCTGTATTGTTGTGATTATTGCTTCAGGCGCAACACAACGAACATTTGGAGAGATGACTTTGGAGGATTTTCTCATCAAAGCAGGAGTTGTTCAAGAACCATCAGGATCTTCCCAGCAAGAGAAGGTGAACCCTACCAGGACCAATGGCACAATTTTGGATGCAAACTATGGAATGGGGCATGTGATAGGATCTTCTCAACAAAAAATGTTGACACCAATTCAATGTAACAATGCAAGCCTCGAGGCAAACTTCGGAATGGGACATGTGATGGGGCTAGGATTCCCAGGCCACCAAATTGTTGCCAACAACTTGCCAGCAGCAGGCAATGGTTACGCCACAACATACCCGATTTTCACACAGACTAAAACTATTATGGGGGAATCCTCTAATGGTGCTGAAAATGGGAATGGCACTAATAGATTGTTAGAACCTGTTGTTCTAAAGAACAAGAAGAGGATCATAGATGGTCCACCAGAATTAGTAGTGGAAAGGAGGCAGCGCCGCATGATTAAGAATCGAGAGTCTGCAGCAAGATCCCGAGCAAGGAAACAGGTTCATACTTATTTCACATAAAGATATAAAGATTTTGAGAAAAAGCTCTCCTTCCTAACCATTCTAGTACTATTTTTGGTTGCATGTGAATATGTTTGCAAAGAATATCCGAAGTTCACCGTGGTGCCATTAACTGTTAAATTTGGACTCTCATCATTCACATTATTGACTTTCTTCAATTGCAGGCATATACAGTGGAGTTGGAATTAGAGTTGAATCAGCTTAAACAGGAGAATGCAAAGCTGAAGCAGCTAGTGGTAAAAAAAATTTTTTCTTCTGGAAAAATTAAAACTAATTGATTGTTTTTATAAAAATATGGCCAATAAATACTGCTTTTTCTCGATTATAATTTTGAGCAGGAAGAAAACGAGCAAAGGCGAAATCAAGAGGTAACTCTAACTTTGATAAAACCACTAAACATATTCTAAACATGTTTGTTTAGTTCTTGCTGCCCTGCATTTGGCATCCAAAACCTCAAAAACATAAAAATGTTAATCACTCTATTTTTTAAGAAACAATCCATAATTATATGTTGCTTTTGATACTTTAATCATCATTTCAATTTCCATTAAGGTACATTCTTTGCTATCACGAAAACATCAAAAGGTTCTGAAAAGGAAGCAATCAACGCATGCACAAAGGAAGGCTGATAAGATGAGGACATTAAGGAGGACAGTGAGCTTGGGATGGTGAACTGAGAATAGAAACTCACAATACTCAGCTTAATGATCAGGCAGTTTAGCTTCATGTACATCTAAAAACAATATCTCCAAATTAAATGTATTAGTCTCTTTTTATTATTTTTTCTTGAAGGGTCTATGTGAATAAGTATTTAATTAATTATGTTAAACTTCTCCAAGGATAAAAAGCACTTATCCAAGTTGTGCTTTTATAGTTGCACTCTTTTTAGGATAAAAATTAAGTGTGATGGTAATTGCCACATTGCAAATGATGTAATTGTTTAATTTTAAATTTCTATTTAATATGAAAAAAAGATGACAATATGTTAAAAAAAAGAATGAACATGAATATTATAAAAATAATAAAATAATAAAATTTATTTTAAATTGTACATGAAAACTAATTGTAATAATTAATTATTTGACATTAAAGTTCTAGAAATTAAAGCTCAATTAAAATTAATAACAACTTATTTTTTAATAAACAAAAATCAAAGTGTTAAAGGGGGAAAAACTAGCAAGGTGTCAATTGAAGAGCTTGAAAATTATGGAGGTCAAACTGTAATTTACTCTAAATACCACTTGCATATGCATGACGTCAACACCTGCACTCGGTATGCCAACATTAAAAAAATCGAAAAAAACAAAATAACGTGACGCCGTATTAAGTCTACGCCCAAGAATTTTATTTTTATATGTACACATGAGACGGTAATCGCTCCCGCTTTTCCTTTTTCTTTTGTTCTTAAAAAAAAAAGAACTGCTGATTTTGATCTGCGCTTTGCTTGGTCGATTGTCAGGTAATTGAATCCTTAAACTCTCTAATTTCATTTGCTTTTTCCTTAATTTCCTTCAATTTCAACCTACCTTTCTTTGATTTCTTTCTTTCTCATGTTAGGGTTTTCATTTATCTTCTTAGCTTTCAAATTTTCAAAATTTTTCTTTTTCTTTTTATTTTTTTAAAAATCTTTCTTTGCCGGGTTGAAGAGGTAGAAAAAGTGAAGGAACAGAAGTGTACGCATTTTTTTTTTAATTTTAGTTTTTTTTAAAAGAAATTATTTCAAAGGTAATTTATTGAGCTTTCAGGTGCTTTTTTGTGTTTCCTTATGATAATGTATGGATTTTATTTTCTTGAATTTTTTGAGTTGCTGGGTTTTTTATGGTCATTGTTTTTTGGTGGATTTAATTGAACTTAATTGGGGATTTTGATTTGTGACTTAAAATCAACAAGTTTACTGCTATAGTCCTTGAAGAGGTAGCCAAAAGAAAAAAATGTTAAGGTTTAGCGTTGTATGAGAGAAATTTCAGGTTTTTATATATGTTTTTACATATGTAGTTAAGTTCAGTTGTTTGTTTAGTCTGTTTATTTGTTGCTTTTGTATCTGAAAAAAGTTGCTAAAAATCTAAAGCAAATGGTAAAAACTAAAAGGAAAAATAATAATTGATTTAAAAATGAACAAATGTGTAAAATGCAACACTGCATATAAAAGTAATCGTCCAATTTGCTCTCCAAAAAATAGTACTTTTAATTTTTAAGCCTTTAAATTCTAAGCCAAAGGCAAGAACTGAACAGTATGTAGGGGGATAGTTTATTAGTGGGAACGGAAATGATGATTTTCTTGATTTTGGTGGATAATGGTCTTGGGTTCATGTGGGCAGATTTGGAAGTTCAAAGTCGGGAGATTGACAGAGAAAAAAAATGTTAAGTTCTGGGAATAGCTTAAGCCGAGGGACTGCAGGATTGTCATCAGATATGCCACCGTTGCCTCAGTGTTTGCCTTTGGAGCCGATTACATTAGGCAATCAGAAATATACACGGTCTGGAGAATTAAGTCGAGTTCTGGGTGTTCCTCTTCGAACTAGTACAGTGGAGGACCATTCTTTTGGAGTTTCAAATCCCAAACCTTCCCCTCCAGTGGCAACAGAGGAGCTTAAGAGCTTTAAGGAAAGTGTTCAAGATGCCTCAAGAAAGGCCAGGTAGTCTTTTTTTTTTTTTTTTCATTGGTACCATTCACTGCAAATAATGCTAAATTTTGGAATGGTTAATATTTTATGGAAGATGGTATCCTTCATGAGTTAGTGTAGTGACTCCTCATTGTAATTGTGGTGTTAAGGGAACCTTTAAGGTTGATCTGGTGCTGATAGGTACTGTCACTGGAAACAGAATGGGCAAATAACAGTCCAAATGTTACATGATTATTGACAATGCATGCAATGCTTATGTGTCATGGTGCACATGCAATATCTTATCTCAGCATTCAATGTAGATATCCTGTCTTCACACATGTCCTTCCCACTTGAGTACGTAGCTGATTGTCTTAGGTAGAATGTGTAAAGCTTGCCAGCAATTCAAATGCTTCTTCTCATAGCTTTCTTTTGGCGCAAGTACAGCATACATATTTTATCTTGCTTATGATGTCTGTTACTCATAAGTTGTGTGGACAGTATTTAGTTATCAAATCTACATTGTCTTTCCAACAGGGATAGGGCAAAAAAGTTGCGAGAGTCAATTTCTAAATTGGAAAAGTATAAAGAATTCTTAAGCTCAAAGAAGCGACAACGAAGTGATCTTTCGAGTGAGAGAACTAGTGGGGTAAGTATTGCAAAGATGGGAAGCCAGATTCATAGAAACGCCCATGACATAATGAATCGAAGATTGGAGGATAGGCCAAAAGGTGTGGGGCTCAACAAGCGCATTCGAACATCAGTTGCTGATATACGGGTTTGTATTTTATTGTTTTTGCTGGAATATAATCTATGCTTCAACCTATTTATCCTTGACATACTTTCTTGAAGATATTTTATGTGAAGTTTCATGCAATTTCCAAAGAAAAATCAGTTAATCTTTTCTCAACTTTGAACAAAGTTTTCTGTTGGCCTTCTGTCATTTTCTTTTGGTTGTAACTGTAAGTTGTGTGCTATTTTATGACCCCCCCCCCAAAAAAAAAAAAAAAAAAAAAAGAGGAAGAAGAAGACAAAATGGGCCTGAAACTTAAAACATAGTTTGAGAAGACCCTTTCCTTTTCTCTTAATTTTTAGCTTATGCTTCATGAGTTTTATTCCCTTTGTTTTCTTTTCCTTTTCTTGTTTCATGATCCCAGGCTGATAATAGGACTGCTGTGAATCCAAGGCAGCGGGGGATAATAGAAAAGGATGGTGATGTGCTTTCAGCTGTTAATGTTGGTTCTGTTCGAATTGAAGAAAAGATCCGCAGATTGCCGGGTGAAGGATGGGAGACAAAGATGAAAAGGAAAAGGTCTGTTGCAGCTGTAGGAAATAGAGTTACTGGTGTTGATCGAGATTTAAAACGAGCTATGCAACTGAAGATGAGTTCTGAATCAAAGTTGCGATCATGTGATACACAGTGTTTCAGGTGATTGTCAATGATTGAACTTGCTTCCTAGTTGCTGATTCAAAAAAAAAAAAAATATCTACTATGGCTGGACAGGGGTATGGCAGTTTTTTACTCGAACTGAGTAAGAAAACTTTAGCTTTAGGCTTGGGCTAGAAATCTTATGTGATCCTGGATATATTGCTGATGAGGTTTGCCATGGTTAACAAAAACTGTCTTTTGGGATTGTCTGTGGATGTGCATCTTTATCATTGATCAAACTGGCAGTGTTATGGTAATTGTGGAAGAAACATTCTGTTTTACTATCTATTGCTGATAGATTTGATGGTTCCAGTTATTATTCATAATGTATGGAACTTTGTAAATTGCATTCTGTATATGGAAAAAATTATGCAGGTTCTTAGATAAAATTGTTTTAGAATATAGTATAATAATGGCAATCTTGCAAATGTCCAGGCTTAAGAATGCACATTATATCTTGGATCGACAGAACTTCATGCTTGCATTGTTGTTTTGGATTTATAATCATAATTAACTCAGTGTTTCTATTTTACCTGCTGTGATTTCTAATATAAAATACAGATGGTAAATGCTTGTTTACTGTTATGACGTGCTTGAATGCTTGACGAGATATTATTGTTTTCTAATGACAATGAAGAAAGATTTCTTCTTTCTATATCTTATGGCCTTGTCATTGGATATGATTATTGCTTCAAGTTTAGGCATTTGTTTATAAATTATGCTGATCCAGTCATTTTTCAGCCATTTGTCTAACTTGTTCTGCATATGTATTCTCAAAAAATGTTGTCTTTCTCTTTTTTTATTTGGTCTTTTTTGCATGCAGATCAAAATCTTCCCCAGGAGTTGGTGGAATTAATAGGTCAGATGGTTCTTTTGAAGCTGCTGGTTCAGATGCCAGTACAGTGCTTAGGAATGAATTGGAGAATACCTCTATTCCACGGGATCGGGCAGCTATCTTGGAGCAGAGGATTGTAGTAAAAGCAAATAATAAGTATGTGCCTTTGCCATTTTATTTCTAGCAGTCTGTAGTGAAATTCTGTTGGCAGGAACCATACATAGTGTTCAACCATCAAATTTTACATTTAATTTCTACCATGTGTGATATTCTTTTAATGATTTCTTCTCCTGGATTATTGATTTTTAATGGCTCTATACTCTATTAATCAGGGCAACTCTCCAGGATGACAACCAAGCAAATGGCCCAAGTACAATGCTAAAAGGAAAGGTGTCTAGGGCACCACGAACTGGTTCCATCATGGTGTTAGACTCATCTTCTAAAGTTCACCTCTCATCTGGAGCGTTGCAGGGTTGGGATCAGCCAAATCTAAATAAGATCCAAGCATTAGGTGCTGGGAGCAATCAGAAACGTTCAATGTCTACAGGTTCATCTTCACATGCTATGGCCCAGTGGGGTGGTCAGAGACCACATAAAAACTCACGGACAAGGAGAGCAAATTTAGTATCCCCTATCTCTAATGCTGAAGCTCAGGTTTCATCTCAAGGCTTTGCAACACCTGATTTTGGTTCTAGGGCATCTACCGGAACTGGTGGATCACTGCTTGGCAGTGGTGTAGATAATGCTACTCCAAAAATTAAGAGGGAACCTGAGAATGTTTCTTCTCCATTTGGGTTATCTGAGAGTGAAGAATCTGGGGCTGGAGATAACAAATCAAAAGAGAAAGGAATTGATAATAATGAGGTTAGTCTGCCAGCATCTCAAACAGCTGTGGCTTTCTTATTGCCCACTAGGAAGAACAAAATGTCTACTAATGAAATTGGAGATGGAGTCCGAAGGCAAGGAAGGACTGGAAGCACTGCACCACCATTGACAAAACCAGGTGTTCATCCTATACGGGAGAAGTTGGAGAATCTTACGACAACCAAGCCAATTCAAAATGCAAGATCTGCTTCCGATAAACATAGAAGGTTCTTAAATATTTTTCCACTGACTCTTGCTATTAAGTTGTTTATTTGCCTTGAGCAAATCTGATGAATGAATAATATTTATTTGGTTCAGTAAAACAGGTCGTCCACCTTCCAAAAAGCTGAAAGATCGAAAGGCCTCAACTCGTGTTGGGTCTATGCTAAATAATGTTTCTTCAGAATTCACAGGTATTTACTAGGCCCATGAGACTTTTGGCTTCATATATGTCGAAAATTAAAAGACTATTGAGTCTATTGTGTCACTATGTTTGGTTTATGAGATCTCTGATATTCTAATAATTTTGCATGGCTTTTACCAATCTTAAGGCTGTGCATCAATGATTTGATTCTTATTTGCATCTCCATAACCAGACATTATCATTTTGACAAATATTTTGCACTTAGTGTTAGTTTAGCTATCAATAAGTTATATTTTTGTGCTTGTGTGCATTTAATATTTCTTTTAATGAAGAGTTTATTTTTGTTTATTTAATTTTCAAACCACAGATATATGCAGATAAGTCTAAAGTTTTTGGTGAACTACCTAACTTGCTTAAAAGTGGGTGCCAAATCCATGAAAGCTCCTGTTATATATTCTTTAATTACAATGTGTTTGGGATGCTATGTTCAGGTGAATCTGATGATGATCGGGATGAACTATTTGCAGCTGCAACTTCTGCTCGTAATGCTAGCAGTATGCATCTCCCTCTCCATTGATAGCCCCAAACCCCCCCCCCCCCCCCCCCCCAAAAAAAAAAAAAAAAAGGAAAAGAAGCATATACCTTTTGAGAATTGAGCTTTTATTGTAGTATATTCTCATTTGTTATTTGTTTCAATAGGTCTTGCTTGTTCTGGTCCTTTTTGGAAGAAAATGGGATCTATTTTTAATTCTGTCAGCTCAGAGGACACATCATACCTTAGGCAACAGGTACAAAATGGCGGCTAACAGATTTATGATTCATTGACACTTTGGGGTTTGGTTAATCACAGTTTCCTGATCTTCTATTTTGATGTTGAATCAGCTAAATTTGGTAGAGGAGCTCGATGAGAGTTTGTCTCAAATGTATGGAGATGGATGCAATGTTTTGGTAAACCCCACCATCTTATATATCTCTTCATAAAGCCAAATTTCTTTTGATTGACTATAAACTGCAAAGTTTGAGTATGTTAATCTCAACAGATCTAAGGACAGAAGAAGGATAACTGAAATTAAGTCACAATGTGTTGCTAAATGCAGAAGAAGGATAACTGAAAATTAAGTCATAATGTGTTGCTAAATGTTGATATGAACTCCTTCCATTTCCACAGGGTGGTGTGCTGCAGAAGGATGCTTCCAATTCTGTTGAAGAAATGGCCAAAACTAATGCTGCTAGTGAAGTATTTGATATAAAAAAGTTTGACAAGGTTACTCCTTTATGCCAAAGAGTTCTTTCTGCTTTGATTGATGAAGATGAAAGTGAAGAAATTTACCACCATAATGAAATGAAGAATATGTCCCTTCACTATGCAAGTGATGATTCCCATTGTGGTTCATGCAACCAGATGGATGTTGAATCTAAAGATAGGGACAGGATGGAATCTGAAGTTGAGTCAAATGCAGATTTTCAATATCAGAAGAACACTCTGTTAGACAGACTCTCATGTGATGTGAGTGTTGCATCTAACACATATAGGAACTGCAGTATGTCTAATTCATTACATAGTAGTGAACGGTGGTTGGGAGATGATGATTTTTCACATTCGGATATGGGGCTTCTGAGTGAAATATGTTCAACCGACCTGGGTCAGCTCCAACCTAAGGAAATAAATGTTTCTAGCATTTCTTCTTTGGACTGCCAATATCAGTTTATGTGTATGGATGACAAGCTTTTGCTGGAGTTACATAGTATTGGTCTTTATCCAGAGATTTTGGTGAGTTTTCTTTCATACTTTGACTGATTAATTAATTGTACAAAACTTCCCGTATGAGTTTCAGTCCAGTAGTGCAAATTGATATATTTTCCTTCTGCCATTTTGAAGATTTTTTATGTGGTAATTTGTTACTTGTCTATTGGATGTCAAATTTCTTTGTGCTGACATCTTATATGATTTATTTTCCTTTTCAATTTTTTTACTGTTGCCTCTTTGCAGCCTGATTTGGCAGAGGGAGAGGAAGCAATAAATCAAAGTGTTATTGAACTTAATGAACTTCTTTATCAACAGGTTGCTGTTCATAACTGTTATCTCTTTTCACTAATATCTGCAATTTGGATTATTTAGCATATTTTGAAATTAGCCTTGTTGCTATTTGCTTTATTTGGTGTTCTATCCCCAAAATCAATTTCTTTTTTGCTTAAAAGGAATTTCATTAATTTGATGTTAATTCACTTTTTTTTCCACATATTTTAACACTTTGTTTCATTAATTTATAGATTCAGAAAAAGAAGAAAAAGTTGGGGAAGATTGACAAAGCCATTAAGAATGGGAGAGATGTGGACAGAAGGTGGGATAAACAATTGATCTTCTAGTGTTGTTATAACCTTATGAGTGGTGCTTCAACTAGAATACTGTGGTTTAATTTGCAGGAACATCGAGTATGTTGCAATGGACCAATTACTCCAGATGGCTTACAGAAAACGTTTGGTAATTCTCAGATTCCTGGTGCAATTGTTGTTTCTAATTATTAACTTAGAGTGTTGAGGCATAACTCTTGCATGTTTTCGATACATGTAAGATTAATTTTTTATCCAGGCTTCTACAAGTTTCCCTTTGATAATTAAGGAAGTGCAGAGTGGTTGCATGCAAGAATTGTCAACATGTCGATAACATTTTGGCCAATTTATTATATAAGTGGCAAGGAAGCTAGTTTTTTATGGGCAGCATATAAGCTATGTGCTTATAGTCTAAAATTGCCTAACTTCTACTTGACATTGCCTTGTATTTAGCTTGCTAATTTGTCCCTATATTCCTACCTTTTTGTAATCACAGACTCACAGTACATTTGAGTAACGTGGAGAGTCTAATTGACTACTATAGTGCCAGTCTTTAAAAGACAAAACTGGATTGGCTAAATTGAACTGGATAGGACCTATCTGGTTGGTTAACTCTTAATCCTGAGTGGCTAAAAACAACAAAACTGGAGAAAGTGGGATACCCGCTTATAGTATTCTTATTTTCTTTAAATACTTTTTTTTTTTTTTAAATTTTAAATAATATGCAATTATAATTATAAAATCATGCTTATGTTGGTTTTTAGCAAATCACTCTATCTGGCAGTAAACTAGCTGAACTGATTGACCTTCGACCTACTCCTGCAGACTGGTTGCTTTTTCTTTTTCTGTTTTGATTTACTACCATCTTCATGATGATGGAAAATATTATGCCTTTGGATAAGTTTGAGAATTTTTGTTCAGTGCATTTGCAATTGTGCTTGTCTTCATTTGAAAATTGCGTGACATACAAGAACTTTTCCTTGGTGTGGCCAATGCATTATTAGTGGTTATTTACTGATGAATTTTACAGATGGAAGCACTTTGACAGTTACTTTATTGTTGATTTAGATGACGAGTGGTTATAGCATCTTGCACTATGATGTTGAATGGTTTATTATTTTATATCTGAAGTGATTTGGAGCATGGTGTTTAATTTAGTATAATTGATTGAGTTTCTACAAACAATTTATGCAGGCATTTCGGGGGAGTAATTCATCGAAAAGTGCAGTTCGTAAGGTTTCGAAACAAGTTGCATTGGCTTTTGTCAGGCGAACTCTTGATAGATGTCGAAAATATGAACAGACAGGCAGTAGTTGCTTTAACGAACCTGCATTGCAAGATGTCATGTTTTCTGTACCTCCATGCGGCAATGAAGCAAAATCTGTTGATTGTATAGGCTCTGGAACTGCTAGTAATACTTGTAATGAAACTTCCAACCATCAAGCAGAAGCCAGGGGCTCAGGTATATGTAATCTAAATTTCCACCCTCTCTTCTTGTGAAGGCATTATGTCCCTATAATATACCATATTACGTTATGCAATTTGGATTTTGTTAGGCATTGAGAGCATTATTCTTTTAAGGGTAGGAAAATTTAGAGAGTAAAATGATAATGTTATCATGCCTTATTTCTTGATATGGGGAAGGAGGATGTGAAGCCCAGCTCTTATAGCAAGCTTGGGTGCATGTTTCATTTAACTTTTGAGCTGCTTACATATGTTCATTTCACTTCTGCCTCAGGTGCTGTTTGTGGTACTTTTGAGAGGTATGATTCTTCGGACGCTCTTCCAGCCATTCACTCATCTGAGCATGCTGTTTCTAAGTATGGATCTATGTCGAACGAAGGGAGGAAGAGGGAAGTACTGATAGACGATGTTGTTGGTAGTGCCTCTTCTAGGGTAACATCAACTCTTGATGGCACCGTTGGAGTAAGGGGAAAGAGAACCGAAAGAGATAGGGAGCAAAGCAGAGATAATTTAAGAAATACTAATTCTGTATCTGGGGCTGGTCGGACTTCATTAGGCAGTTTCGAGGGTGATCTGAAAACGAAAGCAAAGCCCAAGCAAAAGAGTAATCATTTATCAACTTCAGGAAATGGATTCAATGGCAAGCTTACAGAGACTTTGCTACCTGCTTGTGGATCTAGTCAGCCTTCGTCTAATCCTGGCAAGATGACTGAAAGAGATCGGAATTCAACTAAACAAGCAGATGAACCCATTGATTTTGCAAACTTGCAACTAAACGAGTTAGATACAATGGAAGAATTGGGTGTTTCCAATGACCTTGGTGGGCCCCAAGATCTGAGTTCCTGGCTAAACTTTGATGAGGATGGGTTGCTAGACCATGATTCAGTAGGTTTAGAAATTCCAATGGATGACCTCTCGGATTTGAAATTTGCATTTTGATTTCTTGCCCTCTGCAGTTTCTAGTTAGGTTATTAATTCTTATCTGATGCAAATCTGATTCAGAGAAGTGTAATTATGATTTATTTTCCGTGTATATCAAATGTATGTGATTGAAGAATTTTGGGTGTTTGATCCAGTTAAATTTACTACTACAAATTATTTCACTTCCCTTCGTCCATGTGCATCCGTTTCTCTTTTTTATTTTTTGGTTAAATATCAGCACATAAATACCTTAACGAGCTTGCTACTGTGATTTTGAAGAAGGTATCTAGCCAAAAAACAATCTGTGTAGCTCCCCATCTGGTTTAGCCAGTTTTTCCCATAAAATGCAGTCAATGTCATGATTAAAATATGAAAGAAAATGTCACTTCTATATTGATTAAAATAATTATATTTTTCATCAAGTGGCCGTGAATAAAATATAAAAAAGGTCAATTTCTTGGTAGAATAATGCAAATTTGTTTATTGCAAGCCAAAATTTTCTATCTATTAGCATTTTCAAAATTAAAAAAACCTTCTCTAAAATGAGAAAGCGTATTAATTCAAAGATCGCTGAATTAAAAACGGATACAAATGAGAAGATGGTTACTCCAACATTTGATTTAGTTGGAACGAAGAAAGTTCAAATTACTCTTTTCACTAGTCAAAAAAAATAAGATGGGCTGGCTCACCTTGCTCATTAAAAATGGATTATCCCTTCACAATTGCTTGAAGCATGTTTTAATCCAACATAGGGTTGAAACCAAAGCATTCCTAGGCATTCTATTCTTGTCCTTAATGAGCATTTAGGACCCCAAATGTAATTCTAAATAGGGCCTTTTTCTTCAGATTGAAAGAAGAGATGATCCAACAAAATTTTCTGCAATACTTGAATAAACAAACATGAGAAGATTTTTTACCTGGATTTCCTTATGGGATTTTGACATAGAAATTCCATGCCAAAAGTTTGCTGAACATTCCCTGTCAGGTCAGATAGAATCTCCCAATAAATTCAGTCCTGCAGAACAACTTATCTTTCAGGGAAAAACAATTTGGTTAATTTTTTTTTTAATTTTTTTAATCAATCCAGAGCTAGAATTGATTCTTTCTTTCCCTAGTAGTTTACCGTACTAAACATATGCTCAAAAAATTCCTAAATTTTTACTGTACATTATTCTATTAATAAAATTTTTAAAGAATATTTGTAATAAATCATAATATTTAATTCAATTGATTCATATAATAATTATTAAGAATTGACATTCAATATATTTGAAATTCAAATCATAATACCTACAATTTTTTTTTAAAATTTTAATATGTGATTCTTTTGTAAAAATATATATATAATTGTAATAGGATTGAGAGATAATATAATTATGATCTAGATTTGTGTTTTCTTTTAAGGGTCAGATAAAATGTTTAAATGAACCCCAAAAAACAAAATTTATTTAAGATCCTAAATACCCCAATCAAAGTTAGTTAAAAGTCTTAACCAACCCTAAACATAAATAAATGACCTAATTAAAACCAGAACCATAAGCTAAAAGTCAAAACCAGCCCCAAATAATTTAATTGAATACCCCAATAAACCCCAAAAACATGATTTAAAGCGAGGCTTTTTTCCTTGGCCAAAGATTTAAAGTAAGGCTTAGTTGTCCAAGAATCATGCTTCAATTTCCCAAATTCAAGAATGAGATTCATTTGGGATTTGCTTTAAATATTTATTGGTGGTATAGATGGAATATCTCCCTCTTGCTAAAATTTCTTTGTTCATGTAATTTAAGATTAGGTGAAGCTCAGCAATCATTTTGGTCAATCCCCAATAAGCTGCAATTAAAAAATTGGACTTGTTTAACATAATTCTGAAATGCTAAATTGTATCCACTAATTACAAAATTATAGAATTAATTAATTTTCTTAATAAACGATGGGTCATATTTTTATGTCAACCCCATTATCATCGCTATTTATGACAAAAAGGAATGACGACAGCGGCAATATTATTCAGGCTTTGATAAAATATTAAAACCTAATCTTAAAAAGACGTATGCATTAAAGTAAAAAGAAGGTAAGATCTTCAGCTTATGCCATTAATATAAAATAATAACCTAAATTGGAATTAACAAATTAAAAAGCGTGCTGATGATGACCTATTATAAATTTTCCCACCCCTCTTCACCTATTTTAATCTTATATTGATCTTTGATGGATCCAAATGTTGAAAGTCGACCAAAAAGAAAATTTGATGTCAAGTGGAAAACAAGATAAAGTTATAATCCGACATCTAGAATTTGAAAACAATTGTGTTTTTGTCTAAATCTGTTGATTTGTTTTTTCTTTTTGGAACAGAAGCAAGTAGGATAATAATAAATCTATCAATAAGAATATTAATTGTTATTAAGTAAAGTTCAAATGTCAATGGATGAATTTGAAAATTCCTGAGCTTAATGAAAGATGTTGGAAATGAAAAATTGTTCAGTTGGGATAAAAGCTAATTTTATTTTTTTATATTAAAAACTGTCGCTATTTAAATTTAATTAAAATTAAAAATATAATATTTTACCAACAAATCAATGCTTGTTTCGTGCATATGAACCTGACTTGAATAATCTTCTCGTGTGTAGTTCTTAATGATCTATGAAGCTGACCTAGAACCAATTAGTGCATCTTGAATTGATAGGATTATTTAACTCTACTGATTAGGTTTAAGAAAAAGCCGGTGAAGCCGCCGGTGTCCTTGCCTATCACCACTTAAATTTAATTTGATCGACCATTATGCTATATATATATATATATATATATAGGCTTATTTTATTTTATTTTTCCCTAATAGTTGAGATAAACAAGGATGATTTGGATTTAAAATATTTTCATTTCATTGACCAAAAATAGTAGTAATAAAATTAGAAGGCAAACCTTCTTGCAATGGAACAATTGTGATTGAGAATGTTAAACATTCAGGCACATGCATGCACGACAAGATGCATGCTGTTTTAATTTCTTCATCTATTTTTAAATCATAAAAAAGAAAACCCTTTGTCTTGTTGTAATGGATTTGATCCTTTTGCATTGATTCTTCAATAGCCACCTTACGCAAACTGTTGTCTCCTTTTCTTTTCTTTTCTTTTCTTTTTGACCTTTCTTTCTTGATTCAGAAAAGGTGGTTACTTTCTCAACGTAGTGCATAGTCATATGTTTTAACACTGTCATGAAAATCATGCATGATTTTATCGATCGTAAAGAGGTAAACAGAACCCAACAAGTTTCAGTTTCATGTCGGAAATAAAACTGTATAATACTATTACTTACTTAAATATTATTAGTATATAATTATTAATACCCGCAAACCAATCTTTTTGTCTTTCTACCATGTCCATTCATTCAAGTTGCTACATTTTTTTTTTTTTGTTGAAGTACGCTGAAGAAAATAAACCTCTCCCTCTCTGTCCGTCTCTATCTCTCTCTATTTTTTCTGTCTTTTTCTCCATTGGAAAAACCTCTCTCAACCACTTGAAACAAATGTATTTATATAAATATATGAGAGATAATTACTATTCTCCCTCTTCTCCCACTGCAAATTTAATTCCAGAAAACGACAATCTCTTCAATCTATATCCTTTTCCTCTTTGTCGTTCCTACCCTCTAGAAAAAAATGGAAAAAAGAAATAATACACCCCTTCTCTCCAGTTCGCAACCACTTTCTTTTAATGAAGAGAAATAAAACAACCCACATTTCCCTCTCTCTTTCCCACCATTTCTATTTTATTTTTATAATAACAATTAATAATATTAAGTTATTACAAGAAGACAATGTTTTCGGTCTCTCTCTCTCTTAACCCTTTTGTTCTTTATTCCTTTTATTTTAGCCTTCTACGTCACCATAGAGCCAATATATATATGCCTCACGAGTTCAACTTTCATTGTCCTTGATAATGATCTCTTAATTTCTTTCAAGAAAGGAGAAAGCTAGCTCCCTCATGCACATTAAAATTGAATTTTCATTTACAGAGGATAAACTTAATAATAACAAATAAAAAAAAAAAGAGAGAAAAGAAAGTCCTATCAACTAAAGTAGCTTGATGAAATTCAATATTTTGCATGGCTGCATCATTGTGGAAGATACAGGATTTTGATTGCTGATTCATGGCTGGCTAGTGGGAATTTTGTTGATCAAAAGTTTGAGAAATGATTCTGTGATGCTTGGACCATTTGCAAGTCCGTTGTTGTTTGGCACGAGTGATCATCACTTATCAAAGTCCTATGATCATAGAAATTTTTGGTAATATTAGACTTAATTATAGTTAAATTACAACAAATAAAAATATACATAGATATATAAAAGTCTATGATTAAAAATGTCATTTACCAACTTATATTCATAATGCCAATATCTATGCAATGCATATTGATAATTTGACATAGACAAGAACACATAAAACTAACAAAGATGAATAATTTTTAGGTGTGAATGAAATATGTATCTTCAAGAGGAGAAAATCATGATTTAGGCCGGTTTGGCATTTTTGAGTTATTTTCTAGCTGAGCTGATGCATGACTACTAAAAAAAATTAAATACCCATGACATTATTTATCAATTTTTAGTTGCCAAGAAAGTTTTAAGATTTATATATAAAAAAGAACTAATATGCCTTTAAAAAGTAGGGAAACCTTCAAAAAAAAAAAAAAAAACTACATGTTATCTAAAATCTTATCATCTCCGATCATCTTTGAAAAAATGGGGATTTCGAAAAGGACAACTACAAGTTCTCAAATAAAATTTATTCAAAAGGAAGACTAAGAATTAATTTGAAAAATATGATTTATGGACCTTTTTCCACGAGGGTTTCTAACTTCTATTTTAACTATTCATAGATATCAATACATATTTAAATGCTAATATATAAAAATATTAAGAGATCTTACTCTCGAGGACGAGACGCCCAAAGAGAACTAAGTGTTCGCAACCGCCCATAGTACTCTCCAATCACTATAAAACAGCGTGCCGCCTGTCTAACAGTCAATATCCGAGGCAATTGGTGAAGGGTTTGGTGTCTTAAATTGTCAGCCTACGTTACAAATACGATTTAATTTAATTTAATTCATCCAATCAAAGATAGAAAAGGGGTTGCAAATAAGGTTAACTACCCAAGATAAACACAACCACCATCTAGAAACTAAAATGAGTCCCTAATGCAATGCCACATGGATATACATGGCTAATTAAAACATTTCAAAAGGTTTGAAAGTTGAAACTACTGTAAGTTGTCTTGTCTTAGGATTGGGTCCATTTCAAATTTTCAATCATTCATTAAAAAAATAAGAGCGTTATCTCTTTTTTCTATCAATAAAATAATCAATCACAATTTTCCATTGATTGTTCAAGCTAGGGTTCTTATTTCAACATATGGTACTATCAAACCACCTTTTGGTAGAAATCTTTAAGGATAAAAATACCCCATCAAAGCAATAGCATTCAACATTGCAATACAGACAAAGCAACATAAATACCCCCCCTAAAATGATTATGGATTAAACAAAACAGAAAGAAGGTGCCGCCATAGACGTGGCAAGAGTGATTTGGCAGTATAAAAAAACATAAAATCATATTTCTAAGTTGACTAAGATGTGATAATGATATCCCGATAACATTAATAGTCAAAGACGAAATCCATGATAATCAAGATCTTCAAGGCCATATATATGTATTCCAAAGAAAAAAACAAAGATGATCAAATAGCAGGATTGATAAACAGCATGCCAGTAGCATATTTGAATGACTAGTTTTATTATAAATATAATTTCTACTTTACATATTATTTTTATGTAGCAAAAAGTCAAATTATTGACATGTTAAATCAAGATGAATAAAAATTGTAAGCGATTAGACTCTTTACCTTTCAGGTGGCATAAAATTGCGGCGCAAAACAAGAAAGGCAGAAATAAGAATAAAATGAAATGGACTAGAAAGCAACATCTGAACTAAATGTTAACAAGCAGTGCCTAAAAATTAAGAGGGGGGAGAGGGGGAGAAAGGGAACCAATATAATTACTCTAGCAAAATTCTGGTTTTTCACCTTTATGTTGCATGAAATATATATGTATCTACCTAAAAATGTTATGAGCAAATTCAATTTTCAGTTGAATGGAATCCATTTTCATGATCAAATGATGGAGTGCATTTGGCGTAAAATTTAATTCTTCCACAATTTTGACAAAAGCATAGGTCAATGTGTACTAGTAAACTTTTGAATGCTTATGCGACTACTTTGGAATAAATGAAATTACGAACCAAGAACTGAACTAATTTTTTTTTTTTAATAGTTGGAAATTAAAATCCTTTAGATAACATTTGAGGTAGACATTAAGGTATCAAATTCAAGTATCTTTCAGCAGTAGGTAATTACTAGAGTTTACATTGGCTATAACATCAGCAATTCGACATATCATTTTCAAGTACCATCGATCATTAAACGCTTAGCTTGGAAACTAAGTGCTTTATTTCCCGTTTCACACGGTTGGAAATGAGAATTGAACCTAACTGTCAAAAAGTCTGGTTCGATAATCAAAAAGATTTTTTTTTTTTTTTATTTTTGATGAGAAGTTTAATTACCTGACGAACGAAACCTTCAAGATTGGCAAGCTTGCCTAAGGCAACAGCCATTTGTTGCATTCCATCAACGACTGGACCCCCTGCAACGGTGTCAATTAGAGACTGCTGGAGCTGTTCCAGGCCTTGGGTGAGTGCCTCCTCTGCCTGTTGTGAAGAATGCTGGAGGCTGCAAATCCCCATCACTTGCTGTTCTGTTAACGGGTCTAATTGTGATATTAACATCTGACAAATATTATTAAAAAAAGAAAGGAAAAAAATCAGAATTAGTTTGAAGGTGAAATAACTGCAAACTAAAAAGTCATTTTAGTCCCTGTTATATTTCATGATTTAATTCCTGAAGATGAAACTTTTCCTGAAGCACAGGTGCAAATAGTAACTACCCATACTAGTTAAGGTGATAAAGGAAAGTCTAATGTGAAAAATATTGTTAAAGTTGCCAAGTAAAACTCATAAGAAAAGGACACCTCCTGAGTTTAAGGCATTTCCTGGTTGTCCGTTACTCACTTTTAAAGAAAAGGTGTGATCTCAAGAAGAGAATATTCATTTTCAGTAACCTACCCTCCTTGGCAATATCAGCCTGATCTTTTCTAGAATCGCTAAAATGGCCCACTTACTTTTCTTCTTTTCACCCCCTCCATATATTTAGCATGCTTCTTGTTGTCCTAATGTACAAAATTTCTCTATGACTATAGTAAAAGAAATAAAGGCAATAGGAAATTAACTTCAAACCTTAATGAGCTCAGAGGGCCTAAAACCGCCCATCCAAAGGAAGCATCGCTCCGCTGGAGTCGTCCACATCCCGGTTATAAGGTGAAAAACATCAGATTTTGCAGCCATCGCCTTCAACTGGAAAATTTCATCATAATGTGAAATGTAACTGTCTACGATTATTCGAAGGTCACTGTCACAAAGGTGTGCATGTATTCCGCTTCTAAGTTCTGACATGTGCCTCTGATCATCTTCTAACCATCTTGAATATTCCATGTCAAATATTGCAGCCCCTAGATGAAGAAGACAATAAATAGTAATAATAAAAATGGTAATGAACAAACACGTATGATCCCAATTGACATATAACATGATTATTTTCTAATTTAGTAGGCCAAATTGATACACTAATAATGATTTTAAAATAGAGTTCAAATTGTTTTATAAAGAGGCATGTCTTATTTTGCTCAAAGCGGAAAAGGTCATACCAATGGGTGAATAATTCATAGATTTACCATATGGATAAAGTCTAATGTTAGCAAAAAGGCCAAGCAACCTTTATGATATGTCATATTGTACGGGAAAGTTCAGGGAAAAAAAAACTGCTAAATTTTAAAAATCTGGGGAAGAATTTCCACAGAGTTTGGTCCAAAATTGACTAAAAGTTTGAGTAAATGGGGAAAAAAACTGTGGGTCAGAGTTCAACAAGCAATCATAAATTGAAAAACCAAGGCAGCTGTTTAACTTGGCAACTTAATTAAGAAAGAATATTAACAAAAGGGTTCTTCTGTCCAAGTTTTGAATTGCCTTTAAATTAATGATCAATTTTTAAAATGAAATCAACACTGAATATGTCAAAGTTTCTATTTTATAAACTACAAAACGGGGCTACACATATTTTCCTAAACTACCCATCAGAGAAAATACATTCCCCGTTTTAAACTCTCTTACTTGTTGGTAAATACTCACATAATAAGAGTCTTTTTTGGTAAAACAACAGTGCAACACATTCTTTTTCTTAAAAACTTACCAGAGCTGATATTTCCAACAGCACCAGCACAACCTCCCAAGAAAAGTCCCTATCACAAAAAACCCAAAAGTAAAAAAATACTAAAAATAAAAAACCTAAGCCCCAAACCCTTTGGTTTGGGAGAAATAAAAAAAAAAAGAAGAAATATTTTACTTGCTGATGAATTTTATTTTCTCTTAAGGGAAAGAAAGGAAAGAAACAAAAGAAAACCTGAGATCGCGCTCTCTGAAGATCTTGCTCTAGTTGAGTTAGTTTTATTCTACTTGATTCTAGTTGTTGAACATAAGCCTGTTTAGACATTAAAAAAAAAAAAATCAGTTTCTAAGACACGTATGCAAGAAACTGCATGCAAATGTCTTTGCATGTAATGTTTTCATGTTACCAAGTACCTTTTTTCTAAGACGGCTTTTCCTTGCAGCTTCTCTGTTTTGAGCTAAACGTCTCAGTGTCTGAAAAACAATTTTAAACATATCCAAGTCAAAAAAGATTTTTCTTTTTTGATTCACAAAGAGCGCAAGAAACAAAAAGTTGGGTTTTTTTTTTTTTTTTTAACCTTCGCATCAAGCTGTTTCTCAGAAGTTGAACCCCTTCTCTGCAACATTATAGAAAATTGTATGTATTAACAGGTGTATAATGAGGAGCAATAATAACCTTTTAATATTTGATAATTATAAATGAAAAATGGATAAAAGAAAAAGAGAGAAGTAGTAGTTGGTGATTTTAAGATTCTTGTCAAGCGCAGACTAGAAGTTGGTCAGGAAAATGAAAGCTTTTGGCAATTTGGTAGGCTGGGAAGCTAGAAACAAAGATAGAAAATGAGTATATATTAGAAAACCATATTTTATTTGTTTCAGTTATTTTACTAACAGCTAAAATATCTAGCTTAGACAGCTAAACCAGAAAGTTATTTAAAAAAAAAAACTAGAAATAAAATTAATGAAGATGAAAATAACCACTATAGAATTTTTGAAACAACAAAATATAATGATTAGAGAGATCTCACAAAATTTCTGGGAAGAGTTGCTGATTGCTGTTGCTGATGTGACTCTTGTTCTTGTAACTGGTAGTCATGAACATGATAAGGGTAGCAAAAATCATCAAAATCTGCCATTGTTTAGGTTTGCCTTATGGTTATGGTGTAGATTTTGGGGTTTTATTTCAAAACTGATTTTTAGAGGATAAAAACTGGGAGTTATAGGGATTGAGTAAAGTAGGGTCATGGTTTTATAGTGAAAAAAGAGTGCAAGTAACTAATATTGTGCCGATTCTCTCTTTACTTTCCAATGTGCACAGCTCTTTCTCTCTATTTTCATGTCAGACAGTCATCAGAAAATCGTTCAGGAATCAGAAAAACTCTGTATCCCTTGATTTTCTGTGGTTTGTTGGGGATCTGTGCTTTTGTGTATAAAGATATGCTCAGAGAGAGAAAGAAAGAGAAAGAGGAGGGAAGAGAGAAGGATCAAAACAGTAATAATGACAAAAATGATACCAACTTTTTCCTGAGTTGTTGGGATATGAAACGAAAGAGAGTAACAGAGAAACTGGGGAGATTAATTATTAAGCATGTAACTGTAGTTTAAGGACCTTTTCTTGGGGTGGTTTTCCAGGTGATTGATTCTGTGATGTTCCCGTTCTTGAGGAATCACTTGCCATCTCTGGTTGTTGTTGCTGATGCTGCTGTTGTTGCTGTAGATGCTGCTGGTGCTGCAGAGGCTTCTGGTCAAAAGCCTGATGATCTGAAGAAGATGCCTTTTTACTGTTAGGAGATTCTGGTTCAATCTGGTGCTCAGTTTTACTTGAGAGAGTATTCACTGCTGATCCTGAGTCTGTGCTTTCCCCTCCTGACCTTGAAATTCCCTGGATTGAATAAAAGTTTCCCAAGTAGGAATTAAGAGAATAATCCCAAATATGATCAAGAATCACCTCAAGGAACTCATTTAAACAGCATTAAAGAAGTACTCTAAAACCATTAGTTCGTCAACTCTTAAAGAGTATAGGAAACCTCTTCTCTTATAAAACTGGTCCACTGTCAAGCACGTTTTTATCTACAAATCTAGTACTAGTGTATCGGAAGACATGGTCAAACAATGAAAAAAAAAATAGTTAAGAAACTACTCTTGGGGTTTGCTGAAATCTCATTGGCCAAGAAGGAAACATCTCCAGAGTAGCTGCAGGTCTGCTGGGTGTGAATAAAGCTGCGAAGAACCATAAAAGCAAAATCTCATAAGATCACCTAAAATAAAGATTACAAAAATTTTTCAACAATATATCAAAGCGAAAGAGGTTGAAGCAACCTAATAATCTACCTGCTTTTTTCTCTTTTGTACAGTTATGGAGTCAGTAAAATCATGCTAAGCAGGTCAGATTTCTATGTTTGTAGTCTCACGCCATTCAAGTGTCTTGCCTCACTATCATTACTGTATTGGAAATGGTAACCCCGCCCCGCCCCCCCTACTTTTCCTCTCTAGACATATTCAAACTTCTCTATTTTCTCTCTCTTTGAGCTATAGAAGAGTTGGATAATCTTAGCAAACGTAAGAAAAATAAGGGAATGATAGGAAAGGAAAGAAGCATACGTGCTTTAGCTTCATCATTTCTGATTTTCAATCCTTGCAGCACAATTGCTTCTTCTAGCTCTCCAAAATCAAAGGCAGATCCTTCTTGATGGCTGACAGACAGGAATTGACAACCCATCAATGAAACGAAAAATAAAAGGATCAATTTTGAAAGAAAAAAAAAAATTTTTTCAGAAGATAATTATATTAAAAGCATACATGAAACTCGTCGGCACATTCATTCCATGAAGAGCAGCATAAGGAATATGGCGATGATGATTTGAAGGTCCAGAGTCTGTTAAACCTGTCTCTCCTACTCTATGGTTCGCCATGCAATAAGAGTTGTTCTTTAGACCATTCTCCAAACCAGAAACAGCTGAAAATGAAAACATGTTGAAGAAAAATGAAGAAACTTGACTTGAAAAGAAAGAAAACTATATTTTTGCTCAAAAAACAGAGCAAATGGAAAAACCATTCCCAAGTGTTCCTATTTGTTTGTTTACCTTGGCTTGGTTATGAGTTCTAAGAGCGATAGGTTTGTTTGCTAGGGACTTAGGAGCAAAAGCTGAGAGAAGGAGAGACAGAAAGAAATTAAGAAAGAGAGTGCAGAGAGACAAAAGATCAAAGCTTTCTTGTCAAAGAGAATCTAAATAGAAACAAAGAAGGTCCAGTCTTTTTCTCTGATATATCTCTTCTCTCCTTGCAACTTTTGATCCTTCATGGGCGTCTCTTTCTTCTGCTTTCCATCTCTACTTCTATGTGAAGAAACCAACCTGATCTATTTGTTTGCTTTGTTTTTTTTGGAGCCTTTTTCTTTATTACAACACCTCTTCTAGAGTGTAAATATTTGTATCAGATTTTGAAACTGTTCTCTCAAGGTACACAAAATCTTGTCCTTGCAGACCTGTCCCTCGGGGCCAGACCTTCTCTTTGAGTTATGTCCTTTTGTGTGTGGGGTTTTGAGTTTAAAACTAAAAATTCAAACGAAAAAAACCATAAAAATGTGTACAAAAGAGGGTGGGGTCTTTGGCACTTGGCAGGAACCCACTAGAATCACTGACTCCCACTCCACCCTCTCTCTCTCTTTGTAACCGCCTGTTCTGTCTCATTGGTCCCTTTTATGGCCTTCTTCAGGGCAGCAAAGTACTCATCACATAAGGTAGACAAATAAAATAAATGGATAGCAATGAATTTGACATTGAATATTAGATTACACAAGGTTTTCTTTCATAATAAAAAGAAAAAGGATGGGTAAAAAGAAAAAGAGTATAAAAAAGAATAAAGGTTATAAAAAAGGGGTTGGTCTTCTTGATATTTATAGTATACATCTCAGAAGGGAGAAATATTGAGTTTACTTTTGACAAGTAATGGCCCTTGGGGAGAGAGAGAGAGGAGAGAGAGAGAGAGAGAGAGAGTATCTTATTGATTTCTTTAATGTTCTGCTCCTACCATTTCAACCAAAACATTAGAATACTTACCAACAAGCAAAACCCACTTGTATATTAAATCCTTCACCTTGAGATGGATTTGTTTGGTATTATCCCCTTCGTTGATGGGTCAACATCCACTCCCGGTCATCACCTAAACCCATGCCACATTCAGATTCCTTTCCCTTAATAGAAATTTGTTTCCTTGGGAAGGTCTCAGGCTACAGGGTCATTTGCAGACTGAATGTTACATTAGTTCCTGATTAAGGGCTTAATTCCCATTTTAGGTGAGGTTTCTTTGTTGTCAGTGTCCCAAACTTTCTCTAGACATACAAATCAAAGCTTGTCCCAATCCTAAAAGCTACCCTTAAATTGCAGACTGTCTAACCCAAAAAGAAGAACAAATGAAAAGTTAAAGAAAGCTACCAACTTCAAATATTTGTTGTTTAAAGAGATAAAGGGGTTTTAGATATCCATGACCAGCATTATTGAGGACATACTATTGGATTAAGGGTCAGTAGAGAGAGTTTTAGGTGATGGACACATAATTCTTTCATGAATGAGGTGGAAAGATAAATATTTTATGTTGGGCTCATCTGCTACTTTTATAGGTAAATATACCTTCTACCAATTATCCCTTCATGATACCAATGATTGGTCTGAAAAAAGGAGGGTTTGGATCAAATAAAGAAACGTTCATGGAGTAGTTGATTATGTATTTTAAGTCCATACTTTTGTTCCCAATAAACCTTACAACATGTTCTTCATATGGAAGACTGTGAACAGTTTTTTAGATTTATAGATTTCCATGGATCTAGGCATTCCTTCAAAGCTATACTCGAGTGTCTTTATGTCTATATAGATAGGTGATTGGTCTAGATCTAATCCTTCCTAGTATCGATTACACCTTTAGAATATTTTGTTTAACTATATATTGGATTGAGTCATTGCTTGTCATTTAAGCATGGAACTGAATTATATTTTATGGCTTAATTAATTTGCATAAGACAATGGCTTTAAACTAAACCCCGACTTGCATCAGATTCTTGATTTGAACCATTACTGCAGTTGATTGACAGTACATATATATATATATAAATATTTATAATATCGGTTATTATCACCCCTGGCTGTCCCCAAGCCAACAAGTGAAAATATGTTCAGTTTTAGTTGGGATGGCATGGGGAGAAGCCGTCAATCAGATGATCTTGACCTTTCATCACAGGGGAAGAATATCCTGTTGCCAATGATTAGCATTGGACCCCCAAAAAAAAAAAAACCGTTAAAAAAACTCGTTTTATGGTAAAAAACTTTATTTGTTAATTACTGAGGTTAAGATCTTTGGTGGGGTAAAAAAAATGATGAGCAACTTCATTGCCTACATAACGAATAATGAATCAGAACCAGCAGCACCTAATCTTGTTGTTATATTGCTTCAAAATCTTCTCGTGATTATTATCTTATCATTTAGTATAACCTAACAACTTTGTTGTTGAATGTAACTCTACAACAAAAAGAAAAGTACAGACTTACCATAAACCTTTTGTTTTGCTTCAAAGTTCAAATGCATTCATAATTTTTCCCCTATTCATAATAACTATTTAATGGCCGAAAATAGAAAATTATCAGATGGTGAAATGTAGCTTTGGTTATCCTACCCAAACTTGGTAGTCAAGAATTTGGTTGAATAATTTTCCCAAGCCAGCTGTTCGAGGAGGTAGGTGCTTTTATAATGTTGTATATTTGCAGATATTTCTGTTTTTCTTTCTTCCTCCTGTTCAGGTATAAACTAAGAATTTCTTCCAAATGGGCCATTTGTTAGGGTATAATTTTGTTTAGTCAATGTTTTTTTGAACCACAAAATATTCACACATGGCCTAAAATGAACACATCCAATGCAATATTAAGGCACTATTGGAACACCAAGGATTTCCCTTTCAGCAAGGAAAGGCAAGAAGGGAACCTGCATGAGACAGAAAATGAAATTGCAGTATTAGTGTTACAGTGAACTCCATGTGAAGAAGGAAACTGTTTCATCAAATTAAAAAAAAAAAAGCGTTCACTATCTTACACGGGAAGGCGGCTATATAAACAATGAAATAAGACATTTAAGGACAAAGTAATCGCTTCATTGCAAAGATCTCACCAAATCTAGTTATAATTAAGAATTAATAATCCAACAAAATGGATCACTGTACAAAAGCTGAACTGCATTTCAACATAATAATTAATGTCAGAGAGAGTGTTAAAAGTCACAAATGAATTGTTAAAAACCACAATAGCAGTAACAGCTAATCAAACTTCAACGTTAAAAGCCGGTCAATCTAATACAGCTCACCAGAAAAGGAGCATTTTAAGTGGTGGAGTCATATACCATGTACATCAAATAAAGTCGGCCACAAAGAAAAGACAGAGAGAAGTGAGGAACCATTGGAAGTTTCTTTCCATTCCAATGCAGGCCGTATTCCAGAGGCAACCAAAACCTGCAGACAAGGTAAACCTTACCATCAAATGCCATCCCCCATCCCAGATCCATCACTTTCCTCTTTTTCAAATACACATTCATGCATGCCTGCGTGTGCACACTTGTGTATCGTTGTTGTCAAACTCAACAGCATATATAGAGCATCCTACTCGAAATAAATATGATCAGTAAATAGATAAAGAACACAAAGTAAAGCACATCTCCGTCTGTCCATCAACACAGGAAACAGAAAACTCATGTGGATCTACCACATGAATTCATTTCCTCAGCTGAAATAAATGAAGTATGCAACCATTCCCACGGTATAATTTTGTGAATTTCCCAAACCTAACACATTCACCAAACAAATATTATAGCAGGCACTACTACTTGCCTCTTGCAATTGGCTCCTTAACTACAGTATCATAGAAATAAGATTGCTGGTGAATATCAAAATAAGCGGCAGGCTTTGAAACTGGTGTAATTACAATAAAAACTTGATGTATAAGAACTCTAGCACTAAGGTGTACAGATCAATATGTGCAGCTAGATTGTGAAGGGAGTAAGCATTCAGTAATTTTTCTTGGATGAACTCAGCCACCCCACCCCCCCAAAACAAAACCAAAAAAAAATAGTGAAAAAAAATGTAATAACACATCACAATATCCATATTCCATAATTACTTTCCTTCAATCTTACATTATTATGCCAAAAAACATACCAACTAAACTTACTCCTCAAACTTGGTTGAGGTGGGATAAATTCCGCTGAGACAGAGCAGGGGTTTTCCCATTCCATATTCCTTTTGATAAGTAGGGACATGAATAGCCCAAATCTGCAATTCTGTTAATCCTATTTCTGTTACCCATTTCCCAACCAGTGTTAATTTTCTTTGCTTATAGAAAAATGCCACAAGCAAAAGATATACATATCGTCAACAATAATGCAAAAGTGCCTGCATCTCTATTTATTCTCTCCATATTGAACTCTAATCATTAAAACGAATGTCAATGAATAAAACAAAGAACAAAGGTGCCAGAGAATAGAAGGAAGTGAGAGAAAAGCTTTGTTTACAAAATTAAATAGCCAAGGGAGCACACTGAACAGCAGAAACAAACACAGGCTAGAATGTAAGCACTCGACATAGGCTATTTAGTTTCTAAGGTCATAATGCTCAAAAGGTAATTGAGAATTGTAGTGCAAATAGAAAAGAACAAAGGAAATACAAAAATCACAAGTCTTAGTACTTTGTGATCTCTATTAGCCTGCACCCTGCATTATGCCTACTCATGAACAGCATATAAGTAACCAATCAGAAATATCAATAGGAAAATCCACCCTGTTTTTTGTTAAGAGAACCGGTCACAGCTAAGGAACCAAAATGCAAACACTGCTGGTAAATGGTTTAACAAGAAACTAGGACCACTTGGTCATAAAATGATAAGAAGAAAAAAATTATTGTGCAAATTGTACAAGTAATAAGGTCATGTTTGGTACATAAGATGATAGATGGGATAGGATGATAATCATCCTATACCATGTTTGGTTTTTATCTAAAGAGAGGTAGGCGATTGCAAGAAAGATTAATCATCCTCTTGGCATAGAATGATTCAATACTTCTCAAATGGAGAGAGTTATTTTTAATCCATGCGATTAAACTTGCATATCCTATTATATCCCTAAAAACCACATCAACAATTTAAATTGTATAAATTTTGAAAAAGAATAATTTTGATCAAATAAATAAAATTATCATATCCTAATCCTTGCATACATCAAACACAAGATAGTATGACATTATTTAATCTATCCTATACATATATCATTTTATCCTATCCCATTCATAATCTTGTGCACCAACCATGCCATAAAACTCTAGAAATGCTTTGATGAGTAGCTTTGTCTTGACCTGCAAGGTTTAAGCACTCACCATGTAGACTCAGAATGTTCAATCATGTCCTGTTATTTTATCAATTAATGGTTCTGATCTGATTTCATTTTATAGGTCATAATACATGTCAATTTCATTTCATTTCCATCATAACATTTGTTCTAGTATTCTTATACATTATCAGCGACCCAAAATAGTTTTGGGCAAAGGAAGCCACTGAGAAATTATTTCCTCTTTACTTTTAAATATAAAAGGTAGAGACTACTACAACTTTGAAGCAGAAATGTTTACAATCAAGTTTTTCAGAAGAAATCTGTTAACCATGAATGTCATAGAAAATATGGCCCAAAAAATTGTCAGGGAAAAGTAATTCAAAACATTTATTAATCTTCCCCCCACTACTGAAAATCCATGAACTCCAAAATGAAGTTATTCTCATAGGCTAGGCTTGTGTATACACACAAAACAGTGTATTATTTTTGAATAAAGTTCTTTGAAACTTTAGCTTCATCAAAGCTGTTAATATAAGGCAATAATACAACAAGAAGGGCAGTCCATGTGACAGCAGTTGTAAATCACAGAGAAAGAATCTTCAACTCTGGAATAAAATAAAATGGTCAAAAATAGCAAAGGAGCAAAATGACAATTAAATGAGAAGACAGCAGTATTCTTTTGATTGCATATATTTTTCCAATCAAACTGAAGAAATTCCAGCAATGATTCATAAGACGCATAAAAATAAGGATGTTCAGGATTTACATTCTGTAAATATTACCTGCATATCTGTTCATATAATTCATAACTCAACCAAAACTTGAATTTAACAATGCAATTGAAAGAATTTTAGTCATATTCAAACTGCATCTCCACATGCATATATTTTCTCATAAGCTGAACAATAGAGGATGTGAAATTGGCCAATATCTGGCATTCTTCATGTGACTTGGCTTCTGAAACAACCCCAAAAATAACCATCTTTTTAAGATTTGGGCATCGTTTTAGCAGCTCCTCAACCCAATGAGAGAAGAGGTCATTAATTACAGTCCATCCAAGCTCCAACACTATCACATTCTCCAAATTAGAAGATCCTTGGAGACCATAATGCATGACACCATCTCTCAATTCGTAACTTAGTGAAAGATACTTCAATTGTGGAAAACAAACAGCAATTGTTTCCAAATCCACAACCTCGTCTTCATCATCAAAAGCCACATCCCAAAGCCGAAGCTTCCTCAATTTTGAGGATCTTGAAATCATCTGGTAGAATTTTGGCCAGATGATTGTGAAGTTACTGACATCAACAACCTCAAGATTATCAACAGTCTCACCAATGTCAAGATGTATCACGCTAACATCATCAATCTTGAAATATTTCAAAGTACCTTTCCCATTCAGTTCAAAAAGTTCAAGGGCACAATCCCTCAAGTGCAAACGCTCAAGACTATCAGCCTCCAGCATAAATTTATCCAAACTAATTGCTTCAACATAAATACTCTTTAATGTTGGGCTGCTTAATTCCACTGTCACCTGTGCATCTGACATTGCTATCTCTGGATTGACAAGTTCCAAGCTCTCAAGCTTTGGACATGCAGTGAGCAAAAGGCTCAAATCCAAAGCTGAAATACTAACATGACTCAAAGAGAGGGACTTCAAACAAGGAAATCTCTGAAAATTAGGTTCAATCCCTGTTATTGAATTGTTGGCTAGTGCCAACAATTCCAGCTTTTGCCTACCACAGATTTCAAGAATGTTAACATTCGGGTTAGTCCGGACATTATATAACAACTGATGCAAGGTTTCCCTGGTATACATGAGCCAAGCAATAACAGTTGAAGCCGAGAACTCATCAACATCATCCATCAAGATTGATAGGCCTTGCAGTCCTGTAGTTTGGAATATTGTTTGAGTAATCAGGATCTCTAATATTCTAGGTGTAATATCATGATAAGCAGGCCAATCATTAGAATTAAATGCTAGGGTGTGAAGGTGTTTCTGACAAGCTTCTCGCCATTTTCGACATGTTGCAGAGGCTATCACCACATCCCGGGCACCTCCAAGCCGAGATAAAATATTTCCAATGACTTCAACAGGTAGGTGCTCCATTGCCAATAAAGATCAAAAGCCTCAAATCAACAAATTGGGTTTTCCAAAGATACTCAACTATATGTAAGCAAACAACACAATTTCCTCGTTACTCAACAAATAAGATTGAAATGGGTTGAAATCGTTGCCCAAATCTTCTTTCCAAGCACTGAAAAAAGGTCTGTACTAAAAGACAAACACAAAAGCTACTCAAAACATGACTTATAGTTAGACTTAGATCTTAAAACAGATTCCACATCCAAATAAAACAATCTAAAGCATTAACAAAAAAAAAAAAAAAAAAAAACTTGTTGGGTTTCAACTGGAATTTGGAGTATCATAGTATCAGCAAGATTCCAACTAAATAAAGGTCCAAAATTGACCTCAAAATGAAGGATGAAGGTCAAAATCAAGTATCTGAGTACTTAAAAACATGTCTTTTTTACAGGCTCAAATCAATTCAGTGATTCAGAAAGGAGAATAAAGTATGGTTTAACACAGAATAATTTTCAAAATTCCTATCAATCAAAATAAAAACAATTACTCAAAAAAACATCAAAATTGAAATTTTAGCATCTGGGCATTTAAAAAATGTCAAATTTTGCAAAACAAATGAAAATATATATAGAAACAAATAAATCAAATGCAAAATAAATCCAAAAAAAAAAAAAAGGCTTACCAGAGAAAAGGAAGCTTGGCGTTTTCGAAATGACAGTGAGTAATGATTTTAAGTGAGTGATAAAAAATAAATAAGCTTTGTTTAAGGGTTGGATTCCAAGTTTTTCATTTTTTTCATCTCATTCGATTTTTATTTGTTTTTGAAATTGAAATTGAAATTTATTGGAGAATCAAATCAGACGAGAACGAGGAGGAACAACGCTGCGCTCTTCTCTTCTGTTTATTATGCAACCTGACCTGGCTGCCATGTTTTATGCCAATTTGGGTCCTCTCTGTCCTTTTTGGAAATTTTCATAATTTTTAATTTTTATGGCAATTTATATTATTAGTAATTGTTTAATATATACTTATAAATTGGTTTTTAAAACATATATTTTATTGTTTATATTGTGATCTATGACATAAATTCGTATAGAATGATATTTCTTTGATTAAGAAATTTTCAATAAAAAAATAAGATTAAGAAAAACAAAGTTATTATTTCGACAAATTTTCAATTTGCAAATTAAATATGTTACATATAGTTTATGTTAAAAAATATTTTTTAAGGGATTCATATGTTGTAATATGATAATTTTGAATAATTTTTATATTATTAATTATTTTTTATTTTAAGTTATATAAATTTACCTATTCATAAATATAATTATTCACAAATATATTATATTTATTAATCAAAATTAATTGTGAATGAATATATTTAATGTTTAATATCATTTACGTTTAATATTTAATATTTAAATTCATATTTATTTAATAATATAAATATTCATGAATCAAATTTACATTGTTTCTTAATTAATTTTATTTTTTTATTTTAAATAACTTAAATTTAATTGTTTGCAAACTTAGTAATGCATTAATTTATGATATTTATAAATATAATAAATTATAAATGAATACATTTAATATTTAATGTCATTTAAATTTAAATATTTTGAATTTAGATTCATATCTATTGAATAATATAAATATTCTTAATTAAATCTAGATTATTGTCATCAATATATGTTCATTTGGTAAATTTATTTAAATTTTCAAACATAAATAATAATTATGATTAAGCTTTTTATATATTTAAAAGTTATTTTTTATTTGTTTTATATTTCAATACTTTGTAAAAATATAAATTATAAGATTAACCAAAAGATAAAACGAAAATGGTTTATCCTATTAAAAAAAATGGTTTATTTTATCCTACCCAAATTTGGTTGTTTTATTTTTTATTAAAAAAAAATTAATATTCAATCTTCTTGTTATAACCCATTTTAGAATTCAAATATTCATTCATTCATATTTCCATTTTAAAAAAAAAATCACGATTAAAAAGGCGAAGACGCTGCGTTTTAGTGTCCAGACACAATAAGCAAAATGATTTCGAAAAGCATAAAGAAGAGTTCTCAGTCTTTCAATTCGGCAGCTCCTATACCAGGCTGTCTGGGAAGTCTCCAGTCTCCAGCTTTGGAAAGACGTTGGAAGAGTGAAATGGAAGCTGTAAAAATCAGTCTAATATTGCTACTGTTATCAAATCTCCGATCCATTGCATCATCTCCAGATAACCACCGCTATAATGTAGGAGATCAGGTCCCTTTATTTGTCAACAAAGTGGGTCCACTCAACAATCCCAGGTAACCCAGAAAAAAAAAAAAAGAAGAAAAACAGAATCTTTGAAATATGAAAACTCAATCTTTACTTACTTTCCTTATGAACCTTTCAATTTCCATTCTTTTCTTGCGAATTTAACTTGTTATGTGTTTGTAAGAAATGGATATTGATTAAACTAATGTGTGAATCAATATCTTTTGATGGGTCAAAGTTTGATTTTTAGTTTGTCGAGTTAAATGCTTGTAAATTTTGTTGGGTTATTAAATTCTAATGGTTACATTGTACAAGGTGTTGAATGATAGGATCTGAATTATAAGTAGGCAATGACCCTGTTCTGTATGTTAGCCGCCGGTCAATATTGAAAAGCCAAACTCTTTTTGGTGTTCTGTATGCTAATGCATTAGCATTAGCATTTTGAACAACACAAGGCTGATGTTTTAAAGAAAAGTTTATTAATAAATTGAGCAGGTTGAATTTTTATGCAGTTAGCTTTGCCACTGCTAGATTGGTTATCTTGTAACTGCTCCTAGGGTAGAACTAGGACTTATACTAGAATGACTCTTTAGAACATGCTTCCTTGGAAAATAGAGAAATGATTATGGTTCTAGGTTAACTGTTTGTCCCTAGCAGAAGTCAAAGGTCAAATTTTACTTGATCTGCTAATTTCCATTTCCGTTTCCTACTACCATGTATCCTTCTGGTCTTAATTTTTGCCCCCAAACTGTTCTTTTATTGCAGTGAGACCTACCAATACTATGAGTTACCATTCTGCCGCCCAGGTTAGCAATAATTATCAGAAGTATTTGATATTATGCATGGTAAAAAATTTTAACTATTTTCATATATATTTTTCTTTAATTAATGTGAACTTATTATTTATTAACATTCATTTTAATTTTAAAGTTGTAACATTAAAAATTGGTTAAAATCAAATTATCCTACATTTTATTGTCCATGGAGTTTTTAAACCAAAACAAAGTAGTTTTGTCCTGCACAAGACTGAAATTTATTATATATATATATAGATTAGTTCTATAGATAATCTTTCTAAATTTTGGGCCCAGGTATTTTTTTTTCCGATGGAAAACTCACAATATTATTGCTTAAATGTTTTCTTATCTCCTTTCTCTTTTTTTTTTTTTCCCAAATGTTAAATAGTAGTATTTAGTTTTCAATCTTTTCCAATTTTTTAGCATGTGGAGTTTGGAGTTGTATTAGTAAGCACATTGTGGCTTGCAGATCCTGTAGTACAAAAGATGGAATCCCTTGGGGAAGTTCTAATGGGTGATCGTTTAACCAGTGCTCTGTATAAGTTGAAGTTTGGGGAGGACAAAATTGTAGAGACATTGTGTCACAAGAAGCTTGAAAGAGATGATGTCACAAAATTTAGAGATGCTGTTATTAATGATTTTTACTTCCAGATGTACTATGATGATTTACCGTTTTGGGGTTTTGTTGGGAAAATTGAAGAAGACAGTTGGACATTTGAGGAGAAGGCACCCAAATATTTTCTGTTTAAACATGTGCAATTTGATTTGCTCTATAATGGCAACCAAGTTATAGAAGTACGTGCATTTGGTGACCCAGATCAGGTTGTTGATATAACAGAAGATGTTGGAATTGATGTTAAGTTCACTTATTCAGTCATCTGGAATACAACCTCAGCTGCTTTTGAAACCAGAATGGATAGATATTCAAGGGCTTCATCCCTTCCAATCCACCAGCAGATTCATTGGTTCTCATTCATCAACTCAATTATCATTATTATGCTATTGATGGGATTGCTTACCTTGCTTTTCATGCGGCGTCTGAAGAATGACTTGAGAACGTAATTTGCCTTTTGATATTGATGACAATGTTAATTTACTTTATGGCCTATAGAATTGCTTTTTCATACTTTAAGGCTAAGGTTCAATGCATGAATAGCAGGTGTTCTGCCGGAGATGACGAAGAAGACAAGGAGGTTGGTTGGAAATATATTCATGGAGATGTATTTAGATATCCTCAAAACAAGTCTTTGTTTTGTGCTGTCATTGGAACGGGCACTCAACTGCTAACCTTGTAAGCTACTAACTATTATTTTCCTATCTACTTGGTATCTTGTTCATACTTATTAATTTACTGGCTGATATCTGGTCATGTACAACTAGAATAATAACAAAGTCTTTTCTCACTTCATGGGGATGACATATGATTGATATGATATATGCACTGTGGTCAACTGCACTTGCTGATATAGTGATATATTTTAATTAAATCAAACCTTTTTCACCTTCTTCATCTTCTTTTTCCTCTTCCTTCTGTGTTCTTCTCTACATTGCCTTCTGTTTCAACAATATTTTTATGCTTTCATATCTTTGCCATCCATCGTCATGAAATCTAACTTTGATGCCTTCACTGTCAGAAACATTATTTCATATTTATGATACTTTAAAAGAGTTTGATGTCTCTAAGTCAGACTCAAAAGCTCATCCAATCAAGATTTTTCATGGTGCTATGCTATTCTAGGAGCTACTTCTAGAGTGTAGGATTTTTCTAAATGTTTACTCTTAGTGTATGAAAGTTTAAGATTTCTCCTAACAGTTCCATTTTCTTTCAGAGTTTGCTGCTTATTTGTGCTAGTTTGTCTTGGTGTCCTCTATCCTTACAATCGTGGAGCACTATGCACTGCGCTTGTCATTTTATATTCTTTGACATCTGTAGTTGCTGGGTACACTACAGCTTCCTTCCACTGTCAGTTTGCTGAAGCTGGATGGGTAATTATTTAATATAATTTAATGTTGCACATAATTAAAAAAAAAAACCTTTTAGCCTTATTTATTGAATAAAAACTGTCAATTTTCAGGAACGTAGTGTCCTCCTGGCTGGAATCATGTATGCGGGTCCCTTGTTTGTAATAGGTTCCATCCTTAATGTGGTTGCTATATCTTATGGGGCCACAGCGGCGCTCCCTTTTGGCACCATCATGGCTATTATTCTCATATATGCTTTTCTCACCATTCCATTGCTTGCCTTGGGAGGGGTGATTGGATACCTCTTTAGGTCTGAATTTCATGCACCTTGTTCTACAACAAGGTACCCAAGAGAGATTCCTCCATTGGCTTGGTATCGAAAAACTCCTTGTCAAATGTTCCTTGGAGGTTTCTTATCTTTTAGTGCTATCGTGCTTGAGTTACAACACTTATATGCGAGCTTGTGGGGTTACAAGATATTCACTCTTCCCAGCATTTTGTTTGTCATGTTCATCATCCTCATCCTGCTCACTGCAATATTAAGTGTTGGTTTGACATATATTCAGCTATCTGTGGAAGATCATGAATGGTGGTGGAGGTATGTGCCCTTGCAATCTTATATGCATGGACATTTACACATAAATATGCGCACTGAATATATTATTTATAATGTTAATGGAGGTTGGTATGTAGGCTTCTTTACCTCATATTATTTGTAAGACCTACATGATGATATCAAATCTCACAGAGCAAGGAGGATGTTTCAATGCAGTTTTTCACTGCTGCCCACCTTTTGGGAATGTTTACATCTTTTATACACAGACTTATAGCCATTTATGGCTGGTTACTGTCTAAAATTGGTAGCAAAATCTCAATCTGCTGGCTCCTTTGGTTTTTTTGGTATTGGCCCTTTTTAGTTATTAGACAATCATATATTGAAATAAACTATTAAGAGGGTTCTTCATGTTCTTTGCTTTTTGCTTTTTGTATTTTTGTGCATGACTAATGAGCTGACTAGCACATGATCAGTGGGTTGATTGAAAAAATAAAAGGCTTTCCTCTAACTTGGATACTGGAAGAATTTGCCTTAAGCACTCAAGTCTTGTTTCTTTTCTGACCTGGTTAAGTGTTACTTTGGTTTTGAATTATTTACACTATCAAGCTGGAGACTTTTGCTTAACCACAAAAGTTAAAACATGTGTCTATATTAGTTAGTCTATTTTCTTTTTACACTTCTTATTCCTAAATTTTGGGGTGTTTCTTTCAAATCTTTTTTCTTCAAGAACAAACCCTATACAAAAAGTTAACCCTTCGGTTTGTTGTATCTGTATTTTTAGAGTCTAGGAACAAAAGAAAAAAAAAAGTAAAGGTTTTGTGAACATAAAATGCTTGTTGCCTGTTGGAATTTTTTGCCTTTTCTTCTTTTGCTTTCTCAAAACCCCAAAGTAGCTTGCCTTCATTAATGGAAATAAGTGCATCATTCTTTGTATTTTTTTCTATAATTCTGCTTGCACTGCCATAATGTTTCAAACACTTGGGTGCTTTTGCTTAATGCAGATCTGTGTTGTGTGGGGGCTCGATTGCTATTTTTATGTTTGCTTATTCTATCTACTTCTACACAAGGTCAAGAATGAGTGGCTTGTTGCAGCTTTCGTTTGTTGTTGGCTACAATGCTTGCATATGCTATGCATTCTTCTTAATGCTTGGCACAATAGGCTTCCATGCTTCCCTGATGTTTGTTCGTTACATTTACCGTGCTGTTAAGAGTGAATGACTCTCCCTCTGCCTGTTGATGGTGATGGTTTTACCTTCTTGTCTTGCTGCCATCATGCAACCACTCTATCCCCCTAACTATGCTATAATAATTGAGAAAGAAAGAGAAGAGAGGGGATGATTGTGGATTAGAAAAAGAAGCAAGGAGAGATTCAAAGATTGTGAAGAATGTGACATCTACAAAAATTTCAGTAAGCATGATAGAAAATCATACCTGTCTTTTGATACAATTAGTTTTTCATGGCTAAGAATAGTTTACAGTTTTTCACTTGTTAGAAAAACATTTATGTGTACATTATCCAAATGTTAAATAAAAAACATTTTTGAAGTTTTATGTCTGGAGGGTCATAAGAATAATATATTTCTGTCCATTGTCACTGGCTTTTCTCATGTTAGTAAACTGAGTAAAAACAAGTAAAAAAGGAAAATAATTATGTTTTATTTGTTATTTAATAGTGGAATCATACAATTTGTTAATTGTTATCCACGAAATTTTTTATTTTTTAAAACCAATTTTTACTTCCATTTTTTTTCATGGTTTTACTTTAAAGGAACAAAAAAAAAAAAAGCAAAAATAATGTTGAGAGAAAACCAACCATTGATCTAAGTCATGAGAAATTTAGTATAAAATGTTGAGAACAGATGTTAAATTGTTAATCCAAGAATTCTAAAGAAAAGAAATATGTATCAATTTCTATTTTCCAGGCAGCTCCCATGTACACCCCAAGGCTCTCTTAAACTGCCATATCGCAAAATTTCAGTCAAGTTAGTTAAGTAAACTACAGCTAATATTCCCCCAATCCCCCATTTTACTTTGCCGCGGACCACATAAAATTTGTAAGTTGAGACTTCGTTGGATACGGGAGACTGGAGAGTGACAACCTTAAAACGGTAAACATCTAACCAACCGAGCCAACCAAAATGCGGTCTTTAATCAACCATCCAAATCAAGCAAACGTCAAGTGACAAGTGAAGGTCCCGTTTCTTCAGTATTTGCAACTGCCATAAACATTCACGGGACTTTAAAAACACCCATCTTTCCTTTTACGTCCTTATTGTTCAGTGGCCTAAGTCAGAGTGTTTCCAGATTCCTTGGAATTATTCTTCGGGTGCAGTTTCCTTGGATTCTTGTCTCCTTGTAGGTACTTTTGCTTGATAGTTGATACCTACCTGTTGTTATTTTCCTTATGTTCGTTTTTATGCTTCAAAATTGGTTCTTTCAAGTTTTTTTTTCACACATTTTACTTTTATCCAGTTTTGTCTACATTTGATGGTTTAATCTGTGGTTAAATTTCATTCTTCTTCTGCGTTTTGATCTTTTTGGTGGGTTTTTATTTCTTTGCAGTTGAGCATTATTGTTGCTTTTGCTTCCATTTGTTTTCTTGTTGATCTTTCACAAAGGCTTTCCTTTTGTTTAGTAAATTGATCAATTTTCACCCTAACAAAAATTTAAAACATTTTTTGGTTGCATTTTGGGTCCATCTTTGATAAAGCATTGTGTTGAAATAGGAGAATTCGTGCTTACTTTGCCTTTTATTTTGTTTCTTGAACAATGCGGAATTATTTCAACAGTAAAATTGTATTTTGATTATTTGTTTTTAATAACCAGGTTTGGAACAATGATAGGTAGCATAATCTTCAGTGTTTGAGCATATTGGTTTAAGTAAATTGTAAGTTTCAGAAGTTAGGTTTTATGCTGCTAATATGGCAGCTTGTTCATCTCCTTGTTTTGTACCATTTGAATCTCAAGCAACTGTTGGAGTGCTAACCTTTTCAAAAGGATATAGTTTGAAGGAGAGGTGGATTGGTAAAGCTAGTTTCCTAAAGGGTTTTCATAAAAGTGGTTTCTTTGGTGCTTGCCAAAGGAAAGGAGGTTTGCCAAGTTTCTTGAAGTTTAAATGCTCTGTTAATTCTAATAATGTTAGCCCAAATAATGGTAAAGAGTCTTTTCTGGATCCTGAAATTTTGATGCATAGCGTTGAAGAAGATGATGCATTTCCTAGCTTGAGGAAAGAAAGTTATTCTAGAAACATCACTGAGAGCTTGAGTGAATCCTGCAGCCGAAGTAGCTATAGTGAAGCTAAGATCAAAGTTGTTGGAGTTGGGGGTGGTGGGTCTAATGCTGTTAACAGGATGATTGAGAACTCAATGAAAGGCGTGGAGTTTTTGATAGTTAACACAGATGCTCAAGCCTTGGAGATGTCTCCTGTGTTGCCAAAGAACCGTTTGCAAATTGGCGAGGAGCTGACTAGGGGTCTTGGTGCTGGTGGGAAACCAGAAACCGGCATGAATGCTGCCAATGAAAGCAGAGCAGCAATCGAAGAAGCAGTTCATGGTGCAGACATGGTATTTGTGACGGTAGGTTCTATTTCATATGTTTAATTGCTGGAGTTTATAAGTTTCTCCAGTAGTGGATTTGCAGTTTGAATTTAGAACTCTCTTGCCATCTTCACTTTCTTAAGAAGGAAAGTTGTGGTACTTTTGGTCTCGTTTCTATGAGGCAGCATAAAATCTATGAGATTGAGTTTTATTTTTCTCCCTTTTTTGCTGGTCTTTTGGCCAAACAATATGATATCTGCCACTCTGCCATACTATCAAAGGATTTGTGTAGCGTTTGTGTTAACAATACTTGCAATATAAAATTTTTTATTTTCTATTTGAGTAATTTAGTTTTTGTGTCAATAATGAATCATTAGTCCTTTTTTTTAAGATAAAATTATTAAACCTGATTTCTCTAAACCATTACCTGTAGTAATTTCATGAACATTTTGATACTTACGTTAGATTAGAACCACATATTCAACCTAAAATGATAATGTGGGAAGTGATATTGTATTTTCCCATGAGCTTGTGTCCTGCCGTTCAAGCTTTCTAAATTTTAGTGGGTGCCATTATGCTCCATTGGGTGATTTCATATATTTGGGAGGAGGAGGGGGTATTAAAGTTCTAAGAACAACGCAAAATAAGGTCAGAAATTGCTAATATGGATTTGCTATAGGAAATAAATCTGCTGCACTTGTGGAGCAGAAGGCTGCTTATTATTTTCATTGTTTTATTGGCTTTTGGATATTGTTTACCATGGGCGTTAAACCTGCAGGCTGGAATGGGTGGAGGAACTGGCACTGGTGGGGCTCCGGTAATTGCTGGCATAGCAAAGTCGAAGGGAATTTTAACTGTTGGCATTGTTACTACACCATTTTCTTTTGAGGGAAGGAGGCGGGCAATTCAAGCTCAGGAGGGAATTGCAACCCTGCGTGAAAATCTGGACACACTTATTGTTATTCCCAATGACAAGCTGTTGACTGCAGTTTCACATGCCACCTTAGTAACAGAAGCATTTAATTTGGCGGATGATATACTTCGTCAAGGTGTTTGTGGTATCTCTGATATAATTACGGTAGGCATGCAAAGCAAAAGATATTGTTAAATCAATATTTCTCTTTGCTACCAGAATTCTTTTTATAGTTCAAGCATAAAACGCCATTGAACAGAGAAGATGAAAAATAGTGATATTAATCTATCTTAATTTTATTGCTATAATGCATGTATTTTTCTAAGTAATATGGTATGTTCTTGCATTGTGTCTATTTATGTGGTTCAGTTAATAACTGATGCACACCCATCAGGGTAGGCAGGTAATTGATTCTTTAGAAATTTGTAAATGGCGAAACTTCAGTTTGATTCATAGCTTAAAAACCCTTCATTATTAGGGTCTTTAACTGGGCTTGCATATATTTCCGAATCAGAAATTTCAGATTTGATGCACTTCAATTGTGCAATGTCTTTTCCTGCTTCTTATATATAAATTGCTAATGTCATTGAGGGAGCAAAAAGATACAGTTTGCTCAATGTTAGTGTTGTTATTCGTCATATTTTTTCAATGGATGAATTGGTGTCTGGGTTATTAAACTATTTTACTCCGCTGGTATTTTCAAATAATTCATCTAAGTTATTACAATTGCATTCCATGTCTTATATTAAAGTAAGTTGCTTACATCAACATGTACAGAAAAGTTTCCTTGCATTCATCTGTTCTTCTTCTAATTAGGGTTTCTCAAATCAGATATTTGGTCAATTACATTTGGCATTGTTATGTTATTGTTGGCCTAATGTTCATAGAATTCTTATGCAGGTGCCAGGTTTAGTTAATGTTGATTTTGCTGATGTACATGCTATCATGAAAGATGCAGGTTCTTCTTTAATGGGGATAGGAACTGCAACTGGTGAGTTTAGGCCTTGCAGTCTCCTATTTCTAATTTGACTAAACTAAAAGGAAATAAGAATTAAGTGAGAGGTACTATTAGCGTGACCCAGTTTTAGTTCCTTCATTGAATCTTACTGCTTCAAGTTCTATACTTTGATCTAATTACCAATAACGTCACAACAGTTTACAAGGTGATTGCCTCTTGCTCACGCACCAAAGTAGTGATCTGTGAACTTTCTTTTGCTCATAGATCATGAATTCATGATACTAACATCTTTATGTTAAGAACAAAGAAACAGGTCATCTTTAGTATTGAATATGATATCCATGAATGAATGATTTATTACCTGATTTATTTCAATTTTCTAGTGATATTTGAAATAGTAAGCAACAGAAGAGAATCGTGATTGCATCAATTCATGTGCGTTTTTTTTTATATGAAAGATTGTTATTTTTAAGGTTCCTCTGTCTGTTCCCTTTTCTCTTATAAGAATATGATCCCCATTCATTTTTATTATCTATGATATCCTATCCATTTTTTTCCATTTTACTTTGTCCCTAGTTTGAAGTATGCATGTGTCTTGGTATTTATGCTTTAAAAGGTTGGTATAACTGTTAACATTTGCTAATTTGCAGGCAAGAACAGGGCAAGAGATGCTGCATTGAATGCCATCCAGTCACCTTTGCTAGACATTGGGATTGAAAGAGCTACTGGTATCGTGTGGAATATAACCGGTGGAACTGATTTAACTTTATTTGAGGTGTGCCATAACCTTCGGATTGTATTACGTGCACGCTTTTTTTGGGGATGTTTTTGGGTGGCTGATAGTTGAAATGTTGGTTATGTGTCAGATTGTAACCCATCTTGTTGAAAACTTGCAGATTAATACTGATCCCACTGTGTATGTCAATTTTCTTTGACTTGTAGGTGAATGCTGCTGCAGAGGTTATATACGACCTTGTTGATCCAAATGCCAACTTAATAGTTGGAGCGGTGATAGATCCATCTCTCAGTAACCAAGTAAGTTTAGTAGTTAGAATTCTACAAGAATTTATCAGTGACAATTTTAGTTTTATGGGCATCAGTCCATTGCATAAATTTGAAAAGTAATAAACACAGAATAAAATTCTCCACATTGTCATTTAATGGCCATGTCAAGAAGTTAATAAAGAAAACAAGGTGCAAGTCTTTTGTAGTTTTGGTTTACATTCCTGACAATTTGAGGCTTCTTTTTCTCTTATAAATATTGAAGTTAAAATTATAAATCCGGCTTCCTGTGACAAAAGGAATATCCAAGAAATAAATATTGTTCTTTCCATTTTGTCTGTTCTTGTTTCAAAGTAGAGGTATTCGATTAGCATGGGGGAATGAAGTTGTTGAAATTGTTCAATCATTTTGACTAAAAAATTGAGTTCTTCAATAGTTATCCAACCTAAATGTAAATATATTTTGTATATTGCTCATGGACAGGCTTTGTTTTGCTTTTAGGTCAGCATAACACTGATTGCCACTGGATTCAAGCACCAAGAAGATAGCAAAGGCAAGGCAAGTCTTTGTCGTCCATCTCTTTTCAGTTTACTACATTTTCTTTATATCCTTTTGTTGATCTGGGAAATATGCAGGGAATTCAGCTAGTATCTGGTGATGATTCCATTGGTTTCAATAAGCGTTCTCCTTATACCGATGATGGTTCGCCAGAGATTCCTGGGTTCTTAAAGAAGAAAGGCCGTTCACGTTATCCGCAACTCTGATTTTATTTTCTTGAAATGTAAATCTCTTCTCATTTATGTTTAAGCTTTCTCAAGTTTTAGATCTTTTCAGAAGATTGCATTAGAGTGCCTTTTTGGCAAGAAGCAAGTTCATATTTTCTTATTAAACAACCCTGTTGAATCTATCAGATTAGGGTTAAATAAAGTGTTGATGCCTTTCTTTGTATGCTCTATTTGGTGTATTCAATATGACAGACCCAGCAGCAAAGTATTCAAAGCCCATAGATGATACCAAAGTTAAGAATTTGCATCTTTTTTTTTTTTTTTTTTCTGAAGAAGAGATCCAAAACTGACCTTTAACTACCTGGTTAATATATGGAATTTTCGAGGATCTACCATTGGCCATTGACTTTATCAAATTTAATTGAGGTTTACAGAAATATGAAGGATTTTTTTTTTTTAGAATTATCCATTTTATGTTGAAGAATTTAAAGAATTAAAACCATTTTCCCTTAATAGATGAGTTATATGATAGAAAGCAGCCATGTTTTTTGGCATAAAGCCATGAACCTTTCTTCTTGGTTGAAGGTGAGATCCCATCTGAAATAGTATATCTGGTCTAACCATTGGCAAATTTCTTGGTACATAATCACAGGAAAATATTTCTCCATACAAACTAGATATCCATGATTTTTGTTAAGCTATGAATGTGCCATATAAATTTATGATTATAGTAATCTTAAATGAAAAATTTATACCCATAAATTTCAATTCCCTTAATCAATATTGCTCTAAATCAATTTTTTTAGTTATCATTATACATATGTCATGAAAGTATGCACATAATATAATAATATAAATGAAAGAAAAGTACAGAAAAATAATATATTGAGACCAAATTTGTTAAAACTGATGTTAATATTTTGTTAGTAAAAAGGATCAAATATCATTAGATAAATTTCATGATCTTTAATCACTTTGAAAATTTTTAATATATATTATCAGGTGCCAACAAAATAAGAAGAAAAATGCTCACATCAGAATGAAAATATCTGAACTCATTTTTGAGCATGTCCACATCTTTTGTGTGCTCACTTTTCCACCTCAAAAGTCCTCTAAAATCAAGTACACCAACCCATTGGAGGCCCTTAAATCCAATTGTCTACCTTTCACCCTTATTTCCTGAAGGCAACAAATAAAAAAAACTAATTGAAAGCCCAGCACCCTCTTCCAAAAATCAACCCATCAAAGCCACACAATTTTAAGACCACAAGCTATGATGAAACGTTTGTAAATCGAAAACCATACAAAGCCAACACTTGGTGACGTGCACATCAATTCCCCACCCATTTTTACACCAAGCAGATTTTGAACTATATATTTAACCCTATCAAACTCCCCCCGTTTTGCACACTGTCATCACCGTCATCATCAGTGCAACAAGATTTACCTAGCTAGCTGCAAACACAACATGTCTAGTACTACTCTCAATCCCCGGAACTATAATCCTTCGAAAGCCATCGTCGTCCGCCGGGTTCCTACCTTTTCCTTCAAGCCTAGCAATAAGTCTAGTTTAGGACATGAAGATGATGATCAAGTCATGTTGTTGCATGACAAGTCTAATCATAACAAGGCTGCAGGATGCAAGTTAGGAGATAGTTGCAATAATAATATTGTGTTAAAAGCGTCAGTTTTGGTTCCTAGAGGTCATGGTAGTGATGGAAATGAGGTTGAAGCATTGCAAAAGGAATCGGGACGTGAAAGGCTCAAAAGACACCGAGAAGAGGTAGCAGGTAGGGTTACGATACCAGATAAATGGGGTAAAGAGGAGTTGCTTAAAGACTGGATTGATTATTCTTCCTTTGATTCATTGTTAGCTCCCAATGGACTTGCTTCAGCTCGAAAAGCTCTTATGGCAGAGCGAAGAAGGACGAGTACTCAACCATTAAGGATAGGAAGTATTTGTTGAAGAATTAATGTTAATTTTCTGATATATATTATAGTAGTAAGACCTTTTATCTGTTCGAGTGCGGTTTCTTGATCTTAATTCTGTAATTCTCATTAACTCGTCTCTATTTTTAGGCAATATATGAAGTAGAGACATAGAAATATATGTATGCAATGCATTGATGCTGAGATTTGATTATTGAGTGAGGCACATGTGTGTGTGTCTATATATATATATATATATATATGTATGTATGTATGTATATGTGTGTGTATATCTTGATTGTAAAAATTTGCTTATAAAAATATATGATTCAAAAATTGAAACCAGATATTTGGAATCATTTGCTTGAATATATGCTTTCTTTTCCAAAAAATAAAAGTTGATTTGCTGCCAGACATATTAAGATATGAAATGAGAATCTAAATTATTGTTGGCTGTAATTGAGATCGTTGGTTCTGAATATTGAAATTCAAAGAGATGGAACTAAATTATTGTTGGCTGTAATTGGGATTTTATTCCTTTCTGAATGATGAATTTCAAAGAGATTAACAGCTGTTAAAATAAGAATCTAAGTTATTTTATTGGCTGTAATTGGGATCTTTCTTTTCTGAATGATGAAATTCAAAGAGATTGAACTGTTGTTGCATTGAAAGATTGCACTTAATTAGCTAATCCCATTGAACATACCGGCATAAATATGGATGAACATGCGTACTATTTATCAATAAAATGATTATCTCATATTTCAGCTTCTACAGTTTTCTCAAGATCCAAGTGAATCATGATTCAATCCATTAGAAAAAAAAAAAACATGTTCCAAAATGAAATTGAAAGAAAAGAGGAACAAAAAATCGATTCCATGTTTTTGCAGGCATACAGATAAATCATACATGGTGCCAGAATTTCCCCCCTTTATATACCAAGCATTTTATCAAAAACGTGCGGTAGTTTGATTTTTAACTCACTGCATCTATTTCCTTTATTTTGTTAGCCCGGACTAAAAAGCAAACGAAATTTGTTTGGTACCATTTTGGATATTGTTATATCGCCAAGTATTTTCTAATGTCTTTAAAATGAACCAGTCAACCTTAAGTTTGATAAATCGTGCAATGGCTACCGTCCCAAATTGTTTATTGATCTCACAGTGATCATGAGCTCAAGCAGCTCCTCAGTCCTATATGCAGTCTTCTAATTTCAGAACATTGGTTTGCCTTTTCCCTTCAATCTCTTCTCCCTCCTGTACATACAGTACAAAAGAAATTAGCACAACTCCTGAACAATTTTCCATGGTAACACATATGTATGTATAGGAGAAACCCTTTTTTAGGTGCTTGAACCAAGGATTATGTGATAGACCGAGACAATGGCAGGAAAACTACCATCTAAGTACTCAAAAAACTGTTTCACGCCACAGAATTTTGATGGTAACTCACCTAATTCTAGTCTATTGATAATTGTTATTCTTTTTTTATTTCCCTCTTCCTCTGAGCATGGTTTTGTCTGTGCTAAAGATATACATTCTATGCAACAGTTATGAGCAGTATTATGAACATAAAATGGCTTGCGTTTCAGCCTATCATTCATGCTGCAAAAAGATGATTCTTTTGAAGATATAGACAGTTTAAAATATCTGATGATTCGAAGCGTTTTATGAATATAAGTTATCAAATGTGGAAGCTTTTAAAATTTGTGATACATAGTTCACCGGATATATAAAACAGTACCTCGGGAAGACTCCCCGTTACTGCATCTTCCTGACCCATTTGCAAGATGAGATAGGCCACATATCAATTAGTAATAGCAATTAAATGAGGAGAAGAAAAAATTAAATATGAAAAACATGTCAGCTCTCACCAGGGAAAGTAATTTCTTCAAATGAGCATTCTCATTTCTCAATTGCTCCACTTTTTCTTCCAGAAATTTTGTATGCTCCTATAAATTAGAAGGGAAAAAAATACCTCTGATATAACAGGTTAAAAACAATAATAATATTTGGCCTATTTTCACTTATACAATTGTAAATGGACACACAATCCCACTTTATATTGATTCATCATCAGTTGATTAACTAGGGGAAAAAAAAAGAACTGAAGTAATTTTCAACTAGTATGCTTACATATATACCTTCCTCTTGGCTCGAGATTTCGCAGCTGAAATTCTGTTTTTGATCTTATTCATTTTCTTCCTTTGCACATCCTCTTCAGTGACTTCTTGTATTTGCTTTCTCCCTCTTTTTTTAACAGGTGTATCATTCACTATGAGCAACTGTTGTGAGCTTTGGATACCACTTCCTGATGGTGCCGCTGCAGGCGCAATGTGCTTTTGAGACGTATAAGGGAATCCTAGTGGGTTCATTAGACACCCTCCAGTGGTGATCATCCTATTTTGAAGGTTTTGAGTTAGGCAAGAAGAAGATCCAGGTTCAACATCTCTAACTACATGAATATTCTGGTATGGTAGCACTGCTGGTTGGAGTAGGATTTTGCTGCTTTCTTGCAGCTGATCATCTTCTGGTTTTTCAGCTTTGACATCATTGATTAGCAAGGATATTAATTCATCAGAGTCTGATAGTGCAACAAGTGCACTAGCCCAATCGAATGAGTTATCACCCATTTCTTCCTGAAATAGCAAAAATTATTAAAAAAAATTAAAAGCCCAGGTTTTTGCCCTTTTAACAGATAACTTCAGGTAGATTTCACTTGCAAATACCTACACAGAGAAACAAAATGTTGAGGGGCTGAATTATCTCAATGATTATATTGTTTCTGAACTTTGATTAGTCATGTAAATACGCGTAAATAGACAGTGTGGTTTTTATGCCAGAAAATTAGGAAAACTATGCAATCTAATGATGATCATGCAAGGTCATACTTCATAGTTCTTGAGAAACAATAATACAGTTAAGAGTATTGTGCTTTATGAATACTTAAAAACTTGATCTTTGCAACTTTCTTCCAAAATGTAACTAGAATTAAAAAAATGTGGGATTGCATGAATGAAAAGCCACAGTAATTCTTCATGTTCCTAATACAGAAAAACCTATTAAAGATCATGGTAAATAAAATTTTCTCTTGTTTTTCTTTCTAGTAATTTGTTTTGCCTAAACAAAATCCTCCAGTCACTACTGCACATCAGAAAATTAAGTGAAAGAAGAAAAATAAATTAAGCAATAAATGAAAATAATGATAATGAAGAACCAAGGAACTTACATATAATCCAACTAATAAATTTCTAATTAACCCCCATTCATATTTTCCTATATGGAGCAAGAGAATATGATGAACATATCTGAGTCAAAACCTATCCAGTCTAATGAGGTAAGTCCTTGAGAAGACAACAGATATTAACAAAAAGCCAGGTTAGAAAAACGTGTAGCTGATGCCACGTTGATATAGTGTCAGTGATTAATTAGCTTGCAAACTTCAATATTTTCACCTAATACATTCATTAATTGAAGAAGTTAACAAAAATTTATGATTTTACTAGAAAAAGAGTAATTGAGTTAAATTCAGTATATCATGTTCATTATTCAGGCACCAACAGCATTTTGCAATTTAGAACTAAAATGAAAGGGCCAACTGCAGAATACTGCAGGCATTGTTGTTTGTAGTAAGGTACATAGGGTTAGAGTTCATTGTTTTCTATTAAAACCATGAAATAAAAACCTTGAAACCATCTCATAAAACAATGCAATGTATAGCAATTCTAGCTTATGCCAAATCTACAGAAAAAAAAAAAAAAGATAAAAAGAACAAGAGAAAGGGTACTAATTGAAAGAAAAAAAAATGATGCTACCAAAATTTTTCAATCTCCTTTTATTTTTTCTCAAACCATTTATAAAGACCTACAACCTGTTTATGATTCTTGAGAAATAACTTTGAATCAAAAGATTTTAAGAAAACAAAGAGAAATAAAACTCACATGTACATTCATGCAGTAGAGCAAGGGCTGAAATAAATGTTCTGCATTTGAAGTATGGTTATCCTTTGACAAAGCACTCAGATATATATGTTTCTAAGTTCTTGCAGAAATGTTTTCACAAGGAAAAAAATAGAGATAAGAGCAAAATTGTCTGCAACTAAAGTTACAAGCCTTATTTGTTAAGAATCAAATATGTCTAAGCAACTTTAATATAGCACCACGGTTAGATCGCCACATGTAATCAGAAAATCTGGTTTTAGGACAGAAAGTAATAGTTATTCTTAGCATAATACAGGGGGGAGTCAAATCTTTGGTGATACTTTCTTCTACCAAAGGTTACAAATGATTTTCCATTTTTTCTTTTTTTTTTATTTATTTAGGGATAATTATTATAATATATAGATCTATAAATCTATAATTAGATTTAACAAGAGGAGTCACCACTCTTTTTCTTTTTCTTTTTTTTTACTTATTCTTTTTCTTTTTTTTTTACTTAGAGATAATTATCATAACATATAGATCCATAAATCTATAACTAAATTTAAAGAGAGGAGTCGTCACTCTTTTTTTTAAGTGTGATTGACCATCTAATGAATCTATATTTTTAAAAAACTTTTAAGCTTGATTGAGGCTTTTTAAAGAATAGGTTCTTACCTTTTGAACAGAATTAAGTTTAGGAGTTGAATTATGTGTAGGGATGGGGAAGGTTATAAGATTCCCACAATGTCTATATTAAGATGTTACCATTTAATTTTGAATTATCCTAGCAAGTATTTTAGTTCTAATGGTTCTTATTTTCATATTTAAATATTAAAAATAACTTCAAAGATTTTTTTATCAATCTGAAAGAATTTTTAAAAATATTCAAAAATTTCATTTGTTTTCTTAAAAAGGCTCCATCATCAAAAAAATATTTAATCATTTTTTTAAAAAATATTTTTAATTCATCCACCACTTGGGCTAAAATTAAAAATATTTTTTCACCTAAAAATTTCTTAGATAATCAAACATTTGTGATTACTAAGAATTTCATTCTCAATTTATTTTTATTTTTATTTTTTATTTCAAATTTTTCATCATTTGAATCAATTTAGAAAAATTTTTTATTTTTAAAATTTTCACTATTTGGAGCTATTTAGAAATTCTCTCTCTTTTTTTTTAAGAAAATAATATGATAGCTATTTTCTTGAAGTTTAATTTAAATTCTTTTACCATTTGAGATAAATTTAAAAAAATTTCTCACTTAAATATTTCTTAGAAAATTTACCATTTTAAATTTCTAAAAATCTTATAATTAGATAATTATTAAATATCTTCAAACAAAAAAATTTATTTGAAAAAGAATATAATTATTTTTATTAAAATTTCATCTAAATTATTTCATCATTTGGGACAAATTTAGAAAAATTTATCACATAAAATTTTTTTAAAGAATTTACCATTTGAAATTTTTAAAATTCTCATCATTGAATAATTAATATTTAATTCTAAAATTTTTATTAAAATTTCTCATTTTTTTAAAAAAATTAAAAATAAATATTAATTTTTGTTAAAATTTTATCTAAATTATCCTCTATTTCGGGTCAAATTTAGAGAAAAAAACTCACTTAAAAATTTTATAAAAATTAACCATTTGTGATTTCAAAAAATTTCATCATTAGATAATTATTACTTATTTTTTAAATTCTATTAAAGTTTTATTTTTATAATTTTTTCTAATTTACTTACAATTTAATAATGCAAGATATAAATAAATAAAATAATAACATGAAAAATAAATAAATAAAACCAAAATAAAGAAAGTGCTCGACTGGAGCTACAACGCATGGCTCAGCTTGGCTGTATTTTGCTTAACCATGACTGAACAAGACTCACAAAGTCCTCACAAGTGCTTGAACTATCAGAGCTACGCATGGATCACTCTAGGACCTCGTCAGGGCTCACAAATGAGCTAACAAAAACATGAGAATGTGTTCAACGAAGAGATATCCTGAATAACCTCCCAGCTGCAACATTGCTTGTAGCATCAAAACCTCCAATACAGCAATACTTTGATGCCCCTAATAGCACTGTCAGGTCCCCGAGCCTTCTATTGTTTTGCTCTCTTTTTTTATGCATTTTCCTCTCTGATCTTGTTGATTTCTTCTGTCTTTTTGCTGATGATTAACAGGTTTATTTATAAGTAAGAATTTCAGTCCAAACAGTGCTTAAACTCTTGATAGAGTTTATCTTATAGTTAAATTAATACTGAATTTTAATTTTTTTTAAAAACTTTTATCTAATCAAACAATCTTTTTTTGATTAAGTCTCTGTCATTTTTTATTTTTTTACTATAAAAAATAAAAATAAAAATTTAAATTTCAGACAAAATAAAATGTATACAAAAATACGGCGAATAAAACTTTCAATGCACTTCCAAAATATTCAAAAAAAAAAAAAATTATATTTAGTATCTTATTATTTGTTGGTTATTATAATTTAATTGGTAAATCAGATCTTCTCAATCTGCTTGAACAAACTGTTTGTCACTTTAAAAAATGTATAGCTGCTTATAAATCTTACTTCTTTTGAAAACAAAGAGAAAAAAAAATGAAAGAAAAGAATAAATATTTTTAATCGATACAGTAATTCTTGTTATATAGTTTGATTAATTGATTTATTAGTATTTTAATTATTAATATTAAATGAGATAAATTTCTCTAATTTTTTAATAATTTAACTCTAATCACTATACTAATTTTTTTATAAATCTTCTTGTTTAATGTTATACCTGGTTACCGCTTTTTGCCTTTTTCTATGAAACAAGGGGACGGGACAAGACATGGGCTAAGTATTTTAAGGTAGAGATAAAAGTTTCTATAGGGAAAGGGATTTTTTTTAAAAAAATTTAAAATCTAAATTTAATTTTAATTTTTTTATTTTAAAAATATATTAAAATTTGAAGAATAATCATTAAAATTAAGATTTCAAAAATTTATCAATAATTTAGGAGTCGTTTGCTATTGTTTTATGTTTTTTCAAATTTTGTTCTGTTTTATTTTATTTTATTTTCAATTTATTTAATTTAAAAACATGTTTGAATAGAATGGTTTTATTTTAGAAATGTGAAAAAAAAACATACAAGAGAAAGAAGTTTTAGGCTTCATTTGTTATTAATAATATAATAATATTAATATAATAATATTTATTAATATATTATTTATAAATAGTATTTAATTATTATATGAATAAATAATATATTATTAATATAAAAAATAATAATATTTATAAATATATTTCTTATTAATATAATATTTATATAATAAAATAATTATAGCATCACTATAATAATTTAATTGTAATTTTTGAGGACAGTGCTTTTATGGTAACAGTGCCAAATTATTTTCAAAAAAATTGAAAACATCATTTTTATTTTTTTTTAATAATTTTCAAAACTTTACAAAATTTTGTTTCTAGTTATTAAAAACAGAAAATAAAAATAACCTATTAAACATATTTTTGTTTTCGATTTTTAAAAATACTGAAAATGAAAACAAAAAATAAAAAACGGAAACAATAACAAATAACTCCTTTGTTTCTAATTTTTTTATTATCCTTTCAATTAATGTGAATTTTTAAAATATGAGCATCAAGTAACCCCGAATAATATTATAAACAAAATTTCAAAATAATTAGCGAAAAGTATTTGAAAAAAAATTTAAGGAATGTGCTATGTCATAAAATAATATTACATTTTTGGGCGGAACCTGACTAGCAGGAATTTGGGCTAGCCCAATCAAAACCAAACCAAGTCTAATTTGGGGTAGCCCAATCCAAAATAAACCATTCCCTCTGAGCAAATGAGTTTGAGGTAGGTTTTATTTGTTCCGCTGATCCCTATATATTTCTCCACAGCCACAAAATTCACAGCAGCCGTTAGGGTTTCTCTCTGGTAGCTACTCTCTCCTCTGTTTCTTGCAAACCCTTCTTTACTGCATCTCCATTTCTTCTTAGATCTAACTTTAATTTTTCAATTCTTCACTTCTTGATGACTTGAAAACTTTGTTTTACAGGTGAATTTTGTTATTTTGTTTCTGGAAATAACAGAGATTCAGAGATGAGGTAATTTTAATTCTTTTACTTTTTGTTCATTTTTATCTTTGGTTTTATTTTAATTTGATTTTACTTTTTTGTATACATTCTGAAATTAAATTATCGAAATTTATATATTGAGTCCTGGAAATATCTTTTTTCTTATTTATATCTTAGGGTTTTAATCTTGCTATTACTAATGGACTTGAATTAGAGGAGTTTGGGTCCATTGGCTTATTTTTGTTCTGTAGGATAATTTGTTGGGTACTTTAAACTGTGAAGTAGGAAATGGCTTTGTTGTTGGTTGTAATTAATTTACTCTTAGTCATTGATATTGGCCTTTTGACAATTGATTTCTTTTATATTGGAAATTTATACTTTGACTGTAAATTTGAAAGTTGTGAATTTGAATTATCATTAGTAGATGGGGAACTATTTGACTTTTCTGGATTGAAATAATCTATTCGGAAGCATTGACCTGATCTCTGCATTTTTTTTGGGTGCTCATTTTATGATTATGAGTTGTTTATGTTGCCTAGATTAATCATTCATTTTACTAATTTATAAAGGTGTAGTTTTTTTCTTATATGCTCGTTTACTGTTTTCTTTACTGATAGATTTTAGGTTTTGTTATTTACAGCAAGCTTCAGAGTGATGCCCTTAAGGAAGCTATTTCAACCATTGTGGCTCAGTCCAAGGAGAAACAACGTAAGTTTACTGAGACCATTGAACTCCAGATTGGTCTGAAAAACTATGATCCCCAAAAAGACAAGAGGTTCAGTGGTTCCGTGAAGCTGCCACACATTCCTCGTCCAAAGATGAAAATCTGCATGCTTGGAGATGCTCAACATGTTGAGGAGGTAATTTTGCTGCTTTCTTAGTTGGAAAAACTTTGTTTTCTTACATTGCTTAGAAGAATATTTTAGTTTTGTACTTAGGTATAGGATGTGTGTTATGTGAAGTGTATACTTTTAATGTTCAAGTGGTCCTTTATGCAATGATTTAAATGGTTTAATTTGTACTGCAGGCAGAGAAGATAGGTTTAGATTATATGGATGTGGAAGCACTGAAAAAGCTAAACAAGAACAAGAAGTTGGTCAAAAAGCTTGCCAAGAAGTATCATGCCTTTTTGGCTTCTGAATCTGTCATCAAGCAGATCCCTCGTCTCTTGGGTCCTGGTCTCAACAAAGCAGGCAAGTTTTATATATGAACTATGTTATTCTATTTGTTTTCAGCAATTTTTATGTTGTACTCTCCAAAGCAGTTGCAGGGGGACAGGATTTGTGCTTTTTGCATTTTGTCAGTTATGATTTTGAATTGTGATCTTACTTGGCTGTTTTTGTGCACAAATGCAGGGAAATTCCCAACCCTTGTTACTCACCAGGAATCCCTGGAGTCCAAAGTGAATGAGACCAAGGCAACAGTGAAGTTCCAATTGAAGAAGGTTCTCTGCATGGGAGTTGCTGTTGGGAATGTAGCTATGGAAGAGAAGCAGATCTTCCAAAATGTTCAGATGAGCGTTAATTTTCTCGTCTCACTGTTAAAAAAGAACTGGCAGAATGTGAGTTTTTTTAGCTTTTGTATGTTTAGTCTACTTGGTTACTCCTTCCATTTAATTTTAATTTGTCCATGATATTTTATATATGGACTTTTTTATTAGATAATCAATCTAATTGACTTTGTGTGTCTTATTTCTTTCTTGATAATATCTATACGGGATTTTGAAGCTTATTTCCACTTTTTTTGTTACAAAATCTAATTAAATTTGTATTGATTGCAGGTGAGGTGCCTTTACTTGAAGAGTACCATGGGTCCTTCAAACAGAATCTTTTGAGTGAAAGTAATGTGGTAGTTGTGGGATTAATACTATCAGATTGTTATTCGGAATGTTTTTATGTTTTGTTATTGAAAGAAATGTTTTGAATCTGAGACATTGGAAGTTTTGTTTTTGCATATGTTATCAATGAATGTTAAATTTCCATCTTTTTGATACTGTCTCATCCAGTGGGAAAAAAAATCCCTCGACACTATGGCCTCCAATTGCTTTGGGAAACTTTATAATATCAACTTCTGAGTTGTTAATTATGTTCTTAATCATAACATTGTGAAGAATGAATGTTCTGCTTTTGAAACATTGTCTGTTAAGAGTAGGGAAAAGGAAAACTGGGCAGGTGGCAGATGCTATTAGGACCCAACTGGCGGAATTATAGACGGACATTGACAACGGCTCACAGCCGGCGAAGAAAAGTATAAAAAGCATAGATTTAAGAATATCGTTATGTACTATGGCCGTATGTGTTCGCACGTCGAAGGAAAGAAATGGTCTTTACAAAAGAGAGAGGGGCAGAAGCCTCGACTAGATTAGTAGTACCAAATTTGTTTGTTTTGTTAATATCAGGTTATATATGATTTCCTCATTTAATTTGTTTGGATGTTAGGTTTAATTCTTTGTTTATTGTTGCCAACTTGTTGTTTGATAAATTGAATAAATTCAACAATAAAAATTAGTTTTGAAAATTGTAAAATTGGAATTTATGATTTAAAGTTGTTTGATAATTAGTTAAAAATCAAATGCTAAGTAATTTTTTATCAATTTTTTACAAAACATTAGATATGATTTTATAATTATTTTTAATTAATAAAAATTACAAAAGAAAACAAATTCTTAAAAGGAAAAAAATACAAAATTAATGTAATTAGATAGTATTTTATTCTTTAAATAAAATTAATTTAATAAATTAAATCATTATAAGTTACTTTGCATTTTCAATGTCTTTTAAATCTTTAATTAAGTGATTTTAAAAAACTGAAAATAACCAAGAGATTTTTGTGCAGAGTTTTCGGTCGGAAATGGCTTTGTTTAACTACAATTTTTTTTTTTTTTTTGGTTTTTGCAGCTTTTGTTTTAGATAGATAAATAATAAAAATAAAGATATATGGACCGTCAAATATTAAATTGTAATTTGCAAGTGAAGTTAAACAGTTTTTTGTTGAAATGAGCGGGGCCCGTGGTGAAGACGATATCTGTTTTAGCTAAGCGTGTATGGTACTTGCGATTAGGCGCAGGCGGCTACTTCGATGTTTCCATGGTTCTATCTTTTTGACTCAACTATACTTTATGTCTTTATACTATAGACAAGCATATGGTATACACTGATTTGAAGTGTTTTGTATTTAACTAGTTTAGTTGAGTCATAAAATAATTTTTTAAAACTAAATTTAAATTTAAATATTTATTATTTATTTTTTTTATTTTAAATTATAATTTTTTGAAAAAATTATATTTGATACGTCAGTGATATATAAAGTAAATTATAATATATAAAATCAATATATTATCATTAAATCACAAATTACTTTGTTTCAAAAAGTTTTGTAAATAAATAAATTTCTAAAAGTTTATTTATTTCTATATAATCTTTTAGTTAAAAATATATTAATGTCAAATGTCGTAAAACCCCATAATAAATAAAAATACTTTGTGTCTTTTTAGACGGTTGTATACATCAATTTTATGTTTTATTTTTGTTATTTAAACAAAAATTTGAATGGTACAAAGACTAAAAAAGACACGTGCAAACGATTAAGATTGAACACGTGTCACATAATTGAATTAAAAATATAATTTAAAACATTTTTATTTTTCAACCAAAACCAATCTTAATTTGACCAAAAACTATAATAACAGCTTGCCCTTACATATTCTTTTCAACCAAAACCAATCTTAATTTGACCTCTCAAACCACACTCTTGACTAAAAAACCATCCAAATTCAAGCTTGTTTTGGTTTTCCAACTTTAATACGAAGGTATATTTTTTTAATTAAACCTTGAAATTGGTAGGACTTGCTAGTTTCTTTGTTTGAAATGGAGCTACTGAAATCCACTAAATGGAAAAATTAAATTGAGTGCAAGCTCTCTATTGGAGGGATTATACATTATGAGTTCTAAATCTGATCTGCCTTAAAGAGACATAAAATCATCATAGCAAAGGAAATAATAGTTTTCTTTTAGTGATGGGATTGCATTTAAATTCTGTCCTGGGATTGGAGGAAGCAGTTGAGCCAGACACAACTCCATTTCCTTTCACAATTTCATTTTCTCATGGGGAGGGATAAGGTAATATGCAGAAAGAGACAGTGGAAGTTTCCTGCATCTACAGTTTCCACTTCTTCACCATCTTCTTCCTCCCTTTTACTCTTCCCCTTGCTTGCCCACTATCGTATTATGCCTCCATCTGACAGTTATATCTGTGAGGCACCGTTCATGATGTGGCAACCATGTTCTTTGTAAGCTACAGTCCTTACTCATAATAGGATGAGCTTCGAGTGGTAGCCACAACTGGTAAATCACCAATCCGATTGATGTTGCTATTGCCAGGAGCAATGCAGTAAGTTTGGTGCCATGGATTTATCAATTCAGAGAAGACAATCAGGACCATAATGCCAAAGTAGGGAAAAACTTTTGCATGATGAGACTAGCTGAACATCTTATTTATAGGGCCTTTCAAGGCACCATCTGACAAATGGTTGGCATGAATTTGTCTTTCCATATATGAATTCTTGCCTTGTAAAACATACTTTCCTTAACAAGAATTGAAGGAATATGTTGATATACGTTTATATAGCTCCTATATATAGGTTTTGGTTTTCCTTAAAAAAACCAGGTAAAGATTTCTTGTAGGCCCATGCAGATTTGGCATGTTTGTATAGGACTTGACACATACATATAACATAAATTTTACAATAATCATGTGTTATTACAAGTCTAAAATGGTTGCCTTGTCTCTTGTTCTTCCCTTTCTTTCAAATCCAGGACATAAAAGAAATTCTGAAACACAAATCACTTATACTCTGGCCTTACCATTCCCTGCATTGTAATTTAACTTTCTTTAGTGCAACAAGGGTGGCAGGGTTAATTAATTAGTTGCCTAACTAATCATCCAACCAAGATGAGTTGGTAATTGGTGAGTGATGCTAGCTGGAATATCGATGTCTTTTATCATTGAATATGGTTATAAAACCTATACATGAATAACTCCACTTTGGACACTCTAATGATCATTAATCAGATTGCACTTTGCTTTTTTGATCTGTTCCAGAATCTATGCATCAAAAAGGCGTTCAAAACGCCCGATCATAGTCTGTACTTGGCAGACGAGAGCAACAAAAACCTAATTATATAGCAATCAGCCAATGAGCAGAATTGATGGTTGCTTGATCCCCCATTCCTCATTCATCATTCATGTAAGATGAAATCTTCTCGACATTATGCATATGCGTGCTTAACTATACGCACAATTACACTCAATGGTAACATTTTTTAGGTCACTAATCGGATTCATGGTAGGACAAATTCTGGGCTCAACCAACATTTCTGGAAAAAAAAAATGGGAAGATGAAGTTTAGAGATTCCCATTAAAAATGGGATTTGAGTAAATATAGTTGCATGCCCATATATGACATTGCCTAGCTTTTAGACACCAAAGACGGAATAATTTACGCAAAGGGAATAGTTAGGCAGCTCGTGGTGTGAGCAAAGAGTCGTTTGGCTGTTCAACTGATGGCATTGGCTTGTCCCGCTACACCTCCAAAAGGACAAATTTTTATTAATACATCTAGACGACAGCATCCAATAGACTCCAACTTTGTTTGGTATCACCAGTCACCACTTAAGAAAGTTGAATGCTTATTAATTTTAAGTTTTTAACAACTAATATAAATAATTACAAAAGATATTATACTTAACTAAAATTATCATTGAATTTCTAATTTACAACTCGATTTCAAACAATCGATGGTACAAAATTATCCTTTGCCCCCCTTTACTTTCTAGGATGGAAATTTTTTTATAAAAGAGATTATAGTTTTATAATAAAATATATATATATTAAAATTTAAAATTATTAAATATTATTTTTTAAAATTAAAATTTTATATTTAATACATTATTAATATATAAATTTTATATACTATCAATAAATCAAATTATGATATTTCATTAATGAATAAATATTAACTCTTAAAAATAAATATATATAAATTAAAATTTTATTAGATATTATTATTTGATTCATTGATAATATATAAATTTAAATATTGATAATGTATTAAATATAAACTCTAAAATTAATTACATAAATTACCGGAATTAAATTTTAGGTTTAAAAGCACTTTTCCCTATCCTTGCTTTGATGCTGACAAGGGTTTGCTTCCTGTTTCTTTCCTATAAAGGATTGTCCTATTAACGATCGCCCTCACAAATCAAAATATTGATAATTTTTAATTATTTAAATAATATAATATGAGAGCATTATAACCGAACCGACCTTAGCTCAGTTGGTAGAGCGGAGGACTGTAGTGGTAAGCTTCATAGCAATCCTTAGGTCGCTGGTTCGAATCCGGCAGGTCGGAAATTTTGTCTTTTTCATTTTTCTAATTTATTTCGTTTACACTACTATTTTCAGTTTTTTTTTTTTGCCATTAAGGGTAAATGAATAAAGTTTTTGATAAATTATTCGTAAATATATTCAATTTTTATTTGTTTATATTTATTTAGTAAGTTTAATAAATAATTTTGAATATTATTTGTACATTCATTTATTAAATAAATTAAATACAAATAATTATCTGTTTGTTTATTTATATTCATGAATAAATTCATTTACGATTCATTTAAAATTTGCTCATTTATTATTAATTTGTTATTTATCTATAATAATATTAATAAAATTATATTTTTATATTTTATCTTAATTCTATTTTAAGGTTCATTTATATTTATTTAGGTTCGTTTACACTTATTTAGCATTTGTTTGTTTAAATTTATTTGGTTATGGTTTGCTTATTGTTTATTAATGTGTTTATTTATATATGTTTGTAAACATATTCGTTTAATATTCACAAACGAACTCGTTTAACTTAATTAAACTAATATAAACTAAATATAAACGATTTATTATTTAAACAAACGAATATGAATGAATAAAATAATTTTCATAACGAATATAAATCGAACACGAATACTTTTAAAACTAAATAAAAAAATATAAACATACGTTCATTCGTTCATATTCGATTTATTTACAATTCTACTGCTCTTATAGTTATGTATTTTTTTTTTTCAAATTTCTTAACTTTTTTCATTTAGTTTTTTCTTTCACTCACAAAATAAGTATGTCATGGCCTAAAATCCAACAAACATAATAGGTTTTAAAAATAAAAAATCTTTAAAAAGATGCAAAAGAAATTTTTTAAAACTCAAAAAAAAAAAAAAAATTTAAAATATAGAAAAATATGAGAATTTTTAAAATTTTCAAAACAAATTTGAAAAATTAAAAATCCAATTTTTTTTTAAAATGAAATATTAAAAAATCCCAAAAATCTAAAAATTAAAAAATCCGAAACATATGAAAAATTCAAATATTAGCTTTTCATTTTCGGGAAAATTTTAATTTTAAGATTTATGTTAATTTTTTCAAAATTTTCAAAACATTTTGAATTTTGGAACTTTTCATAATTTTTAGTTTTTTTTTTTTAATTTTCATATTTTTTCAAAACATTTTAGATTTTTTTAATTTTGAAACTTTTCTAAGTTTTTGTGAATTTTTTGTGAATTTTATGAAAATTTATTTTTTATGAAAATTTTAAGATTTTTTTGTGAATTTTTCAGAATTATTTTAATTACTTTAATTTTTCATAATTTTTTATTTTTTAATAAATTTTAAAAAATGTTTCATTTTTTATTTTTTTATTTTTTGAAATTTTATAATTTTATAATATGAGAATTTTAAAATATAGAAAAATATGAGAAGTTTTAAAAATTTCAAAACAAATTTGAAAAATTAAAAAATCCAAAAATATTTTTAAAATGAAATATTAAAAAATCCCAAAAATCTAAAAATTAAAAAATCCAAAATATATGAAAATTTCAAATATTAGCTTTTAATTTTGGGGAAAATTTTAATTTTCAGATTTATGTTAATTTTTTCAAAATTTTCAAAACATTTTGAAGTTTGGAACTTTTCATAATTTTTACGATTTTGTTTTATTTTTCATATTTTTTTGGTTTTTTTAAATTTTTATATTTTTTCAAAAGATTTTAGATTTTTTTAATTTTGAAACTTTTCTAAGTTTTGTGAATTTACGAAAAATTTTTATGAAAATTCTAAGATTTTTTTTTGTGAATTTTTCAGAATTATTTTAATTATTTTAATTTTTCATAGTTTTTATTTTTTAATAAATTTTAAAAAATATTTCATCTTTTTTAATTTTTTTAAAATTTAAAATTTTATAATAATTATTGATATTATTTTTAAAATTTTTTAAAAATCTTTTTTAATGTTAATATGGTAATTAATAATGTAAAGTTGATTGAAAATTTTCACTCATATCAATATCTTATTAGATATTTTTATTATATCATAAATTGATTGATGTTATTAATATGACCCATTAATATAAATAACAAAATAAAAGTTGAAGTATTTAATCATATATTTTATTTATTTAAGTATTAAAATAATAGAAAATGTATCACAAATGTACCATTTTTGTATTTAATATAGAAATTTTGAATTGGTTGCATATAAAATTGAAAAAACCATGGGCGTATGGTAAGGTTAGGTTGGTTTTAGGGCTTGGAGAAGTCAGTTTTAGCTGATTAAAAAGCCGTTACCTATCAGCAAATGCCAAAAGCCAAAACCCACCAGAGCCAGGCCTGAACCAACTTTCCCCGTATATATATGTATAGATACAACGCACTTCCCACCGTGATCACTATCAGTATTATTAATATTAGGTTTTTAAGTCTCAAAACTTAGATCCTTTCGTTTTCTCCGCTCCCAAGCTCCCTCAGTAAGCCCTCTGTCTCCTTTCTTTTTCTTTTGCATGTTCATCTTTATGTCTACATCTAGATTTTGGGTTTATGATTTGTTTTGGCTATGGTTACTTGTTTTTACTATCTGGGTTTTTGTTTTTTATTTTTTTGTTGTTTGGTCTTTTCCAATATTGGGTTTTTGGTTGAATTTTGTGTGTGTGTGTGTGTGTGTTTGTGTGAGTGTGTTTTCTTTTTTATTTTTTTAAATCTTTGGTTTTAGGAAGAATATATGATAGAGGTATGATATTGCTTTTCCTTTTATAGACTAAAATGAAAATTTTCAATTTTGATTTGGAAAAGTTTAAAACTTGGAACTCAAAGAAAATAAAGGGAATACCTTTTGTATTTGGGTTGCTGCTTTATTTTTATAATGCAAAGGAGCCATAGACAATAAACGAAGGAGATTGATTTGACCCATGCTATATTAAGTCATTTATTTTGATTAGTGAAGGGTAAATTTTGTATTGGGGCAATGTAAGAGTCTAAAAATGTGATAAGATCATTCATTTGTTTTGTTTTTATGCGTTTAATCATTTACCAAGAAGATTGCTGGAGATGATATATATCACTCTTTGCTTTGTTTATTTTCTATGTTTGCCTTTTCTTGTTTGATGAGTGGGTTGGTTGTTGAGGTGGGTGCATTGGGCTATTGCGATTCAGTTTACCATTGCGTCAAAAGGTCTTTTCTCGAATCCTTGGATTGTTCAATTGTGAATGGTCTTAATACAATAAAATTCAGTGGGTACTGGGTAGTAGTAAAAACTTTTGCATTACAGCAAGTTCAATATCCTGCAACTTATTCACATTATTGACTCATTATAGGTGTTCTTTTGACATTTTATTGATAGGAAAAGGAGAAGAGTTCAAACAGTTATTCTTGTAGGTTAAGTCATTAGTGCATCTCGGAGATGTTCCTAGGTTTTTTTATTTTTTATTTTTGTCATGTTAATTCTTGCTTTTTTCTTTTTGACAATTGTTAGAATGTGGTCTTTGATATTGCTTCTGTGCTACTCAAAATGAGATAGGGCAATAAGTGGACCAAGCTTTTAATGACAGCCATACTTTCGTTTGCTTACAATGCATTTCAGTTTCTTTAATCTTTCTTCTTAATGTTCTTAGCTTCTGATTTTTCTCGTCTGGGGATATGAAGAAAGGGATAAGGGGGATAAAAAATTGGTTAAGAGTATGGCAAAAAAGATTAGTTGGATTTTCTGAGAATTATTATGAAGGTACACCATGAATCTTTCATGTCCAGTATTTTTTTTAAAAAGAATATTTGTTAATGTGTTTGAAGTATGGAGCCTCGAGTGAAGAGCAGAGAGCCCTTTGCTAGCCTCTTCTCATAGTGCTCCAGACATTAATTGTCTTGTTAATACTGAAATGGATGATATGTTTCCTTTTTCATTTAGAGTATTAACAGGTTACAAGTTTACTCACATATTTTTTCGATCATTTAGCCATAAGAGTAAAATACTTTCTTTCCCCTCTCCTGGAACTCTGGATAAGGCCTGTATCAATCATGTTCTATATTTGATCCTGAACTAGAGAATTGCAGTGAACTAAGAGATAGAAATATTATTTGACCAATATTTTATATCTAGAGAATATAATTATAAGACAATATGCATAAGCTTATGCATTTTCTTTTTGACTCTTGAACTTGGTGATAGTTCATCCTTCTCTTCCTCAACTTACCCCCCCCACCCTCTCTTTTCTTCTTTCATATAGAAGGAAAAAGATTCAGCTGATTGTTCTCATCTTGTTCTTCTGACTCGCTCTAGGCATGTGTTTTCTTTTAGCTTGCTCTTATATACAAATATATTATATACAAACCTAGCATAGAAAAGACAATGTTCACACGACTTGACATCTTGGAATGGTTATAGTTCTTTGATATCTTGAAACTGATATTGCTTATGGCTTCTCAATATTCCAACCAACTACTATATTCTATTATGTTACTTGGGATATTAAAGTTGGACTTAACTGCTTATCACTGTTGCTGATAAGCAATCATGGCATTAACTTATTGGTTCCTTCGGTTTTTTTAGTTATTGTTATTTGTTTAGCTTTGTTTGGTTTTTAGTTGCAGCCTTTTCAGCTTTGTCATTTGGTAGCAGGGTCATCTTGCTTGCCTTCTGGATGACTGCAATTTTGACTTGTCTGAATATAAATTTTTTCAAATGCTTGTATATTGCAACCACTTATATGACAGATCATTTTTCTATTCATTTTTCTTGGACTAATAAAATCATCATGAAGGAAAATAAAAAATCTGACGATTATGATTTGTATGATTTGGATTCAGGAGTTAAGATGACGACTGTGAGCCTTACTTCCCCTTGTATTGTTAAAGCTGCAATCCCCCATCGATTTACAAGTGGTATTGTCAAGGCCCCAACATCTCTTGGATCTGTTACGAGCATTTCTAAATCTTTTGGCTTGAAATGTTCTTCCAAGTACAGAACCCCGATGGCAATGTACAAGATTAAGCTTGTAGGACCAAATGGTGAGGTGAGCGAGTTTGAAGCCCCTGATGATCAATACATTTTAGATGCAGCTGAGGAGGCAGGATTAGACCTGCCCTATTCATGCAGGGCTGGAGCTTGCTCCACATGTGCTGGGAAGATGATTTCAGGTTCAGTGGATCAATCAGACGGTTCCTTCCTTGACGAAAAACAAATGAAGGAGGGTTATCTGCTGACTTGTGTTTCATACCCAACCTCAGACTGTGAGATTCACACTCACAAGGAAGGTGATCTCTACTAAGTAATTTGTGGTCAGAAATGAGTAGGGTGTCTCAAGTTTGTTGTCTAGAACTCTTATTTAAATTTACTTTCAGTGAGGGTAAATGCTCTGACGGACAGTTTGTTGTCTAGTGTTCTTTGTAACGGTTGTGGCTGAATGTCATATCAGTTTAGAATTTCAATCATATTTGTGGATTCCCATAGTTGAAGTTGAAGCCTTATCCTCTTGAACTGCCAATTTAACTGGAGAAAAAAAAAAAAAGAAGGGTGCATCACTAAATGATTAAATCTACCGAAAGATTCAGTGATAACAAAATTCCATAAATAAAAACATAGCACACTGAAAATCTGTGCTCAACCTGGTATTGGTACAAGTAACAGTTGCCTTGGGGAAGAAATGAAGCTTTCTTTGTCTCACAAAGAAAGAGGAAAATGGAAAAAAGCAAAGAAAAGAAGAAAAGAAAAGGGCTTGGGCTTTTTACTAAAAGGCTCTTTCCTAAACTTTTGAACATTGAAAAATTTTTCTAGAAAGATGCAGAGCTTCCATATTCCTTGTTAATATGGTTGTTACATGTCAAATGCAGTTGGACCCAAATTGCAACAAAATGAAGGTCTCAAAAGTAAGAACCTCAAATCACTATAAGCGAAAAAAAAAAGTGACCAGACAAAGTTGAGGATATTGAAAGAACGATAAAGCTCCTTTACAATTACCAGAATCCCACTAAAAATGATTGAAAAGTTGAAAAGTTTGTGCTGTGAAGGGAGTTTTCCTTGTTCTAGGCAATTGCAAAATCAAAATGTTAATTCTATTAAAAATTTATTAAAAAAAAGAGAGACAAAATTCATTATCCATCCAAAAGAAAGTTTTGGTCAAGGAAGATTATGATCCAATGGTAGAAACTAAGCAAAAATGAATGAAAGTGGATGGCCCTAGAATCAAATGAGTGCTCAATGAAAGCACTATGAATGAGAGGAATTGATGACTGACCACTTTCATTCCTTCAACGTTCTTTTTCTTTTCTTTTCATTCACTTTCGCTTGCAGCTTCTTTTCACATCAGTGAGCCAAAGACCCTTCTTTGGAGTGGGACATTTTTTTTTTCCATGGTGACTAGATGCCTCACCATATTTCCTCATTCTTTCCATGTAGTTATTTCATAGTATTTTTTTTATATATAAAGAAGGTCATAATATGAGGATATGAGAAAAAAGTGTAAGTATTGAAATTTAAGTTTTAAAGTTATTAAATATTATTTTTTAATAATTATTATATGAATCTACGGAATTAAATTTTAAATTCATTATTTCATTACATTTCATTTCAAGCATGCATTATCTTAACTCGTAGAATTTTTTTTTTCCTCATAAAGAATCAAATATATAGGGAATAAAAGATAAAAGATTCATTATATTTTAATTCAGCTTTTGAATTATATAAAAGGCCACAATTTCTTGTTTTAGAAGATTTGCTTCATCTTCTAAACCAAGAAAGAGATGGGTAGACAAACAGGGAAAAAATGAAAAGAAATGTGACCTATGTTAATTATTTCAGATTAAATTAGTCGAATTTTGTTACTAAAAATAATTATTGAAGACAACAGGGGAAACTTGAAAGATACACAACATATGTCCAGGATTATCAATAAAGTCCTTAAATTAATTGTTGGCGGTTGGCAACTTGGCCTATGACTTGCACCTTTTTCACTTGTTTTTAAGTAAAGGTAAAGAATAATAATTAAAATTAAACTAATGATTTCACTTTGAAAACTAGATTGGTGACATTGACTTTTCCTTTAATCACTTTATGTTTTATACATTTAATTGGAATTTGGCTAAATCAATTTATCTGATACTGTTTTTAATTGTAGATAAAAAAATATTTGTTCTTACTATTTGATATAATTACAGGCTTCATTCTTTTATCTTATCCCTAATCTTCCGAGAGAAAGCACTAAGCATATAGAAAAGCAGGACACGTGTGCGGATGCTGAGGTGTCAGCCGACCTGCATGGTGAAAGTGAGGGAGGCGTTGGTTAACACGTGCGTTCTACTTAAGATTCGCGTCGGCACAAAGAATATTTTATGTTTTTAAAAGGAGCGGTAATTAGTTTGGGCTGCCATATCACTTGCAAAACTCACTTTTTCATTTTTTTTTTTTATTTTTCTCCTTCGTTATCACCGATTTCTTTCTATCTAATAAAGATTCCCTGTCTGACACCTGTAGACGCGTCCACGTGCGTGGATCTTATTGGTTTACCTATACTTTCGGAGCATAAACATTAAGATTCTCACTGAATTGCCACCATTTTGCTTATATAATAAATATAGTTAGGTTTAGGGAATATAACACAGTTGATTGACGAAACAACAATAATCAATTCAAGAGTATCATTTTTCTTTTATGAAGCTTGAGTCAAGGTTCTTAATTTGATTTTTAATTATTGAAATCAAGATAAAAAACTATTACTAAGATGATAATCCATTTTAAGAAAAATCAAGATATGGGTAGAAAAAAAAGATTGTCCTAAACCATTTAAGGTGGGATAACAATATTATCGAATAAGTTTAAACTTTAAAGTTTTAATCTCATTTTTTTTTATTAATTACTTGTTAATTTTTTTTTTTCATATAAAAGAGAAAGTTGAAGAAAGGAGAGATTCGGATTTTTATCTCAAACGTCGTAAAAAAACCGTTAAGTAATTTTTTGATTGTTTAACAAGTAATTTATTAAGATGAAAATACTTGATAGTAGTTATTTATTTCATCTTCACAAAATTTCACGTCATCATCAAGTTGGTTTAGGGATGTGTATTTTGGTAGTATAGAAGACATTTTTTTGAAGATAACCCAAACTCATATTATCCAAAAAAAAAAAAGACATACCAAACTCATAATTCAAATTAATATATACTTAACCAGACATCTGTGACATTTGTGGCAACCACTAAAATAAAAGTACGTGTTTTTTTTACAAGTTGCCAAAATTTATCATTACATAAACATGTTTAATGTAAAGGTGTTTATGGATAGAGTCGACCGAATTGGTTTTTCTAAGCCCTGTTTAAGAGATGGCTTGATTTGTTTCATCATGTCTAAAAGATTTAAAATTTTTAAAAATATATTAAAATATTCAAAAAAATAAAAAAATTAATTTGTAAAACATATTTTAAAATTAAAATTAAATAAACATAATTTTTATTAATAAAATAAAATCTCAAATCAAGTTTAATTGAATTCAAATTAAAAAAACTAGGTCCAAAATCTAATCTAGTTTAATGTGATGAGATTAGAAATGGATAATTACTAATACATTAAAAATTTATTAGTAAAAAATAATCATCATTATTTAGCAAGTGCCTTCACGCATTGATATTCCCAATCTTTTATTATTCTTATAAAATAATCAATTGTTGTAAAGAATGTATTAAATAAATAAAGGAGCATCGTATGCTTGTATAAAGAAATACTAGATTAACTAAACAAGGAAGATTATGCGCTTGTATGAACACTCTTGCAACTAAGTCTACATGTAAACGCAACATTACATTATAATGCTTTTGATTACTTTTTCGACTTTTCAAGTTAAAGATAAGTATAGCATTTGTTTTTATATTAAATCTAGTAGTATGAACCGATTTAATTATTTTGTTTATATAATTATTTATAAAATATATCATTTAACATATTTAAAATTTAAATTTCAATATTTATAAGTTTTTTATTTTTATATCGTAGCTTTTATATATATATAATTAATAATAAATTTGAGTTTCGAGAATTATTTTTAAAAAATAATATTTAATAAATTTAATATTTAAAATTTGATTAATTATAACTTTTATTATATCCTTAAATCATCACCTCCTATATATATATATATATATATATATAATTCTAATAGTAGTAATATTTGACTTTCAAGGTTGGAGTATTGAAATTTAGGTGAGCTTATTACTACTCGACAGGGATGTAAAACAGACATAAGCATAAACAAGTCAGCTGGTTTCAGTTGCACGTGTTAAAAAAAGTAAGGAAAAGAAGGAAATTCAAATTTTGATTTATTTTTTAAAAGAAAGTAAAGCCATCTTAAAATCAAATGCGAGTTATTATATGTTTTTAAATATTGATCCATGTCATCTCTCGTTTCTTCACGTTTCTAATCTATTGAAAAGCGATTTGTTTCCTTCACTAGTTACGCAAACAAGTTCTTTTGGATTTATTTAAACTAGGAGAATATTTTTTTCAATTTCAAGTGTAAAAGCTAGGATTTGTTTAGGATGTGTAGGGAATTTTTATCTTCATCTTTAGTTTTTTAAATTATATTTATTTATATATTTATATTTAACGAATATTTTAATGAATATGAAAAATTTTTGTATTCATAACTTTTTAATTTTTATCTTACACTTATATGTAATTTTTTTTATAAATATATAATATTGGAACGCAATTTTTTAGAGATAGAGAAAGAGATGCAGAGTAGAAAAGGGTGTTCTACCAAGTATAAAAGAGTACAAAAACATGTAACTCGAAAGGCTAATTAATCAAAAATAAAAATTTTTATTATTAAATAAAGATTTATTTATTAAATATATAATATATATGATATAAGTACAAAATATGTATTATATTATTTATCTTATAAAAATTTTAAAACTATACTTATCTCCATTTTTTAAAAATTTTAATATCATTTCCATTCCAATTGAGTAAAAAATCAAAATTTTTATCGAATTCAAATAAGATTAACATTCTTAATAAAGTTAAATTTTATGTGAAAAAATCAAAGATCATCTTTAGAAAAATGAAATTCAACACCTAATCCAAAATATGTGGAAAGCCTAAACATGCAATCAAGTTTTAAAGGAGATTGTGAAATCTAACTCGACGACCAACAAATTTATATAATAATTTATATATTTATATTTATTTAGTTTGAGTTAAATAAACTTAAATTATAAAATTATTATATCATAATTTATATTGATACATCAAATATAAAATAAATTTTTTTATTTTTCTAAAACTCATATAATTTTTATTAAAATTTTAGATTATTATTTTTATATCTATTTATATTAATTTTATATCATTTTAACACTATCATATTTAAAATTATCGGATATACTTTTCAAGAGCCCCTCCTGTAATAGTAATAGGAACAATTTTAGTATATTTCATGTCTAAGCCAATAAATTTGAAGTGTTTCAAAGCGAATTAAAAAATTAAAATCTAAAGAACTCAAATTAAAAATGACCTTCTTAATAATAACTTGGGATATTTGCAAGTCTTGTTCAAATCAAATAGCGACTTGTACCAAGAATATCTACAGGGGATGATATGATATTTGTATCATCAAAATTTCAACTCTTTACATTCTCACCCCCAAAAAAAAAAAAAATCTAAAACCCTTCCTAAAAAAATACTAAAAATTCTTTTAAAATGTTAATGAGGTTATAGCTAGACAATTCTAGCTAAACTTTCTTTTAGTAGAATGAGTTGAATCCTCTCTGGCTTTTGGACTTTCCTATTCATCATTTTCATCCCCAAACAGCTAATGTATATATTTTTTATTTTTTATTATTTTAATAAAATAAAAAAGAGGGTAGATGTGAAATGTCCAATATATGTCGATAATTATTAATAAGTAATTTATTTAATTGGTTATATTTATTTTTTTCGATGAAAAAATTTTAAATTCGAATATTATCAGTGATTATTTGTTGAGTTATCTCGAATGTATTATTTATAATAATTTAACTTAAATAATCAAATACGATATATTTTATCTTGATTTATAAGATTGAACAATCTATCTATCATCATATTTTTTCTTATCAATAAATATATATATATATATATATGTCGCTAATTCACCTGTTAGTTAAAGTGCAAAACCAACCAGACAGTAATTAACACGTGTAAGAAAGCCACTGACAGTTAAATCCCCAAATTACCAGTAAAATTTTTTTTATGAATTTATATTTGATATTACGTGAATATAAAAATTTTTAGTATTAAATATAAATTTTATATAATATCAATAAATTGGATGATTTTAATATTATTTTATTAATAATTTGAATTTTACTAATAAGTAAATTTTTTTAAAAATATTAATTTTTATATATTTATTTTAAATATTAATATTTATTCGTTAATAAAGGATGATCGTTTAATTTATACGTTAAGACTGTTGAGATAAAATTTTTTTCATGCTATAAAAACAGAGTACGTTGGTGAAATGAAACAGAGGAAAAGGAGAGCTCTGCATACATAAAGAGGGAGAGAGAGAGAGAGAGAGAGAGACTGCATTCTGGTGGCAGATGATACGTCGTCGCTGAAAGGATTGATTAAGGTCTTGGCTTAAACCAAGATTAGATCAGTTATGGCTGCATGTTCTTCTCTTCTCTTTAGACTTCTTTTGGTTCTTCTCACTTTCTCAGGTTTCAATTCTTTTTTTTATTTTTTCTAGTTTCAACTGTTCTCTCATTTCATTGTTGAGTTGCTAAAAGAAAAATACTGAAAAGATAAGAACACAAATGCAGAAAAAAAAAGAAAAAGAAGCTTTTTTTGCTAAAGTTTCTTAGATTTTATTTAGTAGTAACCCAAGAATCAATCTTTTTTGCTTTTGCTTTTAGGTTTTGGGCTCATGGTAGTTCCATTTTCTTCTTCCTTTCTAAAGGAATGAAAACAGAGTTTCCGTTAAGCTTCATAATCATGGCATTTCAAAAAATAGTTAGTTAATGATAATTTATTACTGTTCAAATAAACTAAACTTTATGGCATGAGTTGGTTTTTTTTTTTTATTTGGAAACTAATTTCAGGCATCTTGACTTATTTTTGAATGAATACTCATACTTTTAATCTGATATTAATTTGTTTTTGGTTTTCATCTTTTAATGGTAGCATACTATAAATTTTTTGGTCTGATCCGTATTATAATCACTCCTTTCTTACCCATCTCTTTTGTTTCTTTGTTGGCTCTCTTTTGTTTCTTTCTAATTTTTTGATGTTTCCTTTTCTTTTAGCTATCCTCTTGATTCATTTTCTTTTTATTCTGGTTTCAGATTCAACAGTCCAAATCCTTGGTCTTGGAGTTGGAATCAACTACGGGCAAATTGCAAACAATCTTCCTTCTCCTAGCCGTGTCTCCTACCTCCTCCGATCCCTCAATATCAGCAGAGTAAAACTCTATGATGCAGATCCAAATGTTCTTGTTGCCTTCTCCAATACAAATGTTGAGTTCATTATTGGACTGGGGAATGAGTACCTTCAGAACATGACTGATCCTATCAAAGCTCAAAACTGGGTTCTGCAGCGAGTTCAACCCCACCTTCCTCAGACCAAGATTACTTGCATCACTGTGGGGAATGAGGTCTTCAAAACCAATGATCATCAGCTATGGTCTAATCTCCTCCCAGCAATGCAAACACTTTACAATACTCTTGTCGATCTTGGTCTTGATAAACAAGTAGCTGTCACTACCGCGCATTCTCTTGATATCTTGAGTGTGTCCTTTCCTCCTTCGGCAGGGGTTTTTAGGCAAGATCTTGGAGAATATCTACATGAAATTTTGAATTTTCATGCTCAGATAAAATCACCTTTCTTGATTAATGCTTATCCCTATTTCGCATACAAGGATAATCCGAATGACGTGTCACTAGACTATGTGCTTTTCCAACCTAATCAAGGGTCAGTGGATCAAATGACCAATTTGAAATATGATAATATGTTGTATGCTCAAGTTGATGCTGTGTATTCAGCTATCAAAGCAATGGGGCATACAGATATTGAAGTCAGGGTTTCCGAGACAGGTTGGCCTTCCAGAGGGGATGAAAATGAAGTGGGAGCTACACCAGAGAATGCAGGATTGTATAATGGCAATCTGTTGAAAAGGATAGAAGAGAAACAAGGCACACCGGCTAAATCAAATGTCCCAATTGACATATATGTTTTTGCTCTTTTCAACGAGAATTTAAAGCCTGGTCCGGTATCAGAGAGGAACTATGGCCTCTATTATCCTAATGGTACACCAGTTTATAACATTGGAGTGCAGGGTTATCTTCCAGAGTTGGTAGATCCATCAGCTAGCACAAAGAATGTAAGAAACTCTCTCTATACTTACACCTTTAAAATCTCTTCTAAGTTTGATGTTTTTGAAATATTCTTTTCTTGATTCATTAGTTTGTCAATAACTCAGGCAAGTTATTAAAAAAATGACATCTCCTTTCTCTTTAACTTAGATTTTTTTTTTTTTTTGCAGGGATTTTCTGTCTTCATTCTTCTGATCTTGGTTATAGCATACATAATCTCCTCTTGAAAGTATGTGAATTTGGCAAGCGAGGGAGGTATCATAAGGGAAAACAGTATTGCCGAAGATAATTCAAATTCCAGAGGAGAGGAAATTTTAGGTGAGATATTCAATGGCTTTTAACTGTTAGAGCATGCATCAATGAATAACCATCACCGTTATACATCCCTATTTCTTGAAGTAGCAGTGTGGTCCATGCGCACATACATGTGAGGCCATGATTGTATGATCCATTTGCATGTGAGTGTGTATGAACCGTAGTGCAAATTAGTCGATCTTTCCCAACCTATGTCTCATGTGCACTTGACCTGCAATAGGCTCATAGTGTTTAAAATGTGTTAGGCAAGTGTATTGATTTTCCATGGTGTCGACCTTCTGTCTAATCCTTTGAACTCAGCAAATACTTGGGATTGGGTAGTTGAATTCAAATAGTAAGTTTTATTTCTTGTGTCAAAAGAAAAAAAAAAATTGTGGGAAGGGAACAAACGGTATTTTCTTATAGGACACATGTCTAGATGGTGGAAACCAATTCGATAAACATCAGGATGATTAGGACAATAATTTTAGATTCCATTGGACAGACTGATATATTAAGCATTTTTTAAAAGAGAAGAGAGAGAGAGAGAGAGAGAGAGAGAGAGAGAAAAGGGTCTTAAAATAACCTGGTAGAGAATTTGGAATCATTTTCTCGTCAGCTTTCTACCCCATGGTATCCATAAGCAGGAACCCTAGAATGCTGATGCTGTCAATTCCACATATGCAACAACTGGCTAGTGTGAAAAACTCTCATTCGTGACATATTTTTTCATTTAAAATATGGTAATGGGTCTCCATCTTTCTTGTCTCAACTTGCAATATCGTGGATGTAAATCTTTCTGTGCGTTGAAATTCTTCGTTGTCTTCAGCTATACAAAAGTCCAAATTGGCTTCCATCAAGAAAAAGAAGAGCCATTGGAATCCCTGTAACCGCAGCCACTTCTCACGTTTTCCCTTTTCTTTTCTTCCTTTTCTCATGTGAAACCCTCCAAAACTAAAACCTGCGGCGGTGAGCTCCAAACTCTAATGATGGTTTACTCTGTCTGTTTCTCTTTCCTTTCTTTCCCCAAAACAGAATTCATGGCATCAGCTTTTTGTTGTATTAGTTCTAATCCATGTCATTTTCAACTATTTTTCAATCAACAGGCTAACACATAAACCAATTGTGGGTCTTCTCATTTAGGGTTCAATTTAAGCTAGCTAAATCGGCAACAGTTCCCTTGTTTTCTGATTTTTTTTAAGCCCATTCCCCCATATGGGAAAAAAATAAAATTCCAAATCACATAATGTACTTTTAGACTAATTAATACTGTGCTACTTTGTTAGGTAATAATCAATTTGTAAAATTAAATTAGGCCGGTGGCTTTCAACTTCATACATCATGCCTTTGAATTATGGAAACCTTGCATCAGCATAGCCAATGGATATGACTGACAGATATACGAATTTATTTGACCATTCAACCTAGTGACCGACCCTGGCAACATTAATTTTTTGATCCTTGGTTGGTTTGGTTCCACAATCTAACCTGAAAAAGTTCAAAGACACTTGCCTATAATGCTGAGGAAGCATCAATCTACATCCTAAGAAAACGTATGATGATGAATCAAGGAAACCGACTAAAATCAACCTTAACTGAATTATTTGAACAAACAATTTTGGATTTGATGCTTTCTTTCCATTATACATATGATTGATTAATTAATGGGTTGCTTCATCAGTCTGCAGGGAGGGAAAGCACTTGATCAGTTATTTCCAGTGGAGGAGAGCATTAGTTTATTGTACGAGAAAAAAAAAAAAAACAGACAGTTAATCACTAACAGTTGCTAGTTGAATTTAAGTTAAAAGATATAGATTGTTTAACAAAAATACCTAATAAAGGGAGAACTTGGTGAAGATTTTACAGGGCTTCAGCTTGTTTCATGTTGCTCTCTGGATTCCGGTGTACTACTACTGGGTGGGATGGGATTTCATAGTGCATAGAAATATAGCTGTATACGAAATAGATTGTTTTAGTATTGATATATGGCATTAAGAACTTTGTTGTTTTAAGTTGATTTGAGATTTTTCTGATATTTTTTTTCTTTTTCCTATTTCAATTTTCTTTTGTACATTAGGAACTATATTAATGAATTAAGACGAATATGCCAGTTTATTTACTTAATAGAGAATTAAGGTGATAATTTCTAATATATTTGGGTCAATATTTCATAAAAAAATATATATTTGGGTCAATATTATCTATTACGATAATTTTAACAAGTGAATATATTTGACGTGTAATTTGTTACACTATTGATTTTTATGTTAGAAATCAAGATTTAATCTTTAACTGCTTCAAATATTTATGTAAAAAAAAATTATTTCATATTATGTTGTTGAAATTTTTAGATTTTATAAATAGAATTAGTAGGCAAAATTAATAAAACAATACATATCCTTTAAATGTATTTAAAAAATAAAAAATTAATTTAAAAAAAAGATATATGTCAATTTTTTAACCGAATTTTAAAATTAAAAAATTATACTTACAAAGTATTTGTTTGCAAAATTCAATGTTGTTGCAGGCATTAGTTAGAATTTGTTTCTCGAGACATGAAGAAAGTGACGAGGGTTGAATCTGAATTGCTGAGCCGCCAATCAAGCAAAATCTAATGCTTATGGATCGCGAGGTTAAATTAATCATCGTGATTGGTGGCGTAATTAATTTCGTTGAATATGTATCATAACTTGCATGGACCTATGCGAGATGTCTCATCATGCTATTGATAAGTTGGAAACGTGTTTGTCGTGAAATGTGTCTTTTGACTCCAAGATCTAAATCCTTCTTGGCATCTCATAGCAAATTCAAGAAGGTTTATCATCTTCCTACACAAACTAAAAAATAATTCATGTTAGAGCTCTTTGAGAGAGATTGCCAGAAAATTAATGAGAATTTTTATCTTTGATTGAAAAGGAGGTATTTTCTTCCATATTTTTAAATACATTTTTAATTATTATATATATATATTATTGACATTCTTAATTTATCAATAAATTCTAAATTGATTAATTCGTATTATCATATTATATAAAATATTATATTTATATCATGTTTTACATAAAAATTATATGTTATAATTTATATAAACACAAAAATATAAAATATATTTTTTTGATTTTATTAAATTTTTTTATAATTTTTTTATAATTTTAAACTAAATTATCTTTAAACTCTTTATTTGTATTATTTTCGTATTATAATTTAAAGTTTTGCTTTTAAATAACTTGATCAAATAAACCAATATCTTAAACCCTTTTTTGGTGTATTGATGCTAATGGCTTCTATATTGTGATTTTTCGGGGAATCTCAATGGGTTTGGGATCAGATGGTGAGCTCCGTTATCCCTCTCGCCATAAACTTGCCAAAAGTGGCATAGTTACTGGAGTTAAGAGAGTTTCAATATTACGACCTCAACATGCTAATCTTCTTATGCAAGGTGTTGAAGCAAATGAAAATCCATTAAGAGGACTAGATGATCCACATGATGAGCCCATTTATGATCAATCACCTAACTCAAATAGTTTCTTCAAAGATCACAGTGGATCATAGGAAAGTTTTTATAGTAACTTCTTTCTTTCTATGTACTCAAGCCAACTTATATCTAATGAAAATCATCCCTTCTCTTTTGAAAACTTACAAAAATTTAAACTTCTTTTATATGAGCAATATCATTTATAATATATTATATATAAGTTATCATTTAATTGTAACTTAATATTTATAAACATATGATTATATATTAGATCCATAATTAAAAATACATTTAAAATTATAAAAAATTTAATAAAAAATCCCATACAATATACGGGTTAAAAAAACTAGTTTTCTTCTATATGTTTAAATACATTTTTAATTATTATACATATATATATATATATGACATTCTTAATTTATCAACAAATTTTAAATTGGTTAATTTGTATTATCATATTATATAAAATATTATATTTATATCATATTTTACATAAAAATCACATGTTATAATTCGTATCAACACAAAAATATAAAATATAATTTTTTAATTTTATTAAATCTATTTATAATTTTTTAAAATTTTAAGTTAAATTATATTTGAATTTTTTACTCATATCATTTTTATATCGTATCACCGTATCGTATTTTAAATTATCAATTTTAATAAGAAATTAATAAATATACCGATAGTGAAAATTTTTAATTTTACAAGCAAAATTAATATGATAACACATATTTTTTATATATTTAAAAAAATTAATTTAAAAAAAAAAACATGTGTCATTATTTTAAACTTGTCTGTGAAGTTAAAAAACTCTATTGTTATAGTATCAATAATTTATTCAAATATAAATCCCCCATAAAATTCCATTCCCTTTGCTCCATTCTTTCTCATCCTTTCAGCCAACTTCCTCACTCCCTAACTCAAATCCCCCATCCCTCTCATCCAATCTGTCCATTTGATGGCAACTCCATGGTAGACAAAACGTAGTGACATTTGCAATTACTCCACAGTAGCACTACAAGAAGATTTAACAAGCCTAAATTTTAACATATCACTTTGCTCTTCCTTCTTAGGATACTAAACTACACAAGCATAGGGAACATCAAAAGAAAATCGAAAATGACAGCAAGTAGAAAAGCTATAGATCTAAAGTACATGCAATTGGTTTTGTTTTGGGAAGGGAACGAAAAGTTCCTCTAAAGAAGGCACAACCTGTTACAAAACAATAAGACTTCAACCAAAAAGAGGAGGAAAGCAGGAAGGAACTACCTAAAGAAATGTGACAAAATAATGTTTCTTGTCCTCTTTCTCGCTCTATGTGAAAAAACGTGGTCCTATTTCTACTTGGCATACCAAAATGGGATCCTATCTTTAGTCTTATCACAAGAGTTTGGTTCGTTGAACCTAAACAGTTTTATTCTCGTGTGAATGATATTCTATTTTCACTATGAATTTATAAATTCGCCTTTTATTCTGCGGAAACCTTGAAAAATGTATAGGATAAGATCAGGTTGTTGATACCATCCATTCGGGGATCCGTTTCAAACTCAGGATCTATGTAGAAGAAAACCTAGATCAAAGTACAAGCAAGTCAACGATCACAATTCACAACTGAGTTTTGCCTTTGAAGCAGTAAACATTTTTTTATTATTTAAAAAAAAAAAACACTTACTGGCATGTCAATCTGCTCTCCAGGAAGAAGACGCTGCTCCTCAAAGCAAAAGCACTGTATTTTATTGAAGTAAACTGCAGCCTGAAAAGGAACATGAAAGTTTTAAGGCTTGCCATGTGATAATGATAAATCTTACCATTAAGTTTACGTGTTTTAATATAGTCAATTTTTTTCACCCCAAAATATTACTTTTTCTTCCATTTTCTTGCTCATTATCCTTTAACAAGCTCATAAAATTTCACACCTAAAGTTTCTTAGTTGAGCCACTTGAAAAGCACAATCAAACTATGTAAAACATCCGATAAAAATACATTAAGAGGATAAAAAAAGGATGCCAGAAGCATAATGACAACTATTGTTCACTGAGATCCGGAAGTGACTTTTACCTGCATCAAGGCCCATCTCTCAAAACTGTAATACCATGGTTAAGTTTCCTCAACTTTCTTTAGAAAGAAGCTAAAATTGTAAGTAGCTGTTTGACACAACTAGAAAACATGATTTACTCACTTTTTTGTCTCAAAAGGGAAATAAAAGAATGGTTTTCTACACTCTTCCTGGCTAAGACAACAAGAAAAATCATATTGCACATTCTCCTATTGTGACACCTAGAAGCCTCAAAAACAAAATTATAAACCTAGAAGAATGACACTGGCGACATTCAAACATACTTGATAGGAGGTTAGCCATAGATTCACAAAGCTTCCGCTCAAAATTTTGGAAAGAAATTTAGACATGGAGAGAGAGAGAGAGAGAGAAGTGAAGAGATTAAAATGTATGCCACAGGAGCTATGTGTACACAGAGCTTGGCAGAGGCAGAATTTTCTCAATCAAGTTAGAAGTGTAGAAAAAAGGAAATGATAACGGTTTAAATTGAAAATTTGAACAACATTATAGAAAGGAAAAGTGGAAATATAAATACATAAGTCAAGCCTGTAAAAGATTTAGCCAAAGCTAGCAAGAAACATTTAAGAGTCCCAAAGGCTCACAACCAACTAGGTTGTTCAAGATCTAAACAAATGCCAATATAATTTTAGAAATAACAAATAATTCACTGGTTCAATTTTAATTACAGAGCATGTGTAAGTATCAGTACCTTCATAGGGGTGACGTTATACGTAGAGACACCAGTTATAGGTGTTGAACTTCGATTTTCAGCAGTATAAAATGCAAGGGCACTTTCTCCAGGCTTGACTCTTACCTAGCAGATAATAAATAAATCAGGAAATAAACAATAAAACAAAGTCATCACTTTACAAAACCCAAAATCGACAGAGAAAAGTTACATACCTCTCTTTGAGTAGGAACAAATTTCCAGGGCATTCCATCTGCCACATCAGCATTGAATTGGACTACTATCTCCCTGCAAGGATAAGGGCAAATTGCTCAAACAAAACCATAGAAGAAAAAGTAAGATTCCATTGTGATAAAAGTCTAATTGCTTCATAACAGCATCTCTTAGAAATGCATAAATTAAATTGAATTAAAATGAACAAATTGGCTGATGTAAAATTATGAATCCTAAACCTAACCGCCTCACTCCTACTTGTTACCTTGTTGTATAGAAATTGCATGTGTATAAAGCAAGTGCGTAATTAGAAGGCAGCGATACCAAATGGTCAATCTTATCAAACCTTTTACCTAACAAAGCATCCTATTCCCTTCTTGCTTTTGGTTCTGAAACAACATCCTAAGACCATTAGTGGTTTAAGTTGTTTCTCCATCACACTAAAGAAAAATGTTTCTTGCAACAAACAAATTTCCATTTCCTTCCTTCCTTTTTCTAATAAGAATAGTAACCTGCCTTTTATTGAGGGAAAGATTCATGCAGTAGAAGTTGGAATAAAGCCTTATCAATATCATTGAAACTCATTTCTGACTCATTCTTGCACAAATCTCACTTGAAAGAGATAACATAATCATGATAACAACAAATCCAAGGAAAATATGCATATATAAGCAGAAAATGTCAAAAGTAGAACTGAGAATGTTGCAAGTAGAAAAAATCTCTTGAACCAAGTTTAACATAAAAAATGGTACAAGAACTACACGTAGCAATAGAACCTCAACCAAATTAACAGAAAGGGTAATTATGATTATAATTATGAAAAATAGAAATGAAGATAAGCTCTTACATCCAAAGCCTAGAAAGCGCACCTTGTTGCTACTGTCCCATCTTTTTCATGCCGAGCAATCTTTTCTTCTACGCTCTAAAGAAAAGAAATACTTGTTCTGGTTGAAAAACCAACAGAAAAAAAAATAAATTCTGAAATAGTAAAAGGCTAGGAAAGAGAATAGCATAAACTCAGCTTCACCTCACGGCGTTGGACTGTACCACCATACCCGGTAGCCTGGCAGAATCTTCGGTACAATGGGACAGCAGCATAACTACTTCCCACCATTGCAAAAACTAATGCTGTAAGATACAAAAGAGTCTTTTTGGATTTTTGCTCAGTTGCAGCATGGAAAGCATTAGAAGCATAGTGGCGCTGCTGCTGAATGCTAAAGGGAGATAATCTCCCCAAACATCGAGAACTATAAGGACTGAAATCAAAAGATTCTGTTAGAGGCCTTGTCTTAAATTCACATCTTGGCATCAAACCCCAAGCATTGTTGCCACACCCAGAAGAAGCTTTAAAGAACTTGTAACTCGGGCATAAAGCATCAGAAAGAAACCTGGATCAACAAAAAAATTTTCACCCAGGTGGTACACATCATAGAAAAGCATGCTCACATTCAGGTCAGGAGAAATATGAAATTGCAAAAGAATAAAATTTTGAAGGCTGAATGTATCAAAATGATTAACCTTTAAAGCCTAGAACAACACTATGAATAAATAATGTAGATTATTAGTCTTTCACAAACAACCACGAAATGTAGCTATTTCCTCAAATAAATTTATGGAAAAACTTATATGTTAGTTCTCCAAGTAAAAGTTCCAAGCTTTCGAGCAAAACAAACACAATTATAAGCCGCAAATATGTATAATGGTAATACAGTGATTACCTTGATTTATGTGACAAAAATTGTCGATTCTTCAAGAGAGCAATTCTACTAGAAATTCTTGACCATGACATGATGTCATGCACCTTTGTATCACTGCACATACATCCGCAAAGGAGAAAGAATAATGAACAATATAGCAATTTAATTTCAGTTTGGTTTCTAAAACATGGACATAGTAGAAAAGGATAATAAAATCAAATTAGACCAGAAATGACAAAAGAAAGCATATAATGGTTTTTTTTTTCTTTTTTGATGATCCTTTCTTTCACAGAAGCACTTTCCAATGAAAAATTTTAAAACAAATTAATAGGTTTAATAAACTCCAAAAACTTTCCCATGTCATATATATAGCAGACTAAACTTAAACAACAATCTACTGGTTCCAAAGGAGCACGCAGTATTTGACATAAAAAGAAACACATTTTTGGTACCCATTATCAAACTAATCAAAAGCTCAACTGATTTACCCAACGAGACCCAATTTTTAAGCATAAACCAATCAAAGAAAAGAAACCCATATCAGCAATAAGGATATATGTAAAAATTGAAATTAATACTGAGAGTTTATACCTTCAAAAGCGTATTGACCAAAACTGACAATGGGATCTCAAAAAGGAGTAATATTTGGGTCTATTCTTAAGACTCTGCCTTCGGGTTTCCGGCAAAGTTGGAAGCTTGAAAGTGTGGATAGCTGAAAAGAGAAGCCGATTCAGCCTGCAGAACGAAAGTGGGATAGAAAGGGGTAAATACAACAAAAAAAAATTGATATAACTAAGTGTTAATTGGCACAAATGCACTCAACAATAACGGAATGTGCAATTTGGTCCACATTTACTTTTGTATATGAAAGGTGTAAAAAAGTTTACAGATAAAAAAATAATTTAAAAATTCAAAAAGTAAAAAAAAAAAAAAGAATAATTTTTGAATAAGTAATGAATTTAATAGAATAATATACAAGAAAAACTTGTTGTCATTTTTTTTTCTACCTATACATTCAAATAATTTAGAGGTATATAGTTTTCAAATAATTTTTTTTTTACTAAAAATTGTTAACTGAATGGTACTAGATTTGTGTTAGAATCGAGAATTTCCAGTTGAAACTCTAATCTAAAGGATAAAAGAATTTTTTTTTTTTCTAATTTTTACAAACATGTATTTGATAAAATTGATCTGAAAATTTTTTTCTTCATTTTTTGAAAAATAATATCTTTTTATAAAACTAAAAAAAGTTTCAAAATTTTAAAACTATTATTGCTTAAATAATTTGACCAAACATAAAAAATAACAAAAGAGTAAATTACTCTTCTAATTAGAAAACAAATGTAAACACTGAATGAAGAATTTCCACTGAGCTTACTGATCATCCAAGTCTCATTTATTCTTGATAAAACTTTATTTTTTTAGTAATGATAAAACTTGAATTTTTATTTGTGTAATTTGTTAATAAGACGTTGAATTCTTAAGTTCAATAATTTTTTTTTTATTTCAGTAATCTTTAAGTAGCCATGATTGCATTTTTTTTTTTTAGTTAGAATTATCAAAGCATCTTAATATCTTATAACTTTGAATATGATAAAAACCTATTGGTTACATTGTTCCTTCTGTATGTTATTCTCTAATATAGTGATATAGTCGTGAATTCAGGGATTAAATGCTGCAAATTAGTTGTACAAGTAAGGTAAGAGAGATTGGAATTTCCAAATAGAAAAAAATTTTAAATTTTTTAACTTTGTTTTCAGGTGTTAAAAAATTAACTCATTATATTTTTTAATTAATTTTTTATTTTTAATATACCTTAAAAAATATGTATCATTTTAGTCGAAGAATAAAAATTTAATTATAACAGTGTATTTGATAAATTTTCCAAAAATTTCAGATCAAAATGAATGTTAGTAGTACTTGTTCAGAGTTTTTTAAAGTTCTAATCCAAATTCATTCCAAAATGATATCATTAGCTACATATACATAGTACAGCACAAAAAAAAAGTCTGTTCTTCACACTTTGCACAAAATTTATCAAACGTGTACATTTTCAAAGAGAATAGTTGTAAGCCTAACGCCTAGCTCACACAAATGAAATCAAGCATAAAACAATGAAGAATACAAAGTGATCAGTCATATGAAACAAGAAATGGAATGACTATAGACATGAATGAATCGTAAGTAAGCGTTGCTGAACCAGTATAGCGCGGATCCTTTTCCTTGAATTTTTCAGTCAAGCCCTGAACACACACAACAACAATGATCAATTCATAATCCCATGATTTAACAAATCAACGAAAGCTCCTATCAGAGAATAATGTAATCCTACGGCAAAAGAAGCATAGCAGCAGTGCCATCATGCATTGGCTATAGTAAGTGCATGCATCTCTACACTTAAAGAATTAAGTTCGAATCTCCCCTTTATCCGAATTAAAAAAAAGTTCGCGACAGGGAAACTATATATCTACTTCTAATCAAGATTTTTCAAGATGAATGATGAAAGGAGATGGAGTGTGCAATGTCTCACCTTAACAATCATCCCGCATCTGCAAATCAAACAGAAGATGAAAAAACATCACGAGTCAGATTATAGATTATGACATTTCAAATCTTTGAAAGTTGAAAAAAAAAAGGTACAATGAAAATGAAGAGAAAAGAGGAATGAATGTTGAAGAGAAGAAGCCTTACTCAACAAAACTGTCAAAATTGAGTTCAACCTTCCTGCCACTTCCATTATCATACTTGGAAATCAGAACCTGAAGGACAGAAGGTGGAATTGCATATCCAAGACTGTATAGAGCATCCCTTAGTTCCATCAGATCAATTTTCCCACTCCTATCTCTATCAAATCTCTCAAATATGGCCTACAATTTTGAATCCAACAACATTAATCAAGTGATAAAAGATGTCAAAATCCATTCTTGGAAAATATTTAATCAATTACCCGCCAATGACCAAGGCAACTCCACAGTGCAGCAAACTCTCTGGGCCCTGAAATAGAAATATATTTTCTTGAATCAATTTTCATGCATTGAATGGAATATATTTTCTTGGAAAATAACCTTGTCAAGTGTCTTAAGACACTCCTCAGAAAGATTTAAAAAAAAAAAAAAAATTTTAGATAAACCAACAAAATAAGTGAAAGGAAAATTCGTGAAGGCTAAGAATCCAAAAAGTAGCAAGAGTTGACCAATATTTATTAATTAAATGGGGGTCCAGGTCCAGGAAAGCAAAGCTGAAATCCAAACAATCATTGGCATTCAATCACACATGAACAATCGCGTGAACATGACCCAAAAATCCCCCCATCCCCATTCAAATTTGAATCTAATAGCTTTACATGTAAGCGGATAAGAAAAAGAAAGGCACCATGGCAGTTCAATTTTCAAAATTAATTATTCTTATTCAATCAACAGTTTGTGGGTAAATGGGGATTTTTGCTTGTACACCAATGTTTTGTAAATACCAATATGGAAACCAAAAAAAAAAAAAAAAACTGAAGTAAACAAACAAATTAATTCGGGCATGAAAGAAATGAAGTTACCAATTCTGAGAGAATCATGAGGATTCTTGAACAAGAACATGAGCAACCTTATAGTCCTAATATTAAACCTCTCGTACCCTGAAGACAGAGCCTGTTGCAACTCATTTTCATCGATGAATCCACTTCTATCCCTATCCACCATCTGAAATGCCCTCACTACATCTGGGTGTGTTCCTGCGGGAAACCCACTCTGCCCATAACTTGGCTGCTGCTGATGCTGCCCGTAGTAGCTGTAACTAGGAGACGATCCATGATGATTATCAGAGTAAGTCTCCTGCTGCCGCTGATGGTGCGGCCCGTAGGATTCTGGGGGCAGCTCTGGTGCTGACGGTGCAAAGGAATGAGATGGATAGTGCCTTGAAGATGCCAGTTTTTTCTGTTCATACCTTGAAGATTCCATTGATTTGAAAGAAAATTTTCTTTTTGGATTGTAATCTGATAAATTCAACAAATATTTCAGTTTCAAGATTTCTGTGCCGGGTTTTCGGTTGAAGGTGGCTTTGTTTAGCTTCGCTCTGCTTTGGTTTTTGCAGCTTTGGGTTTTAGGTAGAGAAATAATAAAAAAACATAAACGAGGCTATGGACCGTCAAATATTAAATTCAAAATGAGGTTGATGTGCGGGGCGCGTGGCGAATAGGACATCTGTTTTACGTAAGCGTGTATGGTACTTGCGATTAGGCGGAGGCGGCTACTTCGATGTTTCCAGAGTTCTATCTCTTTTATTAAACTATCCTATGTCTTTACCCATGATGCAATGAGATCACGCCTTTCTGTTTGATTTCTTTAAGTAATTCTACATTTGAAATACTAATCCAAATAAATTCTACATTTGAAATGTCCACTGACAATAAATTTTGATAACAATGATTTGAATTTATTGATCCTTAAATTAATTAACATAATATTAAAGTTTTTACTTAAAAATTATAAATTAAATAAATTTATATATAATATTTTTTTCAGTCATATAAATATAATAATAAAGAGCTTATGAGTAAATTAAAATTTCTAAAATTTTTTTTAAGGTCACATCTCTTTAAAACAATGTTTAAATAGTTTAAATTATTAAAAAATCAAGTTCATATATGATCCAATTTATTTAATTTTAATTTCAAAATATATTTTTAAAAATACCAATTCAGCGTGACCTGATAAATTTACACTAATATTATGTATTTGTTAATGAAATATGTTGTTTTATATATAAAGTAAGTAAACTATTTATTCAATACATAAAAATTATTGGGTCACACTCAATTACTTATTGTACATAAAAATTTGAATACTAATGCAACCTTTATGAAAATAGAGATAATCTTTTGTATAAAAGATGTATAGAACTGTTATCTCATGTCAGTATATATTATTTTTATTTAAATTATTAAAAAATAATTATTTATCACACATCACATATATAACTTTATTAAAATAAATATTCATCATTTAATTATCATATATAATATATAACTATATAATTATATAATTTAAATAAAAATGACATATGTTAATGTGAAATAATATTTTTATACTGTCCTTTTTCCTTTAATATTATTATTAGCAGGGTTACAAGCAGCCATCACCAATATTCAATCACTACCTTTGTTTATCTATAAGGAAATAAACTAATATTTCTAAGCAAACAGATATTAAAGAAAACCATGCCTACCATGATGTGATGTCAAATATAAAATTACAATTATCTAAAGAAAAAAAGTATATCGTGAAAAGCACTCTAATGCAGAATGGACCTTCAAAAGCCCATTCATTCTAAGCTTTAACATTAGCAATCTGGATCACAATACCTTATTTAACACTATCTTGTTCCTCAACTCCTAATTGTTTTCGTTCGGCATACCAATAGAGTATTAATATGGGCTTCGAAGTGAGGTTGGTGAAGTTAGAGTTCTTGTGGAACGCCATGGTCAACCTAAGTTATTCATTTTATGCTGCACTAGTGCTTTTCAAACTTTACTAATTATCCTTGTGTAAAAAAAAATGTACACTTGTTATTAAATTGCTAAATACTTTTTAAGAAATTTTCTGGATTTTATTGAAGGTTCAATTTACTATTTCTTTCAAATTTCCGTTCAAATTCTTAAATATTAAATAGAAAAATCAAAAAATTAATTACATCACTTGGTAAAAATAATGGTTGAATTTTAAAATAAATAATTTGATAGATTTAATAATACCAAAAAGGGCTAAGCCCACTAGCCCAGAGTCAACAGAGTTGGGACCATCATGTTTTTAGCAGCTAGAGCCTGAAAGCAGTGGCGGGAAACAAAAACCTATTATATAAATAAATAAAATAAAATAAAAACCTCTCTGGGAGTGACTTTGCCCAAAACTAATTTCTTGAAGAAAAAAGAGGGAGAAATGGAGAAAGTGGTATCGGAAGCAGAAGAGCTGCCGAAGGCTATTGTGCGCAGGGTGGTGAAGGATAAGCTCTCCGATTGTTCCCCCGATTACGACATTAACGTTCACAAAGACGCCCTCCTCGCTTTCTCGGAAAGCGCTCGCATCTTCATCCACTACCTTTCCGCCACGTAAGCGAAAAAAGCCCCAAATCTTTGTTGTTTTTGATTTAGGGTTTATTAAAGTTTGGGTGGATGGTTGATAATATAGGTTGAATTGATTGATTATGTTAGGGCAAATGATATATGCAAGGAATCGAAGAGGCAAACAATGAATGCGGAGGATATATTTAAAGCACTAGAAGAAATTGAATTCTCGGAATTTGTTAAACCTCTTAAGGCTTCCCTTGCTGGTTAGTTTCTTTGTGTTTTTGTGATTCAATTGGTTAGGTTAAATGAAAAATGAACAATAATTGAAGGGTTTTGTTTTGTTGGTTTGTTGTGGTTAGTTTAAATGAAAAATGATTGATGGGGTATTGTTGGTTTGTTGCAGAGTTTAGGATGAAAAATGCTGGGAAAAAAGGTGAAGCAGCAAAGGAAAAAGAAATGAAAAAGAAGAGAAAAGCAGAGGACTCATCTGTGAAAAGTGGAACCAAAACCAAACAAAAGAAAGAGGATAATGATAATGAAGAAGAAGATGATGAAAATGAAGATGAAGAAGATAACAATGGAAGTGAGTAAACCAGAATAATAGTGTCGTGATGGAGTTAATCCCGGCCATATGTTCCATATATGTCACAAATATTTTTCACTAACTTTTTGGGATTTCTGTACCCAATCTGACTTTAATGTATTTCATGGTTGGATAATGGTTTTTTATCCTAAACTCGTGGTCCAATTCATGGATAGTTCCCCGTATAGACGAAAAGTGGTGCATGAAACTTGTGTTGCTAGCATAGAACAAACAGGAACAAATGCACTAGACGCTTTCGTGACAATCATTTCGTACAACAAATTCCAGTCACAACGTAAACTAGACAGTTCTGTTTATAACTGAAACAATGAACAATTTGAGGACACTGCGAGGGAATGATTAAATACACTCTACATCCACCGTAGAAATAATCTAATATAAGCAATCAATAAGGGTGATACGTCGGCTATCATTGTTGTGTTTTCCCCTGCTTTCACTTACCCCCACCACTCTTTCCACCACCCCTACCATTTCTCTGATGTACAGGTGGGCTTTGAGGTTGAGCTCCCGGTTGTTGCCTGCATTGATGGATGATAAATGGTTTTCAATCATTTGGCATATACTATATGATCAAAATAACAGAAACTGTAGTCTTTTCCAGCATGAAAATTACAAACTGCATCCACCTGAGAGTTCAGGTTACCCAGTCATCTAATGACTAATTGCCCCTAAGGCTGGCTCAAGTTATTCAAGAATGCAAATATTCACAGCCCTTTTGCATGCTAAACCACAAAACCAGGTCAAAAGATCCGATTGTACATACTTGCTAACCCAGATACAAATAATAGGTTATATCTTGGCTGGTTACTTGACACTGGACGCTACAGCAGCAAAGATATAGATACAAAGGTCAAAAGCAACTGACAAATCCTGCCTCGCCATAGAAAGAAAGAGGATACAGATTTTTAAAAGTTTAAAATATTGGAATAGATACTGAACTAACAGAACATATCCACTTCGGCCATCAGGTAGAAGCATAGGCATCATTGACATGCTAGTTGGAGTTGGTTCCCCTTCCATAGATTAAGGGCTGTAGGCGATGCAAATTTTTATATCAGATTACATCTTGGTAACTCATAAAACAAGTAAACATAAGGATGATAAAGAGATTAAGAGCATTCTATAATCGTAACATTGTATTGATCTTGACTGGGACTGCAAAGGTCAAAACACAGGGAACATTTCACCTACAATTTTTTATTACAATACTACAATTGTACTATGTAAGGGTAGTTTCCATATAAAATTTTGATGGTTCCCACACAATTTTGAATCGTGATTGATTAATTGTACTACAATCATTGCATGTGATATGATCCCCAAAACACAGTTCATTATATCTTTCACTATATTGCTCACTGATCAAAATTAAAATGAAAAAGATTAAAGAGCTGGAGTTCAAAGGTGAAGCTGACAAACTTTTACCCCGTTTCGCCAAGCACCCCAGTGCCTCCGGAAAAGGAAAAAAAGTAATAAGGATTTTTAAACTTAGAAAAGAAAACAAAATAGAGAGACAGGCATTCAGTAACTAGATGTTAATCCTGTAGGGGAAATCCAGCCATAAATTATACCAAAAACTGTCAAAGGTGCTCACGGGGATACAAAGACAGCCAGGGAATATGCAGAACATAAAAGCACCCCAACAATATAAGAGTTCATAAGCCAAAGGCATAACACCCCAATGAAAATGCAGACATGTAATGTTAAATGCTCCAATCGGAAACAAGATACAGGTCTCTAAATATTTTCTAAGCCAGGAGAAGATCGAAAACTACATTTTAAAAATGTCCTTTTTCTCTGAAAAAACTCATTTCCAAAAGCAAAACCAATCTAAAGCAAGACCAAGAATCTAAAAACATAGAGCTACAATAAATGCCAAAAGGACCACATTCAATATATCTTCCAAAGGACTAGCTTCAATGGAACATAACTTAACAATGATTCTTCTAAACAAACTTAAGCAAAGATCCGGTTCAGACAGAAGTATAGCAACAGGCACGTGGTAATAAGCCACATTACAAGATTGAATATTTAACAAGGATATCACCTACATTCCAAATAGGTCAAATGCGAAGGTAGTATGAAAATGAAAATAAAAACAAACTAATGGTCACCTGCAGAGTATTGAGAAAAACATAATGAAGATATCGAAGCAGTTAAACATGTGCCTGTACATGCACAGAGATAAATATCTCACCTGTGCAAGGCCTGCAACACCATATCCAGGACCTAGAGCACCATAGGTACCCCCAAACAGACCATAGCCAACGTGAGGTGGATAATTAGGAAGAAAACCTGAATTCTGAGAACTTGACCCCCCAGGAGTCTTTTGATCTGTTTGTGGCTTCACAAGAGAACATTCCACAACTTGGCCTGAAAAACAGAACAATGACATTCAAAATTACATTCAGTAAACAAAAATGCAAAAAGGTCAAGAACTCAATAATCGCCACCCAGTTCGTATTTTTCTGTGTTCTTCAGTGCTTTCATGGCACAAGATCTCTCGGAAAAATGAACAAAACCAATTCTGTTTCTCTCTTGCCCAGGTTTTGCTGGAGGTAGAACCACTTTCATGATCTTTCCATGATGTTCAAATAGCTTTTTTAACTTATCTTGTGTGACATCCTTTGGCAAATTCTTTACATAAACTGCCTTCACCTGCACAAGACAGGTTAACTTAGATTAACAATTCCAAAACATGATTAGGAAGACACCACAAAATAAATTGCAAACAAGGCGATAACCACCAGAAAGGAAAACTGATTCATGAAGCGGAGGAAATACTTGGCACAGGAAAGGAAAAGTTCATGTAACAAATCCATGAAAACAGGGATAAAAGGTTCATGCAATGATATAGAACAGTTGTCATAGCTATCAAAGATAAGGGACAGCCCGGTACGAGAGAATCCCATATAGTGAGGGTTTGGAGAGGGCCAGATGTACACAGCTTACACTAACTTGCTCGGAGGCTGTTTCTGTTACTTGAACCCATGACCTCCAAGTCAAAATGAAGCGACCCAACTGTCGTGCCAATTGCCAATGCTGAGCCTCTAGCAAAAGATATGATATAAACAACTATTTAGCCAATTTTCCCTATGCCTTCCCCCTAACAGACACAACTTTTCGTCTTACAAAGAAAGAAATGGCCAACGTCCCTCAGTTTGGGAGAAGCAATAGATAAGAGCATAAGAAATAGATAAGGTGATTGCTTCATATCAGATGTTTCTACGTTATCAATGCACATGATACATAGAAGAATGCATGCATTTCAGGTTCAACTCCAAAGAGTGGGAAATGCAGATACAAAGTCATCCACTGAAACATGCATGAACACATAAACTGTGAAAAGAAGCCTGCAGGAAGCCAGGAAGGGAAGAAAGCAACTTAATGATACCTGAGAACCAGCAGAAGAATCAGCATTTTTGGGATCAGCCCAGCTCACAGTAGGAGCATTATGTACATCATCTTCTGCCTTGAATACTCAGCACATGCATTATTATAGTACTCAACAAAGGCAAAGCCCCTGTAATTACTTAAGTTCTTCATATCGTGCAAGCACAAAACTGTACACAAGACTACATTACCACTAAACAGCCCTTTAGAGATAAACAGTAACCAATAGTCTCCAATACTAGAGACTACAATAGAAATGCACAAGCTCATTAAACTAGCCTTCACCAATTCCAAACCAGTGACTCCGGGCCCAATCTCTGACACAACCTTCCTTAGGTGTTCCTCTCACCAGCATCTAGGAATGTTACCAATAAACAATCAATGCTCTGATTGGGATGTAGAACATTTTATTTTTCTACCCTGAGAGAGAGTGAGAAAGATTAAGCAACCAAAGAAACATACTTGAAAATGATCAAAAGTAAGAACATTGTTGTCAGAAACAAAGAGAAAATGGGGATAGGTACTCCAAATGAGATTGTTACTCATCTCTAAATATAGAGTTATATTCACACCTAATTATCTGTAAGCTCCTTTCTGGTTAAGAGGGCATGCAACAATTTTAGTTTGGATAATATTAACATATACGCGATGCATAAGAAGACTCGTCACCTTAAATTCAGCATTATTTAGCTCATCAATGGCTTTAGAGTCCAACTCTACACTTCTAAAGGTCACAAAGGCAAAAGCCTTTGTTTTCACTTGAATCTTTACCTTTCATAATCCAAACCTGTCATCATAAAGTATGATGTGTTGGTCTTTTTCTCAAGAAGAAAACAGAAAGTTCCTCACAAATAGCATAAAAGCGTACCTCAGCAACTTCTCCAACAGATTCACAAAAGCCTTTCAAATCCTCCTGAGAAACATCAAGTGGAATGCCTCAACATAAACTTCAGAACCATGAGGAGGACGAGCAAGAAGTTCAGCATGTTTCCTCTTTCCATCCCCATCTTCAAGTTTAATCTCAACAGGATCAACCCCATTGGCATTTTCAACATCCTAATCTTCTTCTTCAACCTCCACTTCTTCATACTCCACCTCTTCTTCCATGGTCTCCACAGGATCATTGTCTTCATCAAGATCAACCCTCTTGTCAGACTCAACAGGCTGGCTCACTCAGTCCTTCAGATTCAACTGACTCAGCTGCAATGCTTGCCATTGGCCTTGGCATCTTATGTATCTATTTAAGCAAGCTTCAGAGGCAATTCTGAAGAAGGCACAGAGGCCAGAAGAATTCAAGGGAAGAAGTATACACATATTGAAAGGAGGAAACAAAATTATGGCCACGAGGAGTTTCAGATAGTGTATCTCAATTGAACCCATGTCATAAGATAAGATTCAAAGGCAGTTGCAAGGTTAAAGACTTTCAGCAAAGGAATAATTAAGCAGTAGATTTTAAGGAGAATGGCAAAAGAAATTTCTGAATGACAATTAAGAGGATTATGAAGTGGTGGAAATTATCAAGGAATGAACTTCCTCAAATCAGAACAAGAGTCACAAGACTGCTGTGGAAAAAGAAAAATATTGACATGTTTAAGGTTAAGCCAATTTCATTAAAAAATAATGCAAAATAACAAAACAAAATTACAACATATAAGCAGGCATGACTCATTCAGATATACAAAAAAAAAAAAGAAGAAAAGGAAATAAGATTGCCATGGAAAAGGAAAATCAAGCAACGTTAGCTAATGATCAAAAGTAAAACAAGTTCCAAATTAAATACACCATTCCTTCACCCTGATTATAACTTAACATCTAAGTACTGAGATTCTTACACATACCATAGTTTATTCAAAAGGAAAAAATTGATTCTACCATCAACATAAATAAGTTTTAGGACAGTCCACGCTTACTCTTTAGAATTTGATTCTGCCTTCATCCAGGTAAATAAAAGTAGTATCAAAATATTGCATATTTGCATTAAACAATTTTTTAGGCTTCTGACACCAATTGACAAATCAACTTAACC